CCTCAGGGATGGTCTGATCAAAAATGACAATTTTTTCGATAACTCAGCCATTTCTTGACGGATCCTTCTCATCTTCGAACTCGACCTAGATATTGATGAGATAATTCTGTGCACAAAATTTCAGCTCAATCGAATGTAATTGTGAAGAGTTATCGAATAAACGGACGGCCGGGCACACTGACCGATTCTATAGTGCACTCTTTTCTTTTTGAGTACACAAAAAAAGTGCTGTACGAAATAGCTGAGCATAGGACTAGCAAAATACTGCAGTATATTCAGGTAGAAAGCACGCAAAAATATTTTTGTTAGTCATTTAAATTTGCGTATAGATAGTTTTAATCTATATAATTCTTATGTATCTTTAAAAAAGCAGTGTGAAAGATATTATGAAAATTTCTTTGTTTAGTAAAAGGAAACGTCTCATTGTAAGAAGAAGTCATCTATAGAATAAATTGATCGAGATTGCACTAAGATTCTATTTTTCTATCAAAGTTGTCTATTACCGAGACTATCGAATAGATGACTCGACATAACTATTTTTGTTCCTATTTCTGAAACATATAATATTATAGTATTATATTCATGAGCAGCTTGGTTTTAAAATATATTTATTACTCCATGTACCAACCTTTATTTCAGCAAAGCAAGTGATGATTTGCGAGACATGTTGCAATTGATTGCATCCTTTTTATTAAATAATCTTCTATCAGCAAGATTCTATTGAATTATTTTTATAGATACAAAATATAAACAGTATGTTCCTATTTGACGAAGACTGGTTTGTTATTCAAGAAGATGTTTATACCAGTAAATAGGCTCTTTAATTGAATTTTTTTCTCAGATCAACCAAAACGATACAAGATCAGAGAGATAAGCATGAGCTAGAAGAAATATAACTGGAAATAAAGCAGCTACTCGAGTTCTTACTATGAATGCGCCGATTGGCCTTTAATCTTAATAATTCTTCTGTGAATTTGAATAATCGGAAAGAGTTTACGAGTTTTTTTTCTTACTTCGTATTGGCGGAACAGGCAAGAACGGATTCGAAACGATGCATCTCATTCTACTATCACGAAAATGTACACCAGCTAATTGGGATTTTTAACAAAAATGTATTTTTAAGTATGAAAAATATATTTATGCAAACATTGCATGATTAGAAATACTCCTATGTTAATATTTAGCAAATCTCTAACATTATTTGCATGATTATATATAATGATATATTTTTGTCTACTATTAAATAATCGTATTCTATAAGGCAACTGCTTTTTCAGGTTATTTTTTTGTTTTAAAAATATAACAATAACGAGTAAGACAATAATCCTTAATGAACATGTTATTTTTGCGGTTAATAATAGTCTTTTATTTTAAAAATTATACGTTAACACTTGCTTCTAAGACAGTAATTGATATTTGCTTCAATGCATTATTTACAAAGAAAATAGCAGTCAATCCCTTTTTGATTTAGTCTATATAGACTTTTATTTTTATTTTGGTTCTGCTGTTATTGTAGACGAATCCTGTCGTAGAACAATCACAGGGCTCATCACATAGTATTGTCGAAAGGAAGGAAGAAATAATAGAGACGAAGACAACAAATAGCAATAGCATATAGTAGTACTATCTCTTATTGAGTATGAGTAGATGTCTATTGTTATTTTTTGGTTTTACATATGAATTATTGAATAATGTTAAGCTTTATGTTATCAATTTTATTTTACAATTTAGCAATTAAATGGAAATGATTAAACCAAAAATTTCATCTATCGATCTTCTCAATGATCAAGATTATTTTTATCAAAATATAAACAGAAACTTGAAAAGTAAAGATTTTTAAAATCACTTTTGTTTCTGAAAACATTCCTTTAGTATTTTAGATCTCATTTTTATATGTGAGACATTGTTAGTAGTCGTGTAATTGTTAAAGATTATTTTGCCTATGGCCAAAGTCTAATAGTATTGAAGTTTTCAATCTATTACTTTATCTAGTATTCAATGTGTTTAATAATTATCTCTAAAAGATTAAGATTGACTTCAGCATATCTTTTTAAATTAATTAGTTTCTGAGACATACTTAATATTTGATGAAATCATAGATGCATGACAATGTCCTGTTGACATTATTCTTAGTGATACAAAGTCCTGAGGTACTTTGGGTTCTATTTTTCAATAAGACTATTGCTTTTGTATTTATATTACTGTTGTTATTGTTTCGGGATTTTATATAAAATAATTTAATACTATACTTCATCTTTCTTTCGATATTGTTAATAAAATTTTTGGTATCTGATTTCTCCTAGAAGAAACAAGCATCTCTCTCTCTCTCTTTTAACTATTGATTCATTTTATTATACGAGAAAATTACGTTTCTATCAGTGAAACTCTACTATGACTCTATTGTATATTGAGAGAAAAAACATCATTGTTTTTTTGTTTTGTTTTATATAAGATCATCGAAGGACTTCGCCGGAAAGAAACATTAATTATAATTGATTTTTCATTCAGTTTACAATAATAGAATTAATTTTTATGAATTTCGTGAGCCAAAAACGGATATTGTTCATTTTAACTAATGTTAATTATCACTAAAATATTTCCTTTCCGATTTTCTTTCGCTCTTATCTGCTACAACATTCTCCCCATATAGCTAGCTGTATGATAGAAGACATCTATAACAGATGTAAAAAAATGATAATACAACCAAAACTACTTTCTATTACATTCACCCAACACTTTTAGCTGCCTCCAGTTACAAAACAACGACAAAGCGGACTCTGTTCGATTCTATGAATAAGCTAATCACTTCTATGCCTTCTCTTCTCTTCGGTCCGTCCCATAGAAAACTATGTCGGTAAATATGTCACAAAAGAATAGAGATATTCTAATTAATCTTCTCCCGATGTTATCCATAAGTATGCATGCCGATATATTCTCATAAATAATGATATGTTATTGATATAATATAAAGATTCTTGAAATGAAAGATATTCGAGAAAAGTTCTTAGTAAAAATATAGCAAATCTATTACTACATGCATCAAGATTCATGTATTTATTTCATATTATTGACTTTGTAATTTCACTTTGAAAATATATCATTGAATAATTTAGAACAATGATCAATCTAAAGGTTTTTCATCATGACTATTGAGATTTTTTATTTATAATTTTATTTATATACACTAATAGCCCTGTATTGTTTATTTTACAAACTATGTATAATTCATATTATTGTAGGCTTTGTCTGCAAATTCTACAACGAGAATGAACAATAAAACATATTGTGAAGTTATTCGATGGTCTCCACAAGCTATGACAATAGTCAAACCCATATTTTATATGTGTATTTTTGCCACCATCAGTCATACTCTTTTCTGGATTCAATTTATTGCATATCCATCCGTTCGACAACATTCAATGCAATGGGTCTATGCTTATTTGATAACTGATGAATTATTACTCTTTCGATTCTTTCTAATCTATGCTTATCGATGGTTACCAGTATGTGTACCTTATACTTTTCGTATGGCGTTTTGCTATGCTGAAGCTATCTTTGACAACTATTTGAATCTATTACAAAGTTATATTCTTTTAGCATTAAATATCTCTCGTTATTTACAAATTGCTTATAATCATAATGTTTATTCTTCGAATGGTCGCTTGATCGTTGTTGCTCATATTGCCATTTATATCACACCCCTATTCGGTCATATTATTTCCATCATATGCGGATGGTGTATTCTTGAGAATCCGCCAGGCGATGTATGTGATCTTCTACCTGTTTCGTTGACTATTCGACTTTTCTTTCTTTTATTTTCTTATTTTATACCAGTTATATTGACATTAATCTTTCTTTTACTCAGTCTCAATTATATTCATAATACACAAGGTATTCAAACACAAGTAATTGTTGATGCACGCTTAAAATATCATCGACAATTAGTTGTACAATCTGGCGTATTCTATTCTCTATGGTTAATCTTGTGGTCACCTCATCTCGTTGTATTTCCATTCTTTTATAAAAACAGTACAGTGGGAACTGTCGCGCAAATCCTAAATTATCTAAGTATATTAGTTGATCCAATCGTGATAGCTGCACTTGATGTAAGATTTTTACGTGCGTGGAAATCGACTGGCGAATATTTTCGACGATATATAAGACGGCAACAATCGGTACGTGCCCCAATAACATATCCGTTAGATTTGTTGGACCGAGCAAAAGAATAGAAATTCGAATTAGGATTAATTCGTTGGTCTTTGGTTATCATGAATTTTCCAGCTGGTATATACAAGTACTCGTTGAAATAGCTCAATTCACGCGAAATAATGTAATAAAAATCGCAAAAGGTTGCGTACTATTCTTTTTGATTCGTCTTAAACATTATTGTTGTTGAACCATAAATATATTTTTCACACGTGTAAATTTCGTTGCCAAATAGTTCTTTTCTTTTATCAATAACATTTTGGATTTTGTACATATTTTCAATTATGAATGAAACCATTTTAATTTTCGATAGCTATTACTTATCGGCAATTCACAACTGTAGACTGTGAGTTTTTTTTTTATCATTATGTTGATTAACTCGGTTTTCCTACTGGCTAACGTTTATTGATGAATTTCTTTAATTGTTTGTCGATACAACATGTGAAATATCTATTGAGATTTACCCGAGCTTCGCCTTAATAACGAGTCAAGAAGGGTATGTGTCGATTAAAAATACATTTATGATGGCAATACTAGGGAAAGCTTTTAGTCTATCATTACCATATTTTGTTAAGTATTCGTCTGCTATGCAATTTTCCTCGCCTAGACTATATTGATCGGTTCAAGTTTGAAAGTGTCTAGATACCATTTCTCATATTTTGCACATAAATGGCAAAATTATTAACTCCAGCACACTATACAATTTAATATTTTGGTTATGATTCGGAGTCTGTTAGGTTAATAGAAGTCAAAATAGATTATCAGTGAGTCACTGACAGTGACAAACTACCAATGATGGAAAGTTATCAGTACTTTTATGTCGGATTTATTCTTTATTCAGTACTATATATTTTTGGGAAGTATCTGAATAAGAAGTTCTGTGTGAAAATTTCACTTATTGATAAATACAGTACTTATTTAATTACAAAATTTGATAACTTCATAGAAAGTACACAGAACTCTTTCGACATATTCAATAATCATATAATGCAAAACAATTCAATATATTCTCTGTAGCTCTTCTCTCGGAAATACATAACTCTGAATAAAAATGCAGTGGAACAACCGTAATTCTTTATTCATAGGTTATGAAATCTAGTGTGCTTTTAGGTACTTCTTAATGTTCCATAGATTAAACCATAGCTACTATATTAAATTGAGCGACATCTAACGATCAAGAATCTCTCTCTGTATCTGTTTATTTCTGCTTATATCTCTCTCGAAGCAATGGGAATAATCATTCACCAAAATTAAATAAAAGATCTATATTATTATCAAGGATACGCATAATATTTAGGGATTTTATTTCTCTCATTGAATGATGGTTATTTGAGCTTGAATTATTTCTATGCTCGTCAAATTTGAGCCCAAGCAAATTTATGGAAAATTCATCATAAATATGTAAATGTTTAATTCAAGGTTACTTCTTATCTCATAAATGTACGATGACATTCGTCAAGGGTTTACTATTATTATTAAACTCAAATTAGAATATAATAAAATATTCTAAAAGATACACATTGATAAATATCACTTACATTAAATAATATTACTCATAATCAAGGTGGGGGGGTAGCTGATTCTATGGCGATAGAATCATCGGAATCACACGGAATCACTCAGAATCAATAGAATCACACAGAATCAATAGAATCACCTGGAATCACCTGGAATCAATGGAATCACTCGGAATCACTCGGAATCATTTGGAATCATTTGGAATCACATGAAGAAAAAAACACCTAAAAACTGCATGTATCTGCTTCTTACCCATGTAAAAAAATTTAGGGCAGAAATCAGATTAAAATCGATTGAAAAATGATTGAAAATCGATTATAATCATACACCTTTAATCGATTATAATCAAAAATAATTCAAAAAACAAAATTTTCATCGATTATTCCTATTATTTTCGATTATAATCGATTAAAAATTCATGAAAAAAATTGATTATAATCGATTTTCGTGCATGAAAAATGGCAAAATTTTTAAGGAATTTTCTTCGCTTTGCATCGATTATAATCGATTTTTTTCATGAATTTTTAATCGATTATAATCGATTTTTTTCATGAATTTTTAATCGATTATAATCGAAAATAATAGGAATAATCGATGAAAATTTTGTTTTTTGAGTTATTTTTGATTATAATCGATTCCCAATCGATTAAAAATCGATTAAAGGTGTATGATTATAATCGATTTTCAATCATTTTTCAATCGATTTTAATCTGATTTCTGCCCTAAATTTTTTTACATGGGTATCATGCTTGATCGAATACATTTCATTAGTTAGAAGTAGTTAAGTCGTTTTTTGGCAGTTTTTCACAGAGCAGTAGAATTAATTTTACCATTTTACAGCAAAGAGGCAGATTTTATTAAACTCCTGTATAATTTCGACGAAAATATACACGTTTGACGGTTTAAATCGAGGTTTTCGCCTACTTCCTCTTCCCCATGGGAAAAATTTCGTTACTTTTCAATGCTGCAAAATGCGTTAATGCTGGCCAGTTTAATACGTTCCGCAGCTGCTGAATCGGTTAAAAACGCCGCGAGATTATATACTTTTCGTTTTCATTCTGAAACAGTGGCTGCCAAACGCGTTTTGAGTAAATGGGAAAATTGGTTTTACGCCTGTGCTACATTAGGAAACGCTGTGAAACACGTTCAATCGGCAAGCATTAACGCGTTTCGCAGTGAATATATCTTAATTTTTTAACCCATGAGTCGTTCTAGCAATGGCGAGTGAGAAGGGGAGAACAAAGCCAAAGATTATTGGGTAGATTTCTGTAGCATAGAGAAAAGGCGCGTAAGCAATAACGATGGTTATATTATTCTAAAAATCTGTACGCCTTAACTACGTAGTCTAAAGATGGCAAGTTTTGGTATTTAACGCAATGAAATGGTGTTATTGTAGATGTCATTCAGTAGATCGAAGCTATTATTCATTTAATAGAGTAAGAATAGGATGAGCACCATGTAAAATTATGAAATAGTTGAATTCCAAGTTTAGAAAAAACTCAACTTACATCTCATAATTTGTCAAAATAAGTAATAGTATGACAGACTCTTTCTAAATGATCTAATCAATGTATATAGCCAATTAATACGGTAGTCAAATAGACGATTGAAAGAATAAGATGATATTTACACTTGATATAGCGTGTCACATATTATCATTGGAAGAAAAGAATTGATGCATTGAAGATGTAATGTATTTCATAATAGAAAAAAACGTTTGCAGTCTAACAATATTAAATGAATCTAATAAATTGCTCGAATAATAATAATACATGGATACATTTTCGACATGATTAATATACGAGCACGCGTATCCACTTTAAAAAGTTGTAATCGTTTTGGATGGTTTATTTGTTAAGTTATTCGATGCCCTGTCACATTTTATCTCAAGTATACAGTAAATAGAGTTTCTGAATTCCATATTTTCAGTCCTCAAGAGACTAAAGCGATGAAATTTTCGACAGCTTTTACCACATCAATCAAATTATCGAACAATTTTCTGATACATAATCAGGTTCCCAAGCAATTTTCAACCGATTGAGTACAAAACGATTCTTTGACTTTTCAAAGTCAATCAAATTAATCTGATTGTGCAAATCAGAACAGCTAGAAAGCTTGACTGGTTGCTGGAAGCAGCGATATTAGTCTGATTGGTACGTTAGAAACTGCTCTAAAATATGGGCAACCCTTTCTCTTTAATTTTCTTTATACTAAAGGATAAAGATAAATTATTTACTGATCGCTTTTTCCTGAAGATAAAGAATTCATTTATCTTTACTTAGTACAATAAGACTAAATGATCACTCATATTCTATAGCTAATTAAGTTATCAACATTCTTCGATGGAACTTGCACCAAAACTCTTACAATTGCAAATTTCTATCGTCTTTGATAATGAGGATATGAGAAGGCTTTCGACCTAAGCGATCTCTCTTGTTTCATGCTTTATGTAGATTTTTGTTTTCAACATCTTTATTTCGAATAAAAAATCAGCCGAAATGAAAGAGATCGATACATTCTGGTTACAGTCAAAATTTGACTATATTGTGCGATTCCTTGAAAGCACGATGCTGTAGTGAATTTTCTAATTTAGCAATCGCAGAGTCAGTCGGGTCCTATGTATCGATTTTCAAAACTCATTAATTACAATACCATCGGATTCTTTTGGATTCATAAAAACGTTCATTTTAGTAGTATCTTAAAGAAGTCAATTAGTGCCAGATAAAGTACAGCTAGGCAATAAGAAATAACGAGCCACGAAAAATCGACAACTTCTCTTTCTACAGAGACCTACGATAGGTGTGAAGGGCTCTCGTTTATAACTAAACTGAAGAATGGATGTACTTTTTAATCTAACTAGCTAAACTATCTTTTGTTGCGTTCTGTTGACAATCAATCTCTATATTTTACTTAGTCGTGCTCGTAAGTCATTTATGATCGGGTTCTCAGAATGATGCACCAGTCGATAGGTAATACAAAGCCATCCTTGTATATTTATGTCTTCGTAGTTCGGTGTTCAGTGTGAAAAAGCTGTATAACATCGCGTGCGATGGTCTTATAGTATGAGAGACAGCATACTTCACATAGAATGTTCTCTCGATACATTCAACAAGAAACGTATGCAGTTTTAAGCCTATCTAATAACGACGTCAACGCTAATGGTCTGAAGTACACAGTTTCAGTCCCATAAAGTAGTTTTTGTATATTCTTCGTGATACTGTTCTTCCATCACAGTACTTTCTCGATCTTGAGAGCCACAAACAATGATGTTCGAAAGGAGACTATAGAATATCGTGTGGTTTTCAACTTTTTGGGAAAGATTGGTGCTAACATACACAAAGAGGCTATCTTTTGTGTTTGATACAGAAAGCAAAATGAAAAATTAAGTCATCTACTTGAGCGCTCAGGCTACTTTATACTTTTGGAGTTTACTCTCTTCACGATCCTTCACTTCTTGACGTTTGAGAACTCCTCTCTCCATACCATTGAACTTTTACAAACTGTATATATTAACTATGAGCTCCGATTTCGAAATCAAAGCAATAGTGGTAATCAGGATAGAAAATAAGGAAAACGCGAGAAACAACAGTAATTCAATTTCTTTCATGATTAAATGTTGATTCTAACCAAATCTAACATTTTGACATCATTACCAAGCGAGAAAATTCACTTGCGATCTGTAATCCTTTGAGTGATCATGGTAAAACAATGAAACAAACAGCACCGGTCTATTGGTCGGTTAGATATCGTCCCGATATGTTATTTTATTGTTGTGAAATGAGAACTGATACACTTTTCGCTGAGATTCAGCAATATACAGATTATGTCTCTTGTGCTCGACTCAATGATTCTTGCGATCATGAGTGAACTGATTTCCCTATTGAATGGAATGATCGGGAATCTTTTGAATTCATCTATGTAATGATTCTATAATGTTCCTGTTGATGTTACGACATTATAGTCGAGAAATACGGTGATATTCATAGTGATTCCAGAGCCGATGGAATCCCACGGAATCAGACGGAATCAATGGAATCAACAGAATCACATAGAATCAGTAGAATCACGGAATCAGCTTTTTCTCCCTTCCTCGTAATACTTTTTTAATTGAAGTATTAAAGGTCTGTAATCATTTAACTTCTGAATATTCAAAATTTTTTTTTCAATTAGGTCTCTTCATGATTTTGGGCACTTATATTGTTGAACGAAGAATTTATGTTAATGAACCAAAAGGGAATAAATTCATTTTTAGACAATAAATCACTGTAGAAATTATACAGAATGAAGGAAAATAGTTAAAAACTATTGGAAACTATCGTAAAAAATCAGATATAACAAAAAAATCAGCAAAGATTTATAATGATCATTAGAATTTAAGCAAACAAATTATGAATTTTATCGATTAGCAATGAATTCTAATCGATTCTTAGAACGCTTTATAATTTATCGTGATTTTATTTAATTCCTCATTATTTCTAATGAGAAATATTGATTTTCGGTTAAGAGATAAAAGAAAACAATTTTCTCTCATGAAAATCGCTAGGGGCCAATAGAAATTAAAAAGTTACATTGACCCCACCACTTATTCGAACATTACTTATTTATGTGCTTGACTGAAGTTCTTCCTAACAAGGTTGTGCGTACCGCAATAGTTTGCTTTTCTATAGCTATCAAAACGCTTTCAAATGATGCAGATTTCATCGTATACCACTACATTCACAATTCGATATGATAGAAATGTCTACATAAAATTTAACGAAGCAAAAGTAATTTTCATTAGTTATACAATTCAAATGAAATTAAAATTTTCCATAAAATCATATAATGCAACCAAATGTAGACGATAGATAATTATCGAGCAATGAATCAAGTTGAATGCAAAGAGACGAAAACAGCTCATTTCTTTTTAGATGGCCGAACAAAGAAAATTCAACGAAATCGCTGATCTTGGATAAGTTTTGCTCTAATTTAAAAATAAAATAAAACCAATCTAACGATACGCCTAATTAAATAACAACAAAGACAAGGGGGAATAAACTGATTTCCAGGCATATAAATCATTGGACATCATTAGAAATCGTCGGAAATCACTATAAATCGTCCAACATTAAACATGTGAATGACGACTCAGTTGTTAGCAATTGCAAGAAACAAATGTAAATAAAATGAAATCACAGAAATTCTCGAACTATATAGTGAAAGAAAATATTGATTTCTATTGATTACTGATGATTTTTACTAATTTCCTTTTTTTTCAGCATGTGAAATGTTTTCAGTGACCACTGCTGATTTCTCATAATTTTTCAACATTTCTAAACGTTTCCAATGATTTGTGCTGGTTTTCAATGGTCATATAAAAGCTGATTTCCAGTCATGGAAATCACAAGAAATCGAAGAAATCACGGAAATCAAGAAATAAGTTTGTTTTCCCTTGAACAAAAAGAACAATGATTGTTCCAATTAAAAGAAAGGAAAAGTCAATAATAAGTTTTCAGTCGATTGATTAATCTATGTTTTGTTTCAAGAATAGAAGTAACGCAATTTAGTTTTTAACTTTTATTTCAATGAACAATTAATAAACATAGAATTACATGACAAGAAAAGTCGTAGAAGTTTCTTATGTTTTTAAACTAACGTCACGGCTACGAATTGGACGACCGTTTTGAGCAAGTTCACGTTGAATACGTTTTGGTAATGTGCCAGTCACTGAAATAGCATACATTCCTTTCACATGATGTGCTATGCGTTGCCATTTCGCAACCCATGATTCTTCTGGATGCATTAGTGCAATCATTCCTTCAAAATTGCTTGATGTACATTCATAAACAAGTTCACCGTTGCCTTTCATAGGAAGAAATTCTTCGCAATTGTCACAACCATCCTCTTCAAACATACCAGCACTTTTAATTAATGAGCATACTAAACAAGCACGTAGATTGCGTAAATCATGTGGTATACGTTCTCTATCGTCCGCCATCTACAATACGAAAAACGAACATTATTTTAATGAAAATAATTTTTAGTTTTCGTATCTTTTTAAAAGAAAAGACCCGACTGCTTTTATCTTTTAACGTACATAGAACTTATGATCTGATCATATTGTTAAAGAAGAAGAAAAAAAAACTTGATACATTAAAAACAAAACGAACAGACAATGTATAGTAGCACAAAGCGATTCCCTCAAATAGTAATTCACTAACAGACTCACAGCAATACACGCACACACATGCACATTGCTATTGCATAAAAAGATTCAATAGATTAGAAATTAAAAAAGAAGCAACTATATAAAAAGCAAAAAGATACACTGTATATCTAACTTATTCTACAATTTTGAGTCACTGATACATTCTATAATACTGTGTCAAAGTGCAATATTGTTTTTATAGTACAAGAATCGATTAAACATCTAAAAATGAAAAAAAAAGAATTCTACTATTTACTAGTTTAATATTTATATACTTGAAGAATTGGTATCAAATTGAGCAAGAGTTGCGCGTAGTTCTTGTAGTTCACTACCGATAAAATCATAAACAAGTGCGCGAGACAAATTATTTTGTTGGCGCTGCTTTGGTGGTAATGGTGGCCTATAGTCGTCATCGTCATCATCATTTTCGACTTTATCTTTAGGTGGTAATTGGTAATGTTCAGAACGAATTAATTCTTCTGTTTGTGTTTTTATTAATGATGATTTTTTAATAGGTTTATGCTGTTTAGGCATGAGCATTGGTGCGTTATCATCATCTTGAGATGTTTTATTTTCATTAGCAGGAGGAATTTTCTTCTTTTCAATAGTTATATAATTTAGTGTTTTTGTTTGCACTTGTTCATTATTTTCTTTCTTTTTTTCTTCTTTCGAAGAATTTTCATGAGCAATCGATGGAACTTTTTGTTCATCGTTCGAAGATATTCCATTCGTTTCAGTTTTCATTGCTGGACGATAAATTTCTTGGAGATTAGACTTAAAAAAGAGATTTAATTAAAAATTGGAATATTAATAAATCAGATACTACTTTTTTATTGGATTTTTCTTCTCGATTCAAAGAACGCTGATCATTGACTACTGGTTGATTTGAATCAGAGACTGGTACATGAGAACTAATTTTGGAGAAAAATACGATCATGATTATTGTTTGTTTCGTTTTAAAAATAACTTACAGTGACTTTGATCGTTCAATAGTTAGATAACGTTCTTTACGTTTAAGTTCATTTTTGCCAATTTTAAGTTTAACAAATTCAAAAAATGCCTTCAAGTCTTCGAATGGTGTTACCTAATTAACATATATATATATATAACAGGTGATAGCAAGACATTTTTAACAAATGTCAAACACAATAGGGTATAATATCGACTTCTTAGCCAATCAAAATTTATTGCCTGTCGGAAAGAGCAATGTTTAAACAAACAATTTCCTATTAGAGACATTGTTTTCAAGAACGAATATTACTCGTCATTGAATGAAGCCATGCATAAATTGAATGCTAGTTGCGTAACTTGTTCAAAATGTCAGCTCAGAAAAAGTTCACCCGAACGAAAGAAAAATGAATTTCTAAGGTATCTGTTATCACTGTTAAATGTTCGGGCTATTTTCCTTTTTAAAATAATGTATCTTCTTCATACTTGTTTACAATATTCTTCTATTGGATGTGTTCCATCATGTTTTTTCCCATGATCACCCACAAAAAAACATGTTTGACAAAGATCATAATTAAAACATCGAAGACATCGATAACTAATTGATATAGAGAAAAAAATTAGGTTTAATGTTCATGTATGCTTTACTATTTTTTATTACCGCATGCCAATAACTGGATATGCTTTACAAGCATTACATTGAGCTTCATGACGAACTAGGAAAAAAAAAAGAATTTCTTCTTAAAAATGAAAAACAAAAAGCAATTAGAAATATATATATATATATATACTTGTTTCAGTTGCTACTAAACGATGTAATGTAGGTAACCATACTAATGTTTGTGGTTCACGACTCATCCAATTGACAAATATATCTTCACGAATAACTCCATCATGCGTCTAAAAGGAATTAGAAGAAAAAAGTGGTTAACTTTTCTATAGTATCCTATTGGAGACATTGAATATATTTTTTATAGATAAATAAATTTGTATATTTATTTGCTTTCATATGAAATGTATAATTAGTGGTTCGTAGAATAGTCCTATCTTATGAATCTGAATATCTTTGTTTTCCAGAAAGACTGCACACACCTTTTTTGGTACCATAAAAAATTTTATCGAATATATTTTCTTTTCTATTTTAATGATAAATATAGTTACGTACTTTATATTTAAATCATTCTATTCAGTCGCTAGCGCACTTGTTCTAATCCTCAATCAGTAAAGATAATCCTTTTCGTTTAACGCCACTCTTATAAAAGATTAGATGAATAAATCTCTTCTTTCGTTTTCAAACAGACAAAAAGAATAGAACTATATATATATTCTTACATGATCGAGACAACTTTGAGCACAAGCAAGGATATTATCTGTATGAAATGAATCAACATCATCAAAATGATTTGGTAGCTAAAATGAATAATAATAATAATAACAAACTTTTTCTTTACAAATAAATATGAAAGTTTCTTTGCTTACTTTTAAAAGTATTTCAAAAAGTTCTATTAACTTTGCTTGTGTCACAATTACATTGGGTGATGCAATTTGTCGGAAAAAACCTATAGAAAAAAATCAAAACGATGATATTTTGAAAGATTATTTCTCAAATGCATACATCGATATTTTTCTGGTAATCTTGCATTTGATAATGCAAAAACAATTATTTTGAATGAATTTAGGTCAAAATCTTCATCTAATTTTCTGAAACAAATCGATTGCAATTTAAATTTAAAAAATCAATAAAAACAATAATAGCTATTTACACATCAAGAATTTCGTATAAAAACTTTAATAATGTTTCAACTGTGTCTTCAAGACTTGATTCATTAAAATGATAAGTTGATATCAATTCATAAATAGCTATCAAAACTTTTCGTGCATCATCTATGGATATTGTTTGTGTGTCAACGCCAAATTGTAATTCATGAGAATTAAATGCTCGTACAAGGATATTATAATCAACAAAGGTTACTGCAATATGAAAAAAAAGGTCGATTCAATTTGTTGATATTTATTCTATAGCTTACATTTTAAATATTTTTGTATGACACGAAGTTTACATGCAACACGATAGGCAGCAAATTTTATTTTGGTTAATGATTCTTAAAAAAGAATAAATCAGAAAAATAGAGATTAAGTGAAATTTTTACAAAAAAATAATTTACCCATCTTCTGAATTATTATATCATATAATTTTTCATTAGGACTAATAAAGATTAAATGATTAGAGTGAAGATTTAAATAAGAAGAAGAAAATACATACTCTTTTTCAATACTCTCCGTTGTCGTCATTTTTTTCAAGAATATGACACTTGCATTATCATTAGCTTTAGTAATTGCTTGTGTATGGTTGTTTATTTGTTTTCTTTCTCTAATGATAATTAAACAAGAAAAAATTTCAGCGCCAATAAAAATTGAAATTCTAACTGCAAAAACTCTGAAACTTCATTATATTTATTCATTTATTTTAACTAACGACATCTAGCAAAAGAGTGTCATTGCCTAGAAACGTGCCATGATAGAGGAATATCAATGAGATTTGTGAAATTTATTTTCATTTTCAACAAATTAATAAGCAACGAAGATGTTTACGACACCTTATCGTGAAATGCCGGGCTCTGTAACGCTCAAATCAAGGATACCTATGGAATACAGTCGAGCTGTATTAACGAATATTTGGTTAGCATAGATATATTGAGTTCTTAGTCAATCATTTGATAAGCTTTTTCTCTGTAGGCATCAAAAACGTGAAGCAGAACCAAAAGATAATGATTTGAACACACTTCCAGTTCGCAATATGCATATAGCAACATATAACCATATTGCTGCCGATGTACAGGTAGATAAACTATAAATTGTAGTGTCGATGTGTTTGAAATCACTATGAATCATATAGACAACGATACCAAATTCAACAGCTAAGGATCAACAAGAGCAACCGTTTCTAGAACGACCCTGGTATCTTGAACATGAATACCCACGAAAAATGATAGATCGTTCAAACATAAATGTGGCCAATGCGGCTCTAGATGGGTTTGTAATAGAACAAAAATGATTTATTGTTGTTGACCAAAATGACTTTCTCTAGACTACTTAACCGAGTAGATCCACAATTAAAACGTAATGTGTTGCCATCACGAAATTCTGCTGAACATGAACAAGCAAAATTGGAAACGACATACCATGCTGATTTTCCACCACCATTTCCATACGAAATGAAAACTGTTGCTCATTCGGACTATGCTGATAAGGTGAATCCTTTTATTTTGTTTGACAATAAAAATACATTCATATTTTCTTTTCCATTTCAATAGAGTTATCCAAAATATCCTGATAAATCATGGGCATATAGAAAAATGGTTTCACATTTTACAGACTTAGATAAACCAAAACGAACTGGCATTAATACATTTCATGTTCAACACGCTCAATATGAAAATGAACAATTGCGCAGAGATTTCGGTCATTTTAAACCTTCTCAATTTCAGTGATAAAAATATACACATATTTATATTTTTTAAATAAAAATAAAACGAATACAACCTATAACATATCACCAGAAGTTAATATTCTCACGCGTAAATGTCAAAACGAGAAATAAAATAAAATAAAATATCGGCATATTTCTCATGAACTATTTGCATTTCTTACGAAAGGAAAGAAAAGAATTCTAATCAATTCTCAATTAAAAATATGTAAGGTAGAAAATAAATGAGATATTTTTTCACAGCTAAATGAAAGATGAGTAGCGATAGTTTATATATAAAAGAGGACTTCTTTATTTATTCGTTTTATCATCGTCATTGTTACTAACACCGTTTGTACACATAATTCTCTCTCTCCAATTCATTGTTGCACGGATTTGATATATACATATATCCGATTAATTTCTGTCCCTAGCTGTTCTATATTTGCGCAAGTCAAATATGTCTCATTTTTCTCTCTCCATCTCCTTCCCTTTGTGTTAGTTAACTATGCTCGATCATTTTTAGGTCTTCGATTTCTTTTCTTTCAAATAAAAGTACCAACGAAACGAAAGAATAGATATAAATTTTGCAGCTATAACAATAGAATTGTCTGCTTGATAGGATCTTTCTTTAACAGAGAAGAAAAAGATGCATTCAGCTGCCATAGACTGTAATGGTAATTTATTTTTTATAAAGGTATGTCTTACATTTTGAATGAAGTATAGTGTACCTTTCTTTCTTTCTTTCTTTCTTTTGAAATTAGATCCAAGAGTAGTACTCGTAGTAGTAGTGGTAACAGAAAGAAAAAATAGCAACAGAATGAGAAAAGCGCTGCAAAACGGACCGACGGTATAATAGAAGAAAGTAAAAAAAAAGTCGTCCTCGTCTTCCTCGGTTTTTTTATTTTACTTTTTTTTGCATGCTGTTTGCGCTGACCCCTTTAGATATTTTTTTTTTGTTAAATGAATAGTATTGACTTGTCTTGAACTGCATTATTGAACTTGCATGCTCAGGATTTTCCGCATCGTCGTTTACGTTGCCACGATTCAATAGAAATATAAGTCAATAGTGCTAGAGAAAAGGGGGAGTAAACAAGTCGATATAGTTGTATTTCTTTTATTGAAATTAATCGTAAGTAAAGAAATTTCTATTGAAAGAAAGAAATTATTCAATATGCCGTATCTACATGAGCAGATATATATATTTCAATAAGATACTTGATAATAATCAGATCGATTATGTAAATTAGTGGTCGACTCAAGTGTATTTATTTGTTAATAAAAAAAAAATATGTATATACATATACACAGAAATCGAAAAATAACTTAACCTTATTGTGTTAAATCTAAGACTCTTTACTTTTGTACATATTGAATTGATTTGATTTGACTTGTCTTGCATTGATGGACATAAGATTTATGCTGTTTAATCTTCATTCATCAACATAAATGTTTGATATTATAAAGTCGTAAACGCTTGTATGAGATACAAAAACTATTGGAAAAGTCTTGACTTAATGATGACAAAGATGATAAGCATAAATCACGGAAGCTCAACAGTAGATTGATTCCTTTACTCATAGTTGTAGGTAATAATTATTCCCTCGTTGTTTTTACATCTCTTTTTCTTTCTTTGCATCATCATCATCATCATCGTCCTATTTTGTTCTCTACCTTTATTGTTTTGTCGTCGAGAAGAGGCATATAGAAGCACTCATTGTCATCGTATATAGCTCATGGCATTTCCATGTTTTCTTTACTACTTCAATGAGACAAAACGTTAATGTAGAAAAGAAAAATTTTTTTTTTTTAAATATTTTCTCTTCATCATATTCTGTTTCTCTGTTTCACGTTGTCGTTTTTTACATACTTTTTCCCGTTAATTCATCGTTCTCTATCGTAATTCTTCTATATAACAAAAAGAAAACTAGTCAAATATATAGTGGCGGTTAACTAAAAAGAAGCTAAAACAATATTTATATTTCACGGTAAGTAATGAATAAATACTATGATTGTGATAGGACTTTTAAGAACTGCTCATTGCCTTTTTGTATTTGTGTTAATAAGAATAATGGTCCTAGAACGTGTAAAGAAATGCGATATGGTTTCCAAGTATCCATTGAACATTTGCATTAAGTGTGTGCATATGTATGTGTGTGTGTATTAAATCGATTGTAAACGTCCAATTATGACCAGTATGAATGATCGAAAATATACACGACCTTTTTATTTAAACATGCATACAGCCGACTAAACACATAGCTATATCACATCTATCATTCCGATCGTCAGGTATCGTATTCATGTCGAAGAAATTATTTACGCACACTACAGCTCAATCCGTTCTCATTTATGGATAGAGTAGATGATGGTGTATTATTGTTGTCAATAGTTAATTGATTATTAAAAATCCGACATATAGTCAAAAGGATAATAAGTATTATATACACACTCAAATTTTACATGTCTTATTGTTTTTATTGCTGTTACCGCTGCCGGCATGCTATTTTATGATCACAAGTTTGTTCTGTCCCGTTCTTAATCTCGACGAAAGAGAGAAAACGAAGAGAAGTAGTCAAGAACATTTTTTTACACAATCATAAAATAAGACAGAATGCGATGAAGAGAATGAGAGATTTATATTTACAAATCTGAAAATGAGTAAAACGAGAGACAGAGAGAAAAATAGAAAAGCAGGTGTACGTGTTCTTTCTTCTTTTTTCTCATTGCTATTGCCATCAATAATATCCAAAGTATATAAATATATGTGAGTAAAAAGAAATAGAGAATATAAGAGACATTAAAAGTTTACTGACAACGGCGAAGACCAAAATTTTTAGAGTTTTTCTGTCTTTTTTTTTGAGAATTCAATTTATACTTCATCATGTCGCAATCAGCGGCACTTATTCGAGTAGCTAAACATACTCTCGATGGAACTGCTATTTATCCTCATAATGGACAAAATACAATTTATTATCAACCTTTTGATTTATCATCGACATCGTTGAATCCTACTTCAACAACAAAATATTTAGCCTATACTATACAACGACCTCATGAACATCTCGTTCCACCGGCAAGTCATCATATGCGAATCATTGTTCGCATTTGTATTTGTATTTCATTTGTTGTCAATCGTTGTTGAGAAGGAGAAAAGATGCATTTGACAGTTTTCACGCCTAGCAGCGACCCTATTCTCTCTCTGTCTCTCTCTCTCTCTCTCTCTCTCTCTCTCATATTTGCTCTGTTTAACTAGAACGGAAGCCGAAATGCGTATAAGCAATGAAAGAAAGAAAATAATCTTATAACAAACGAATGGACATTGTTCTTTAATCCGAGAACAATCAAATTTTATTTCTCTTTTTCTTTTCGTTTCTATCAAATAATGACCGCAACCTAACATTTATTCGAGGAATCGATGAACAGGTCGTCGGTCTTAAAATAATAATAATAATAAGCATCATCATCATCATCATCATCAACATCACCATCATCTTAGCCGAGAAAAAAGCCTAATAAAAGACAGAAGAGGAAAAAAAAGAACAGTAATCAAATTTTTGATGATTTTTGAGTATGTATATTCAAGAAATAATTCAGAAGAAGTCGATAAATATCATCTAAATTTCATTTTTTTCCTTCTATATAATGTTTTTTTCTTTATATTTTAGCGATCTATGAAGGTACATATAAACCTAATTGGTTTGACATGACGAAAACAAATTTTTTTTTTCTACATTTTTATCTTCTCTCTTAGCGTCTACTTCCGAATGATCTTTCACCATCGCCACCAACAAAAATACTCGCTGTCACCTCTAACGAAGAAGAAATGAACAACAATAACAATAATAATAATCATAACAATAACAATAACAACAACAATAGTTCATATAATCTTAGTAATGGACATCAAAATGGCGATAGCAATGAAGTCAAAAAAGTATGTTAATAAATCGAATATTTTGACGAAACATTTCAAAGCCTGTATGCGATAAATTTTGAGTTCTATTGAAAATTTTATTTATTAAGTAGCTATCTACCTTTCATTGAGCATAGCTGATTTATTGGAATAAAGAAAACATAGGTCCGGTGGGCACTTCAACTTAGAAAAAAAAATTCATCATCAAATTTCTTTTGATTCTTGTCTTGTGAAAAGGTCAAGTTTGAAAGTCTATAAATATAGACTCATTGCTGATTTTTCATTAGAATTTTGTAAAAACAAAAACATATTATTTCCTTTGTTTTAAGGCACGAATTGAAAAAAGTCCACCGTCTCGTGTTGGTAAGTGAACAGTTTTCGTGTCTTGAAAGCTATTTCTTTCTTTCTATCAGTTCATTTGAGAAATATCGATGCAAGTGAATTAGAAATTGTACAATTTGGTCTTTCATTTGGTAAAATTACCAATGTACTTAATTTACGAAAAAAAAATCAAGTTCGTATAAAAAACAAAACTAAAAGTGCTTGTTTTATCTATGAAAGAAAGTAATATTTCATTTGATTTTAGGCGTTTCTTGAATTTGACAGTATTGAACATGCACAAGCCATGACGGATTATTTTTCTTCAATACCTATTTTGTTAAATGGTCGACAAATATTTGTACAATTTTCAAATCATCAAGAATTAAAGACCGATCCAAATAACGCAAATAATCAACAAGCACAAGCTGCACTTCAATCAGCAACAACATTACAAGAAATCGGACGAACAGGTGGACAAAACTGTGTTCTACGCGTTGTTGTTAATAATATGCTTTATCCAGTTAATGTCGATACATTTCATCAAGTAAGTAAAAAATACAAAAAAAAAGTGTTTATTTTTATTTTCTCGTTTTAGATCTTTAGCAAATTTGGTGTCGTTTTGAAAATAATTACTTTTACAAAAAATGGTAAGAAAACGTCGTAAACTTTCATCTTTATTAATCATTCGTATTCGTATTTAGATAAATTTCAAGGATTATTACAAATGAAAGATGCTACAACTGCACAATCTGCAAAATTGGTAAAAAATAAAATAAAATAAATTTTTCTAATGAAAAATAAATAATCATTATTTATTTTTGTTTTTCAAAAGAATTTAAATGGTCAAAATATTTATAATGGTTGTTGTACATTGCAAATTGACTTTTCAAAATTACATGCTTTAAATGTTAAATATAATAATGATAAAAGTCGAGATTATACAAATCCGACATTGCCATCAAGTGAAAATACGAATGAACCAATTTCGATCGGTGCAAGATATTTAACAGGTAGCTGTATGATTTGTTTTCTCTGCAGTTAAAACAATTGTTTATTTTAATTGTTTAAAGGTATTCCGAACGTTTATGGTTCACCATTGATGGCATTTACAGGAGCTCCATTGACGACACTATCAGCAATGAACAATGGTGCTATTCATTTTCCTAGTATGTAATTATTTCTTTTATAAATGACAAATCTGATTGAATGAAAAATATTCGACCTTTATTCAAAGAATGTAATTAGAAATGCTTAGAAAAAGCTGATTGAATTTACATTCAAATTCTATTGGTAGAGAAATATTCAAAGTATTGTAGTCTAGTACAACAGAATTCAATGGACTTAAAATCGTTTCATAGATTTTAAGAGGCTCATTTGTTTATCCTGATGAAAGAGAAATATGAGCTATGATACGCATCTACTATTTACTCTGTTCATACATACATCTTAATTCATTGTAGTGAACAAAATTTTTTCAATATGAAACATAATCTTTCAAGAATAGGTCTAATACAGGATCCTTTTTTTTTCATTATAAAATAAATTTAGCATCAACAGCAGCCATGTTAAATGCAAGTCAATTAGCTCAACAATATTCAGCAGCAATTGCTTGTTCTATGTCGAATGGTAACAATCCTGCTACAGCATTGTTACAAGCAACAAATACAGCACAATCACAATTGTCATTATCATCGTTGCAACAACATGCTCATCAACATGGCTCAACAGCAAGTCCGTACATATTTCTTTCAGCTCCAACATCATCTGATGAGGTATGTGGAAATGGTGGTGGTACTAGTGTTGCTACTGGGAAAGCCACAACTCTATCTTCACCTTCTGCTCTTTACTTTTACAACAACAACAGTACACCCACCATGTACTCTGCTGACTTTCTGCGCTTGTGATAATAGAATATATATAAACCACTATTCTATTCTTCTTACATTTTCTTTTGTTTTATATGCATATACAATGGTGCTCTTTTTGAACACTATTATCTCTTATTGAACTCCTGCTTTATCTTTAAGACGGTCCGTCCGCTTTCTCTTCTATTTTAGCTATTCCCTGTGAACTTTTCTTTTTTCTTTTTGTTTCTTCTTCATATTGGCAGAGCAAATGACAATCAATAAATGCTATTGTCTTGATTTATTGTCTTCTGTTCTTGGTTCTTTGCTGCTTTTTTTGTGTTTTTTATTCAATTCAAATATGCTGGAAAATAATGATCTGCTGAGTCTATACAGTATCTTTGTTTCCTTTTTTTTCTCATTTGTAATACTCCCCTTGATTTTTTTTTCTGTTTCTTATCTTTAAAACTGGCAAGTGTGAATGACTATTTTTTATTTTTTTTTTTTTTTTTGGGTTTTTTTTTTTATTGATTATCATTTTCTCTTTCTCATGCAAATAAAACTTATGTCTGTTTCAGTTGATGCTGCTCCATTGAACTAATTATCTTATAAAGGTAAAATAATCATATGAAATATTATCTTACACATTCTTCCTTCTTTTACTCTATCACATTATACATCTACACAGATATACGTTCTCTTTTATTTACGTGTGACCTGATCAGTTTTATTTTATCCGATCGAAATATTTTTTCTCTTCTTCTAAGCCAACCTTGTCGATATCTCCTTTGTTCTTTTCATGATTCTTGCCTTAATAGGATATTTTCTAATCAACTATAGACATGAACATAGCACAAAAACAAGAAAAACAACAACTAGTGTATTGTTCTAGTGTTTTTATTTTCTTGTTAGATGTATGTTCGTGTCATATTGTTTGATATGCCCTTTAAATATTTCTATACATACACGTCCATAGAACAAACAATGTGTGCCATTCTTTACCTTATTTTTTTTGCTAGATCACAGATCCGAATAGTAAATTAATTTTGTCTGACATACAATAATTCTGCTTATTCTCATTGTCCATGTCTTTTCTTTTATTTTGACCACCACTGCACTCACTATAGATTCATTACATTCTATTGGTATTGTCTTGATTTCTTTACCCATTTACACCTGAAAGAATTCTTTCCAAAAAATGATTAGTTCTTTAAGGAAATATGTTTTAAAAACTATCATAAAGAAAAATCAATTTGCTTATTGCTTTTTCTTCTTTTTATCTTGAAGCACAGCTTATTATTATTTCATGCAAAAACAATACGTGTAAGTATACAGATTAGAGACATGACCAAGGCGGAAAGAAAAAATGCTGAGGCTAAGACAACAAAAAGTGCTTCCGACTGAAATCGAAGATTATCCTATCTATAGTTTTAAGCTCAGTATCATGTGAATCAGAACATAATTTGTCGATTAAATAGATCTTTTACCACTAGTATTGAAATCTGTATTTTTAGAAATGATACTAATCAATTCTGGTTGATTATTTTTTTTCTCTCCAGGTTGAGACAAAAACAAAAAACTCAGTTCCATAGATCCACAATACCACCGAATAGTAGGATATTCATACAGTTCATGAAAGATGTTGTTTGTTTTGCATTCATGGATTCATTTTCCAAATGACTTGAGTGTCTGCAATTCAATCGAGTTGAATAGAGTAACGATGATGTCCTATAAATTTTTATTAATGACCGAAATGTTTAGCCATGAAATCAACAATATCTATTTGTTTTTTCAAATTTTGATGACAACAGAAATGTTAAAATTTTAGTTGTAAAATTAAATGATCTCATACTCAGCAGACAAGTAAAATCGATAGGCATTATTTAAGCTCATAAATATCTACAAAGAAGTTTCGATGAGAATAGCAAAAGTTTTCAAGAAAGAGTTCATCTAAATGGATTTTCGTAAGAGAAGTCACGATCGTTATTATTGAATTTTCCACTCAAATAGACATAAAAAAGTGACTTTCAACATGAAAATTTCTTGTTGCATACAGGTTTATTAATCCATACAATATCATAAAAGTTTCAGTGGAAAAGAATCTTCTTTTATTAACATATCGTTTTTTGTTTGTGTACAATGTTTTGCCCCATATAAAATTTGAGTTCACTTGAAACTTGAAAAATATTTCGAACATTCAGTATATTCTGAAAATTGGACCGAAAACTCAATGTAAAAGGAACTTTTCAGACTTTGGCTAGAATTACTGACATGTCCTTGCAGATACCATATGAATTGAAACACCAAATATGAATATCGGTGAGTATTCATGCTAGTTGATATTTGCATTGAATCAGTCAAGTGCATTCAATGAATTCTCAAGAGCTAGTTTTTCTTTTCAATGTTTATTCAAATTATTTGATTTGTCAAATTTTTGAAGCGCCTCATTATGTAATCGATACTTGTTTTATTGTTTTGTTTATAATACTGTAAAATAAATAAAATATTTATGATTTCTTATGATATTAATATCTAAAAATTATTTCAATGAATTTTGTTTGATCTGGCTATTGTCTTTCTTGATAGTAACCAATGGATGTTTCTTCTTCGCACCTAACGTGCCACTCTATTATCACTATTGTGAAATTTATAATGCTTCTTATATCGTCAAGTTTGACTATGAAAAATGTTTACATTGTTTAATTACAATGGCAAGTAGAGAAAGAATAAATGACACGTGGCGTGGTAATTGCAAGTTTCAATTTCACTGCATAGAACTCCGATTTTTTAATACTAAAGCATTTGAATATTTTTTTAAGCATTATTATTCTCGGTTAACAGAATTTTTTAAAATATCAATCAATTCTGAAACGTCAAATACATTGTATATTATACTTAAGCGGGACACATTCGAAAAGTTAAATTTAACTTATATACAATCATTCATAAAATCAAATGGAATAGATTATTCTTATTTATTTTTCATTTTATATCAACATAGACAAGAAAGACTATTAGATTTACAAACGGATCGTTTAAATATACCTTTAACTGGTATTAAAATAAAACTTTATTGTGACAAATATACAATTCTTGATTACTATATTAGTCGTCAGAATGAATCAGAATATCATTCTAATAGATGCGTTAAAATCGTATCGAATTCTTCAGAACTAACAACGACGACGAGGACGACGACAAATTCTTCTATGATAATTTATACGAAAATAAAGAATCGTGTCACGATAACAAATATATTTCTTTTTATTACTGGCTTAATAATATTTTTACTATGCATATTATTTATATTTTTAAATTTATTTGTAAGATATGATAAATGGAAAAATCATCATGACTATAATCAACGATCAAGTATTGTTTTAAGCACGTTTAGTGTAGATTCATTTGATACTCTTAAAGATGATATTTCATATTTCGAACGAAAAAAACCAAGACAATTACTAACAACATCAAGTCAAAGTGGAAGCTATTCGATCTTTAATGATGTCGGAGTGAAAGACATTCATTGACTCATTTTTATTTATGAACTAAGTTTTAATAATAGAAACAGAATAATATGTGACTATATATTAATTAAATATTTATATCATATTTTGTAAGTACAACCAAACCATAAGAAAATTCTGCAAATGATATTATTTTTGTATTGTTAAGTACTACTTATGTCATATATAGCGTAATTGAATTCACTAGATCGCACACCTAAGTAATAGAGATATGTATAAAGAGTCAATAATATGTAAACATATGTTAATTCAAATGTCAGATGTATAAATAAGAATGATGACAGGACACATATACAACTGATTGGTTTCATTGAAAAAGTTTCGTAATAAAAAAACGTTGACAAGTTTGGCAGTCGGCGAGTGTATGAGATGGCTGATGCCTACGATTGCGAAATTACTATCTTTAGTTCTATGTGAACAGCCAACAAAACGGTATGAGTTATATGTAGAAAGCTAATAGCTACTCATTGCAACAGATTGAACAAGTAAGTAGAAAATTTTTATCAATTCTGTATGTCAAAATAACCCACAGATGTTTTTATAATCCCATGTTACATAAAAGTGTGTTTACTCTTACATGAAGAAATCTCAAGTTCTAATGTAGAATAATTAGATCAAAATGTTGTTTAGTAGAATTATTACTCTAATTGTTCGTACATATTCGAGAAATGCGATCAAGGCAATGAAAAATATTTTATGAATTAGACATATTTTTACGTGCTTTGCTTTTCAATTAGAATAAATATTGTTGAAAGTTTAAATACAGTATCACAATGAAACACTTAAAAAAATAATAATATTGCTATTGTATAGCTGATTTGTAGTTTGCACAGACGTAAGCAAAGCATTTTTTAGTGCTGAAAGATAAGTAATTATCAGGCTAGCATTTAATTGATTTGATGGCTGTGTCAGAGTACCGATTTAAAATTTAATTAAAATTCACATGAGGAGAACGCGAATGAAATACATTGGTTCTAGGCGTAGACTGAGCTGAATTAGCCGGGATTTGGCATATAGAACTCTCTTTGAAATGCTATAATAGACAGGTTAGAAGAGGTTGAATTCTAAAGGAAAATTCAATTACATGCCATTAGTTAAAACAGCATGCATATTTGATGGGATCTAGTTAATACTTGTCATCGACGTCACATAAGCAATCCGAGTCAAAAAACAGTAGGTTGGATAATGAAGAGAAATTTTTTGTCCAATGAAGAATATTCCATTTTCATCTATAACGGATTCTCAGTTGAGAATCCGTTAAAACAGCAGGCTCATGGCGTACTGAATACGACTTATATTAAATATAGAAAATTACATCCGAGACTCATTGCTAAGAGGATTTCATAGGTAAACGATGGTCAGCCGGCTGATTAAATTAGTTGGATCAGGAATTTGTTTTGTTTGTTAAAATCAAATAATTATTTCCTGATCTTCGTAATTACAATTATTATTAAAATGTCACGCCGAGTTCTTGTTTTTCAGATCATTTATTTGAACAAAGAAACGTTCGGGATTCAATCAAATTTCTTTATTATCATCATCATTTAGATTGAAGACATATTCCGATGTTATAACTAATATACGCATAGTCAAAAATGACTTAAATTTTTATGCGTCCATCATTACATAGCGTATATCCTAGCCTTTGCCAATGAAAAAAATCGAACAGTTACTAATATATGTCGCACAGATTTTCATGAAAATTTCTTTACTCCTGTTCTTATTGATATCTTCCCTGTGATAATTATTGAAAAACGACTTTCTTTCTAGTTTTTGTTGCCCATGAAAATCTCAAATTTAGTTTTGATGGATAAAACTTCTAATACTTATTTTGTTTTTTTTTTGCGGTTTGTAACTATGCGTTTATCATTTTTTTGAATAAACAAAAGCTAAATCATGTTATTCTTTTCGTCATACTTTTGTTACAATGTTCTAGCTCAATGTTTTTGATGTGACTTTTTTTGTTATAGTTTATTAATCTATAATACAATTCACAAAAGAACTTTTTAATATTAAAAATACTGCAAAGCAGATAAAGAATAACGATTCTTTTGCAAATAACCATGAGAAATTAGTTTTATTTACATTAACATCAGCTAAAGAAAATATACCAGTATTAACGGAGAAATAAAGGGATACATATAGCTATTGACTCAGTTACATTACTAATTTCAATCATGGCAATATCCATAGCCAGAACTACAGCAGTCAACTCAAGAACAAAGAATATTAATGCTCGTATGAACATCACATTATTATTAAAATCAAGTGCGAAGTTTACTCGAGCAAGAACTCTTTCTACTGAATCGAGGAGATTAATATCGATGAAAAGCCTCGATTTTGAAACAATCATAATTACAAGATTAAATGGAAAGAATATAACAACGACAACAACTGTTTGGCATACTAACAGTGATCTAACAACGTCTCTATCATTACAATCAAATGTTTCTATTCTATATTTGCTTGTTGCTTGCTCGATTTTTATGATATGTGTAATATTTGCTTCTATATGCAGATGTTTTCGACACAATAATAATACCAGTGAGTATGATATTACTAATCAACATCAAAGTCCTATGTACAACATGCTTAATGCTGACAAATACAGCGTAACAGACAAAGAATCTGAATCTTCTGCAGCTGCTTGCATGGGCCAATATCTTTACAATCACCATTAGTACTATGATATATTAACTACACTTGTTAGTGGACTGACTAGACAATTTTTGTTTCATATATTGTTAAAAACTGTCGATGTAATATCTATCCTTACTTCATGAACTCTTTAAAACAAATCATTTTCCGATCTGATAAAAAAGAAGCAATAAACGAATGTGTTTAGTCGCTTACAAAGTTTATTGAGATGAAAATGTTCGTCTAAACCATACTAAATACACTGAATTTAAGTTGTAACTTTCTTTCCTTTAATTTCTATATCGGCTTTGTCTATCACAAGAAAATTCAATATTGATAATTTTCTATATTTCAAGAACATGTGTTTTTCTTGACGCAGAAAGAAAACAATCTGTAGCTTCGACAAGTCTGATTGACACATGAATATTGAATAACTTTTCACCCATTCAATCAATTTCTATATTTATTTCATGAAAAACTTACATATTCATAAAAATATTTTGTAGAGATATCGTCAAAACGAAAGATCACCAGCATCATGACTGTGATTTCATTATCAAGAATAAGAAATGTAGTAAAAGCAAGTCTAGAAGATTTTCTAATCATCAATGCATTCCTCATGAAAAACAAAATTCTGTTTTCTCATTATTCTTTTTAGTCTATGCATAAATTAGTTCTTATAGAAATTTACTATAAATAAGTTTCAGTTTGCATATTGAATATTCTCTCATACTATTTATATCCTAACTTAATCAATATTAATTTAAGTTTCCATCTTTCATCCCTCGGAACATTTTAGTTTTTAATCATACAGTTACCATATTAATGAGATATTTAGTATGTTCATAGAGAATTTTTAACATCAAAGTATACTCTTCTTATTTGTACAAAAAAAATGAACACGTAATTTACAAAATAATGTTGAATATTTGATCGAATCACCGAGAAAAACATACATAACGAGAAAAAAAAATTTTTTACACACAGACAACACATTGTCTAAGGAAATGCGATATTAACATCACAGTACATAGGAGGAAAAAAAAGAGTAGATATTGTTTTTCTTAGTTCGTTAAATTAAGTTCGTCGATTATTATTCGTATTTTGTGAATTATGTTGACGTGATGATTGATTAGGTGAGACCATATTTGCAGCACTAGCAAAAACTGAATTAAATAAACTGGGATCAAATACCGATGAATTAAGTAATTGAGGATTAGCTAAAGCAGCAGCAGCTAATTGTAGTGTTGCTTGATCCCACTGAATTGATTGTGTTAGTCCTGCTGGAATTCCGACTTGCGATGAAAGACCACGGTTTGTCTACAAAGAATTGATTAAACAGTAGAATATTTGAAAAAGCTACCTAGTTGAGTTTCATTTAGAAAGATCTTATCACATTGTCACCGGAAACTTTCGAAATTATACTATTAGAGTTTGTCGAAGCTGACTCTTTCAGGTTAGCAGTAAACAAAATCATTGAGATAGTTTCAACTAATTAAGTAATATCTTAAATCAAACCGTCATTGAACTTCGATACATGTCTCGAACGCAACATAAATTTCGAAAGATTCGATATTTAAATAAACTTAAACTACTGTCCAGCCTCTCAAACGAATTGATTTACCTGTTGATCTTGTGTAGCAGAATATCCTGTTGTTGAACGTCGAGATGAGGTTGAAATAATAGGGGATAATGGTGTATTTGGTTGTGATCGATTTGACGATGACGAGCGTTTTTGTTGTTGAGCCTAAATTAAAGATTAAACAGAGACCAATTGTACTTTCTTTTAAGAGAAAAAATAACTAACATGCTGATCAGATCGATGATGAGAATAATCAGTTGAAGTACGATTTGAACTACTTTTGCTTGATCCAGACGAACGTTGCGCCTGATTTGTTGGACTTTGTAATGTTGTTGGTGTTGTTGTTTTCATAGCTGATGCGTTTGCATTAGCTTTTGGACTATTAAGCGATTTATTAAGCATATTATCAACAGTTAATGGTGAACCAGAAATTTTGGGTGATGATGAACCAATGAGAAGTGCTTCTTTAAGAAAAGATCCAGCTGGAGATTTTTCAGTTGGTACTTTTGTAGCAAACTGTTGTTGCTGCTGTTGTTGCAGCTGCTGCTGCTGTTGTTGTAGGTGCTGCTGCTGCTGCTGTTGTTGTTGTAGGTGCTGCTGCTGCTGTTGTTGTAGGTGCTGCTGCTGCTGTTGTTGTTGTTGGTGCTGCTGCTGTTGTTGTTGTTGTTGTTGTTGTTGTTGTTGTTGTTGTTGTTGTAGCTGCTGCTGTTGTAGCTGCTGCTGTTGTTGCGGCTGTTGCTTAGATAGAATTGGGGATGATGTAGATGAAGAAGTTGAGCGTTGTGATGAATCTTTATGTGATGAAGCATGAGTATTTTGTTTCGATGATTCATTTGCATGTTTTTTGTAGTGAGGAAATAAATCCATAGTAAGATCAATAACAGTTGATGGGTTTTGTGTTGAGTTGCGTTTAGTTGGTGAGTCAGATAGTGAGATGGGAGAAGCGATAGCTGGCTTTGCTATTGGGCGAACAATATCAGATTTATTATGTTTACTGAATAACTGTTCAGAAAGCTGAAACAATAAAAATAAACATGAAGGAAAAATTAATATGATAAAATAAACATACTTGAATAGGTGTTGACTCAGATGATAGTGAATGTGATGCATGTTGTTTAATAGTATTAGTTGTAACACGTGTAGCCATTTCTAATGATTTTCCATGAGCTTGATTTGTAACTGGTTGTATTGAAGGTTTGTTTTCAGTTGTTTTCAAATTTTGAGGTTGAGAAACGACTTTTGTTGTATTGACTACTGATGATGTATTAGTATTTGATATTTTCGATTGTGTTTGTTGTGTTGCTACATTAGAATTTGATAGTTTTGCAGATGCCGTTGCTGGTGGTAGACCAGGATTTGATGGTTTTGTAGATGCCGTCGCTGGTGGTAGACTAGGATTTGACACTTTTGGTGGATGATTAACGTGTGATGTTTTTGTTGATGGTGGCGGGGGTTGCGGTGGTGTCGGCATTGTTTGAGAATCTTTTCTTATTCGTTCAGCTACCGGAGGAGCGGGTGTAACTCGAGCTGCCTAATAATATGAAACAAAATTGATCATTAAGAATCGCGTTGTTTAAATGAAAAGTTTTACTTGTGATGTTTGAATTACTATTGGATTTGTATCTCTTAATGGTCGATATTCAATTCTGATAACTTCACTAATGATCTTTCTAATGAAAAATAAATGAAATTGATTCGTAAATATTCGTTAAACAATTTTTGCAAATCAGAAAACGAAAAGCCACTGTGGATTTAAACTTTCTTGTCTTGTATTTTGTACTTCTTACTTTTCAAGTGAAGAAAAGGTTCAATGTATTGAAGAAAATTTGCTTTCATTATGAAACCACTCATTTCTTATTATGCTAATCATGTTGTTCTTGTTGTTGTTACGAAGAAAGTACTTTCTTAAACAAGTAACAAAGTTAAAAAAAAAAGTCATGGCATTAATTTCGACTATTTTCTAGATTCTGATTTTTCTGAAAAATCTCTCGCACGACTATGAGAAAATGAATACATACTTTGCTGTCATCCATCCAGGTTTTTCCCAAAGTGGTACAATATGATCATGAATAAATAATTCTAATGAATCCGAATCCAGAACTGTCATCGTTTCAAGTTTACAATCAATACAACGAATAATTAATTCACTTAAAAATAAAATCATGTAGAAACAAATAAGCAACTAACTAATCTTTTTTTTTCAAAATACTTTATTGTTTTGTATAAACGAAAATTTTTTCTTGGTCCTCGATATTTTTCCTTCGATGGATTTTCCACCATTTTCTTTTGCCATTCTCTGGAGAATAAAAAGCAAAACAGTTCAATGGTACAGTTTCAGGAAATCAACGAACTTTATTGCTTCATTGTGTGCTTGTATATGAGACTCTAATGAACGATTGATTTCAAGTTTTAATTTTTCTTTCAGCTCATTTAATGATTTTGACGTTGTTAATGGCTCGTAATCATTCAACAATAATAATCGGCCACGTGTTACTAATAATAAAGGAGAAATGCCAATTTTTGTACTTAAAATATCAAATACTAATTGTCGATTTGCATTTGTATGACGATGAAGTTTTTTAATCAAACTTAAAAGAAAAATGAGTTTAAAAGAAGTTTTTCTTCAAAAAAAAACAAAAAAAAAGAATTGAAATTTAATTTACTCAAGTAATTCTCGACAAACAGTTGATTCAAAAAGACGTTCTACTTTCTTTTGAATATTTGTACTTGTTGGATCAGATAATATTGACTATATAATAAAAAACATAACAACTTTATTTATTACACATCTTTAAATACTAACTTTGGCCAGTTTTTCAATAGCAGGTTTAATATCAGTGTCCATTTCATTTGGTAAAACGTAACTCATTAAATTTTGTGTTAATTGTTCATTTGTAGTTTCATTTACTTTTTTGACTTTTTTGACAGATTCTTCAGTTGGTTTGTTATTATTGATTTGATCGTCAGTTTTGGTTGTTAACGAAGCTGTCTCAAGTTCAGATATACTTCTAAAATAGTTAAGAATTCAAATTACATTGGACTCTTTTTCTATAGGATCGTTTTAACTACTAGAACGAGCTGATTTTAATTTTAAATAAACGAAACAGTTTTGTTTTTTATGCTAACAGTTACGCGATGAATCTGGTCCTCTTTGCGATAGGATCAGAGAAAGAGTAGAGTATGGTTTAATTAAAATAATTACTCGATGTTTGCTACTATCATTTCATATGAATCAGTTTATAGGTTACATACCGTTTTCGTTTAATATTGGGCACTTTTGGAATTGAATTGTCATCTGTTTTCATCTGTTTTGCATTCTAAACACATGATAAATAAAATTCTTTTATATATTAGAATCATCGTAGCTTACTTTTTCATTTAAATCTTCCTGATTCTAATCAATAAGAAAATAAATATTAACAAAAAGGTTTTTCTCGTAAACAATACATACATTGTTAATGACTTTCTTTTGTTGGTCTTCTTTTTCACTTTCAATTGATTCATCATCGTCATCATCATCGTCGTCGTCGTCGTCGTCGTCGTCACTTTCATCTGCCTCGCCCGCTTCATCTTCACTACCTGGTGAACTTGATTCACTTAAATATCGCGCTTTAATTGGCTGATGTTTTTCATTAACATAAAATCCATCTCGTTCATTTGTCATGTTTTTAGGTATTATATCTTGTGCAGCTGTTGTATCATCAATAAAAGAATCATCATCTTCTGGATCATTATAACCAACACCTAAATTTGCATTTTGTTGATCATTGTAATCCATTAATGCACGAATTGTATTAGATAATGATGCATTATCTTCACTCATAGTCTGAAAAAATAAACAAGCAAATCATTAATACTTAAAAAAATAAAAGAAAAAATAAATAAAACTTACATCACGTTCAGCAAGAATTTCTTTGACACTTTGTTTCCCGCATGCTTTCACATAAGAACTAAGTACCAGTTCCAAACTTTCTTTATCATTTTTCTAGATAGAAAATGATATGATTTAAATAGAAACTAGCAAGTAAACGACAATATTTGTTCTTACTAATTTTGAATCATTAGCAATTAAATCCAAGAAAGATATTTCTTGTGGATTACTATCAACATTTACTGGTAAATTTAATTTAATATCATAACTGAGTGTTGGTAATTGTGATAAATCTCGCGTCTTTTTTCCTGGTAAAGACATCTGTAAAAATAGAACGAAAAATGAAATTTTACATGCAATCAATATTTTATTCTGTTTATTTAAAAAAAAATAAGAATGTAAATTATGTGGTTTGCTGTTAATAATTGAAAGATGATCAATCAACGAATGATTAAAATTTTACAAAAAAGCGAATCGAATATCATTTTCGCCTATATAGAGGTCACTGTACTGTGGCATATATTAGGTCTTCGTCATCTTCTTGAATTTTATTTTCATCATTTGTTACTTGCACTTGTGTTGTAGGCAGAAGTTCAAAATTATCATCATTTGGAGTTGAATTATCTACAGGGATATACGTATCAGTCACTGCGAATGCAAGTTCTGAAAGTCTTAAACGCGTGTATACCGCTGCCGATGTACTTGGCATATCACTTGTCGTCGCAATTGTTGATGAACGTTTTGTTCGATTAGCACCTACTATACTACTTCTTGGTGTATATGGATCAGGTCGTTGTCGTCGTAAATGATAAATAAGAAAACCGATCGCAATAAATAATATAACAAGTGCTAAAATTGGACCCATAAGAATAACTATAAATGGTAGATATTTTGAAAATTTATTCTTTTGTCGTCCAGGAACAGTTTCAATCAATGCATTATTGTAAGACGAAGAAGAAATTTTAATCATATTAATAGTGAGATCTTCGTCAATCATGGGATGTCTTGTACAATTTTCACACAATGGTACATTAGTTTCATTCGATAAAGTTAACATTTCGGTGTCATTTAGAAAATTTGCTTGTGTTACTAAAGTTGTGTGTATTTCTTCCGCTTGTATTTCAATTCGTGAACTATTTTCATTAGATATATTTACATTAATGGGTATTATTTTTGGAGTTTTTGTTCGGATGGGTTCACATTGACATACAGGATGGCCACCATTGTTACAACGATAAAATATTGTAAATGCGCCAGATGAACGAGCAAAATAACGTAAAACACATTCGTTCGGATCATTTTTATCACCGAAAAGTAATCGTAACCAATATTTTCTATTCGATTCATCTATTGATTCAGAATGTAATTTATTTTCTAATAAATAATAAAAAGTCTCAATTAATATGTCGGTGAATGTTCTACCGAGAAATCGCGTTGCATTTATATTTCCCCATTCATGCGAATCGTATTTAACCAATGTACTATTGGAATACTCATTATAACATAAACGTTCACCAAATCGAATATTATAAATAAATGATGAATGAACATAGTAGCAAAAGTTATTAAATAAAACAAATCCTGATGGGCAAGATAAAATTTCATCAACCAATACGTCAGAGTCATTATTTCTAAATTGAGAAAAATAACAGTAACTTATTTTTTTCGTACTTCTAATAAATGAGAAAGTCTAAGATGAAGTTTTAAAAAAATTGGGTAATTAAAAATGATCCGATTATCATAGAAGTCAAAACGAAGTGTACGAATCTGTAACGTTGAATTAGTATTTAGGAAATAGATTTCCATTTTTATGCGCGTCCAATCAAGGATCAGTCAATCTGTTAGCATCTTATATTTTGTGTCACCGTATTAGTGCAAATGTTTTAGACACATGATTACAGAAGTCCTCAGTTCGAATCTTACTACCGGCTATTTCCAAAGTGATGATACTCCGAGTCTGATTAAAATTCTATGATTTTCTAACATTTCATAAAAATAACTACACAACTGATCTTATCTGATTGGATATACCGGCATGAATAATATAGAATAACCTATTTATCTAAAGAGACATACATCATTTGAAATTCTTCTTCATATAGAATAGCGGATGGAAGTGGTTTTTGTGCACATAAAAAATAACCAGGCGCTTGTAAATCATCACATGGAATAAATTCATAGGCAGTCATATTCGATTCAGTTCGATTAATGATAATACAAATATTATTTGATAGTAACGTCTGATTATCAATTTTAAATAAATCATTACGAATATATCGAGAATTTTCATCAATCCAAATAAATATTCTTTGATTTGTTAGCCACGATGATTGAATTAAAGAATTCCATTGTTCATAAGTTTTCACAAATATTGGTAAACATTTGTTTTCATTATTTATTATTGAAAAATTCATATTGATTGTCCGAAGTAAAATAGATGTAAAACACATATATAATGTTCTATCGAATACAAATGAAATCGAATCTGATGTTGAACAATAGTTTTGTACATCAATTTTAATTAAAGTATCGACATTGGTTTTTGAATAATATTTTTCGCATAGATTTGAAAATCCATGACATATATATGGAAGAAATGAACAATGTATCAATGGTTTTCGTAACGCAATCGGTTTTAATGATTGAGAAACTTTAATCGGTAAACAATAACAAGATTTTTTACGCGATAAAAAATATGAAAAATAATTTGTACGACGATTTTTTTGACAATGTTTTCGACATAAATCAATAGCTTGAACATAGTCAACATGATTTAAACCTAAATTGACACGCATTGTTTGAATACCATGCAAATAATAACAACCATCCAATGACCAATCATCACCTGTTGATGATGTTAATGATGGTAGTACATAAAGTTCATTCGTTAATGAATAGATTTGAATAGAATTCAATGTACAATTGTGAACTGGTAGAAATTCACCTAAATATTCATTAAATTCATATGGCTTATTGATTGTATATAGGCAAATACAATTTGTTTGATTATTAAACATTAAAATAAACCATCGACGACAAAGACGAAAACATAATTCGATTGTCATATGTGAACTAGAAAATGATTGATAAGGTAGTAGAGGATCTTCTTGAATATTATTAACAATAAATTGTTTATCTGATTTTAACGTTAAACAACCTGTTTGAGAATATTTCGTTATTGATAAATCTTCTTGGCTACTTAGTGAATTTACAAAATGAATAGAATAGAAAAAGAATAATAAGACGAACATTTCTTGTTTTCAGTTTGCTTTTGTCTTATTAAATAAAACAGAATAAAAAGTTTTTCGATAGTATTATATTTTGATAACAGGAAAAAAACGATGCGATGAAACAGTTGTTTTATAAAGTATTAAATTTCATAAATGTTTAACTATTGTTAAGTTTATTTTCTAGGTCGAAGTCTTTGAATGACATTACATTTAGAACAATTTCAAGTCTTAATAATTTTAATCTCATAGATAAAATACACGAAAAATGCTTTTTTTCTACGTAGAAACGAACATTGATTCAAAGATTATAGTGTACATATTTTAGCATGCATCAACTTTGAAGATATTTGTTATCTCTAGAAAAAGTTAATTAGTTAAAAGTTACACGGCAGATGTAGATGTAGTGCAGAAATGGATAAGAAAAAATCAGGAAAAGTGAACCATTTTCTTTCGCGTAATTGACTTCAGAACAATTTTACTGTTCTTATCTTGAGTTTCATTTCATTTCATCGGAAAAATTTAGACTAACGAATTAGTTTATATTATTTTCACTTCTTTGAGAGATTTCAACCGGAAATATTTTCTATTAGCAACTTATTATCATGATTGAAATAAGAATTGATTCCTTTTGCACTTATCGATATATATTCTTCACAAGTTGCTTCAGAATAGTCATTCTGAAAGCATAAGCTTTCTATAATTCATTTATTATCACATGCAAGTTTAGATTGAAAATGGCATTATTTGTACCAAGTCAGTTTTTGCTGCTGATCAGAATAAAGAAGTACAATACCTAGATCCATAGTCTGATAATATTTTGTTATTGTGTCTTCGATTAGCTATAGTTTTTGATTGGATATATTTATGGAGAAAACATATGCATACTATACAGTTGCTAAGTATTTAACATTATGAGTATACTCGAAGGATAGATCAGAAAACGTTTATCTTTGTAAAGAAACAAGTAATTATTTTTTTTTCTATGCTTTTAGTAAGATAATTTTCAGTAAAGAAAGCTTTTCCTTGAAAGTCAAGTATGTATATACACAATGAAGAAATCCATTTATTATTAATTGTGATATATCCAGCACTTTAAGGTTAATAACTAGAGGGTTATTTTCTTTTCTTCCTTATCATGTATTAAACAAATCTGAGTTAATCGATAGCGTCTTCTTACGAATAGAACTTGCAATGGTTACACGTATCGGACCAATCACATCAGTTCTTTTTCATGTAGGCAAAAGCGAGCACGAGAAGAAGTTATATTTCAAGAGTTGGAAATGAAATTGAATTTAGCGAAGAAATAATGGCTTGCCAAGTTAGTAGTACTCCATATGCACATTTATCATCAATAATAAAAGACAATAAAGATCAAAAGGAGTGCTGTGTTTGTTTATATGAAAAGTAAGTAAATGACGTAAGAAACTTATATTTATCTAGATAGTTTTCATGTCATCTTTTTTTAAAGGGATTTAACTGTTGTGTTCGATTGTAATCATCATGTATGTCTTTCATGTTTTAAAAAATATTCTATATCAAAATTGAATAGTCGTCAATTTAAATATGATGCAAATATTGGATATAGTCTTGGATGTCCAAATGGTTGTTCCAATACACTTCTTCGTGAATTACATATTTTTTGTTTAATGGATAAATCAAATGTAGATATTTGCTCAAAATAAAAATTATGGCGAGATTTATCAATTCTATTTTTTAGTACGAACGATATAAAACATTTGGTGCTGAAGAATACGTATTTTATCATCAAGGTGTTCTTTGTCCAACCGCATCGTGTGGTTGTGGACTTATACTTGATGAAAGTAATTTAAAAGTTCGGTGTCCATTACCTATTGGTTGTGGGGTATGAAAAAACAAGATTGATTTCAGTTTTGTTTCTATTCGAAATTTTATTTTAGAAAGCATTCTGTAGAAGTTGTAAAACACTTTGGACAGATGATGCATTGCAAATATGTAAATGCCAAACCGATAGTCAAAATGATAATCAAGCATTTTCAGTAAGAAGATTATTCGAAAATGAAAGCATAATAAATTTTATGATGTATTATTATTATTATTATTATTATTAGTATTGGTATCAATTATTTGATACTCGACGTGAATCATCACTAGCAGTTTATAAAAAATGTCCAGGATGTTCTGTAAATACTGAAAAAGATGGTTCGTAAAAAAGAATTTCGTTGCCTTAATAGTCTATTTTTTATTTGAAATGTAGGTGGTTGTAATGCAATCTCGTGTACACGTTGTGGTATGACCTGGTGTTGGATTTGTGAATTAGAATTTCGTAATGATTGTATTCAATCTCATTGGTTTTAGTTAGCTTCATTTTATTTTATTTTATTTTATTTTATTTTATATAAAACCACTTTCTAAAATAAACGGATGCCTTCTGGTTTGTAATGCAACGAGTATACTTACTAGAAAAAAATTGATTTTTATCAATTAGAACTCATGAGTATCTCTTATGGTAATCGGTGTAAAAAGACACGCAGCTGTTCGCCTTAGTGACAGCGGAAATCTGACTGCTCTCTAGGACGCATCTTCATGCTACCATTAAATATATATACCAATAGATTTCTATACTTGTTTTAATTGGCATATAAATTATTTTCATAGCATCAAATTGTACTTTTCAAAATATACGTCTATGTCAATAAATACAAATAAACAATATTTTATTTAATTATATCAATACGAATACATAAGAAAAATACTAACATTAGAAAATAAGCAATATTCTGTAGTCCTAATGAACCTTGCACGTAACATACAAAAGCATTATCAATGGAACCAGATGGTTCTGTCAAATCTTAATGAATGTGCTCAAAAAAAAAAGAGAAAATATTAGGCACAAGAAGAAGAAGAAGAAGAAGAAGAAGAAGAAGACAGAATGTAACATCTAAAAGATTTTTATCAAAAGAAACTAATCAAGATTTGTTTTTTTTCCGAATACGGCCTCCTTCTTTTCCACTTAATAGTTTCATTATCACTCAAGGGTTTAGTTGAAGAAGATACAAGAATATGATAAGCAATGAGAAAATAAAATCAGATTGAAAGGTTAGAACATTTTTATTATTTCGATTTCTTTTTCATATAACAAATACCATGGATAATTGATTACTCTCATTGGCAAACACTCTTCTCAATATTTGCATGACTAATTTAGTCGACAAAACTATATGCACGAAGGGATGCTATTTCTTTTGCTTATTTTGGAATTGTCATCACTCGTTCTTTTCCTCTCTATGTTGCCTTTTTTCCTTGTTATCAATATTGTAGCCGATGACAAGAATGTCTTTCATCTCGCTTTCTTTAGATTCTATGTGCTCTCTTTTCTTGTGCCTCTTCTGCTTTCGTCTCTATTTCTTATACGAACTATATCTATTTATTGAGAGTTCGATTCGAGACCATATAAAGCTAATGGATAGAGAGAAAAAGCAGAAAAATGAGTACTGTTAAATTGATCATTATCAATTGTTCGTCATCATAATACACAGAAGAAAACTACGAGATCACAGCCACAGCTGCGTTTATCGAAAAACAAATGTTACTATTCAATATTAAAGTATTTGTTGTCGTATATTCAAAATGAAGCAATCCTTGTTGTTGTATCTATTTATTGTATTTAATATTATACTAAACTTAGGTAATTTAATTATCAAAACATTATAGATAACCGATGATGTTCTTTTTTTCTTTTAGTTCATAGTCAAAAAACGTACGAACTCTACCATAATTTAATGTCAAATTACAATAAAAATGTTCGCCCAGTAAGAAATAATACTGATCTTGTGAACGTCAAAATTGGTCTCAAACTAATACAAATAGCGGATGTGGTATGTATACATATGTATACAAATAAGATTGTCCATCGGCGTATTTCTTTAGTATATATATCAGCATGATATAATGCAGTTACAAGATAGGAAAAGACATAATTTATAGGAATACACTTGTTTCCTCTCGCAAGGGAAATAATCTTAAGCAAAGAACAAAGACGCGGATCTCTACACATAAACGTCTTAAATAAAGTAACGAGTAAACATGACGATAGAACCTATCTGTCAGCGGATATAGGAATATAATGATAAGATTACTACTAATATCTAATCTTCTAACTGCGATCAAGAAAAACAAAAAATGCTAAAATAAGCCTATTAACATAATATACAATTAATCAATTTGATTCAGGATGAAAAAAATCAATTAATGCAAACACATGTGTACGTACTACACGTAAGTCAATCTCTGATTATTATTATTTTTCTCAATTCAATTACAATGATATATAAATCTAGGAATGGCAAGATGTTAGTCTTATATGGTCTCCAGAAGACTATGATGGTATAGAATATATACAAATGCCTAGTGACTTAATTTGGAAACCAGATCTTGTTTTATACAATAGTAACTGAAACTTATTTTCAATGAATTATGATAGTCTAGTTTTCTTTTCCTTCAGATGCTGATGGTGACTATCAAATAACAACAAGATCAAAAGCACAAATTCGATATGATGGAATAGTAAAATGGGTTTGTCTATATTGTTCAATATAGTTTTCTTGTTTTTGTAAGAGTATCGTTTTTTTTCAATAGAATCCTCCAATGGTTTATAAATCTTATTGTTCCATTGATATTCAATATTATCCATTTGACATACAAAATTGTACACTTAAATTTGGTACATGGTCATATCATGTAAATCTAGAAGAGAAATTTTTAATTGAATATTAATTTTCTTTCTTTCTTTTTAGGGTTCTCTTGTTAATTTACAATTTTTAACGAATAACGAATCTTCTGTTCTTGAACGTGGTTGGGATCTTGAAGATTACACTCCATCGATTGAATGGGAAATTTTAAGTAAAATAAGAATAAGAATAAGAAAAGAAAAAACATTCATGTATCTTTTAAAGATCTTCGAGCAATTCGTCACGAAAAAATCTATGCTTGTTGCGTGGAAGTTTTTCTTGATTTAACATTTACATGTACTGTACAACGAAAACCACTATTTTACATAGTTAATTTAATAGTACCATGTGTTAATATATCTGTTCTTGCTGTACTCGTTTTTCTATTACCATCCGATAGCAAAAAGAAAATAACACTATCAATATCGATTCTCGTTGCTTTACTTGTATTTTATTTACTACTCATTGAACTTATTCCACCGACGTCATTAGTTATCCCATTACTTGGTAAATATTTATTGTTTACGATTGTAATTGTAAATTTATCAATTATAATAACAATAATAACACTTAATGTACATTTTCGTCGTCATTCAACTTCGCATATGTCACCATTACTTCGAAAAACGCTTCTAATTTATTTACCAAAACTTCTACTTATGGAACGACCACCTGTACCACCAAGATATGTATATGTTAAATCGCAACCCTACGAAAGTATTGATAATCAACGTTCAACATTTCCATGGAAAAATGATCAACGAAGGCAAATTGCTAGAATAACAGCTGATCATATTGCTTACATTGCAGAGCAAATCGAAAATGCTCAAACTGAAAAAGAAGTGAGTTTTTAATTCAGAGCTGTTTGTTACCTAAAAATTAGACTAGGGTCGAGTTTTCTTTTTAACCACATTTGATCTCATGCTGTGGAAACTACTTGAAATGAAATTTCAAGGGCAAATAACTAAGAATAGAAGAAATAGATTAAAAAACATATTTCAACAAGCGATGGGATCATATCGATGAACGTCGTATGAAAATAGGATGCAATATGAATTTATTTTTGCCAAACTATCTGATATTATCATAGAAAAATGATTGAAGAGATTCAGGCAAATGACCTTCTGTTGCATAGTTGTAGTTATTTTAATCAACACATTCCTAAAATCAACATCTGTTCGATACTTTCAATATACTGTATTTTTATTGCCATTACTGAAGGTTTTAACGAAAGTAAATATATCGGTATTAGAATATTCAATTTTCATGCTTGCTCAATTCTATAATGGATCGTTAGGTTTCTTTTGTTTTTGGAAGACACTATCTCGAGTTGTTCCCAGATTGCTTTTATCAATAAGTCATGCACTCAAATGGTTCTAGTCTGACTACAGTTTACGTGTAGAAGAAAATACAATAGAAGGCTCGTCGAGTCATTAGATATCAGTTATTTTCAATGAAATTATATTCTTCTATTCTAAATTGAAAATGTTGGCAATTATTTGAATCCCATACATACGTATATATATATATAAGCCAAAGAAAAGATCTATTCAATCGTTTGTCAATTATCTTTCAATATGATTTTTGTATCTGAAGCTTAAGCACTGTATCGTTATAATAATTCTAATTCTAAACATGTTCTTTTAATATTTAGATCGTTGAAGAATGGCGTTTTATTGCTTTAATTTTTGATCGGCTTTTTCTTATAATTTTTGTATCCGTCAGTCTACTCGGTACACTAACATCATTATTAAAAGCTCCATCATTATATCATGCTAGTTCACCCATCGATCCAGTGTGTTTTCTATATTATCCACCTATAAACGATTCTCAATGGATGAAAAAATGTGGTGCAGATTATTTACAGAGTTTATCAGATACATCATTCATTGCAAATATTCAATCATAAAACATTGTCTTTTTGTTTTTATACAAGATAAATAAAGAAAAAAACTATTTGATTTTCGATACACATAAACAAGGTATTTTCATTGTTGAAAATACAACTGGTTAAATTTTATGAATTTATAATAGCAGAAATATGTATAAAAAGTAATATAAGCGAACCAAGGACACTTACGATCTTGCCAAACAAGTTAAATGTTTGAAGAAAAATAAAATATATATTGCAGGGTCTTTTTATTATTACATTTAACTTCTCTTTCAAGTGCTTTATTTATCTATCGTATGAATAATTAAAATAAAAGATTGAATTTGACTATATAATCTTCGACGTTGATTGTATTACTAAAATAAAATTGCCCTCCTTACAATAAAGAAGAGACATAATCGAAACATATTGTCAATATAAAACGAAAATTACTGTAACTAACTAGAGCAATACTATTTTAAAGTGAAGACGGTTGATTGCTAGAAAAATCTATTTCGCTAACAACAACTTGAGAATACAATTGGCTTCCACTGCATTCAACAAATATAGTGAGTGCTTCACTACAAAAGGAGAAACCTTCCAAAGTTTTTGTACAATATGCGCCGACTTGTAGACGAGCTCCAACAGAAATAAAATTAGTTCTATGTTCAATCGTCGTATTATTTATTGAAAAAGTGTAGATAGATCAATTTCAATCTTGTATACGATGTAACTACTAGTAGCCTAATATGCTGATATCATTAGAATAGAGAGTAAGAACGCTAGTTGAAGATTTGACTGTTGTTGAACGATGCACGAGCAGTCAAAAACTACCACAACTGAAATTCAGCCAAGTTGCATTATGATCTGTTTTGTAGAAAAATTTTGGATTCGACAGCAGTAATTCTGTGTTACACATACTCTAAGCAAGGAATAATGCTCTATGTTCATCGCTTATTTAATCGAACGCACAAGTTTGTTGTTGAAGCATCGTAGGAGGAAGCACCAACGAAATACGCCTTAGAATATTTCCCTAGAGTATTGGCGAATAGAATGTTTTTAGTGCCCTTTACATTTAGCTCTTATCTAACGATGATCATCATGAAAAACGTTGCTCCCGCAGCATCGTACGCCTTCGTTTAGCTTCTTATTCATTTCATATTGTTAATTGATACGTAGAATAATAAAAGATTCTTCGGTGATACATCATTTTTCTCGAAAATGACAGTCAATAAAATAAGGAAGAAAAAATGAAGCATTTATTGACTCATGGTCCTTGCTGAATAGAATTCTTTGTCATTTTTTCCATCTTGATGCGTTTTGTTGACCTCACAAGAGGAAAATTTAACACGATGAAAACCAATATTGATACGTATTTGAAATTTCATCTTCAAATCAATGAAAATATTGTAAACTTTATAAATTGATGTAATGAGACGAAATACGTGATCGTTCAATGCGAAATCAAGTATTGTACAAATCTTTTATTAAACAATTTTCAATGTATATTTCGATTAATTTCAGTTACCATTATAAAAAAAATCATTCGATTCATCAGCAATCGAGATTTCAAATTATGAAAATGATTTATTTACCTATTTCATTTCAATTCATCATGGCGTAGTCGATACTAGATTACAAAAAAAAAGTGAACTCCTTTTTATCAAATACTTGATTACTCCATACACTGAAAAATGTTATCTTCACACTTTTCAAGATAGTAGCATGTCGGCATTCTATGATCAGAAAATAATCAATGTTTGTCAAGCAATAATTTTACTAAGTCAACGATGAATATTGTTATTGTGCTCTGCTCAAACAAAGTGACTATTAGTTTTTGTTTATCTATCCAATAAAAGCCGATTGTTTGCTTAATTATATAAGGGGAGTTTTCGTTATAAATTACGCACTTTTATTTTTGCTTGTTAATGCGATCAGCAATTGGTTGAAAAAAAAATTTTTAAGCTTATCGAACCGCAAGTGTAGTTATTATAAACGAAATGTTTGATTTGTGTCTTTGAAAACATTTGCCGTGTTATAGTAGAATTAATCAAATCCGTAAGTACCCAATCATATCGATACCGAAGTTAAAATAGTAATTACGAAAACAAAATTTTAGAGAACTTGCAATAATGTATTTACTAGATTTCCAAACAAACTAAACAACTCTATGTCATAATCAATGCTTAAATATCATTCGGCGATAGTAAAAACGAATTTTTATCTTGAACAAAATTCTCAATAAATAACATACTGTAATCCTTATGTCTTGCAGTATCATGCTCCATTTTCACTATAGACTCTTTGATTAGCATATAATCATTTAAAACGATTATTATTTTATTTCTACGAACCGAAAATTCTCAGTTCGATAGTTTAAGAAGTATAGTTTGTCTAAAATTCAAAATATTTAAAAAAAAAAAGCAGCTAGAGTAATACGTTCTCTTCCTTAAAATGTGTCGAGTTCTTTTCGAAAAAAAAAGTGATTTATAATTGAGCATCAGTTAGTATACCATGGTGTATTTACATGTCAGATGATACTCTGACGAAATGCTCAATGATCAGTCTTTGTTCTACAACAAAAAGTAATTATAAGTCGTTTCACTATGTCAACAAACCATGAAGAGAATCAATATTTAATAGCATAACTTTCATATACGCTTTGTTCGATCATTATATCTAGACTAAGATATGTTGTAGAGTGAGAGCGAGATGTTCAATAATAGTGAGTGACATCTATGTTATGTCGAGCAAATATTTCATGAATGACAGATGATACTGATTCTTTCTTTATACTATTTCTCAAATATAAAATCGAACTTCTGTCAATTTTCAACGTAATTATTTCTTGTGTCTTATTGGACTTTTTCTATTGGTGAATTATCTCCGAAAAAATTACATATCAGTTGAGTTGAGTTGAGTTGAGTTGAGTAGTCCTGTATCGCTTCATATGAGTCACAGTTTTCTTGTTGTTATTTCTATTCTGTATCGGCAGACACTCTATTTGCTGCTTGTGATTGATCGATTGATTTGGTGAAATACCTAATGAAGCATGATTTGTCATACTTTGCTTTTTTTTTTATTCAATTTTTATCAGAAAGAAAAAAAAGCCTCAATCACTTGTATTCGATATATGTTATTTTTAGATGTCTTGGTACAACAATCATGACTCTTCAGTGGAAACGACATCATAGTGTTGAAAGCTTGGACGACGAGACTAGCATAGAACTAACAGTTAGTATAAAGAATTATTTATGTTCTAATAATAATAATACATCAAAATAGAAGTATATTCTTGACCTACACGGCATATTGATATGATTAAATAAGCGAAAAGTTCATCGGAATTTCGATATTTACGTGACGAGAATGAAAATATTGCATAAGAGGAAATGCGAGAAAGATAGATCATCGACATTCTAGTTGTTGGGTTGTTTTTTTGCTGTCATCCAAAAAACTGGCAAATATTGATAGTCATCATAAAGATCATTGTATCCGGATTGAGAGAACGAAAGAACGGGAAAAACAACTTCGACCATAACATCTAGTTACAGCATCGCTGTATGATCAAACTAAGTCATGCAAGTAATTGAAGAAGTAGAGAATAAAAATTATTGATTAATCAATAAACCAGATGTGATCATTTTCTTTTTTTTTATCACAATTTAGGTTCTTCGACAACATTGGAAACAAATTTTACAAATATTTCAAAAAAGTCTCATTGATCAAGATGATATTACTTGTGTTACATCCCATTTTCAACATGCAGTCACATTGCTCACTAATGAAGTCGCTAGTCACGATCGTCCCGGTCCTGTACTCTTATATTTTATTGCTGAATCTATACTTGATACATTTTTTGTTTGGTCATTAAGTTGTCCTGAATATGCATCAGATCTTAAATATCATCAATTACGTTGCTTTGAATTTCTTCTTAGCCGTGCTCAACATGAACTTCTCTTTCACAAACAAATTGTATTTGTCGAAAAATCATGTAGCATTCAAAATATTTTTTCATACTATTATTTTCTAGTTTAAACCATTGCTCAATCTACTTCGATCATGCGAATCATCAACATCATTAGAACTTATTGAAAAACATATGATTGTTGTGCTCAATCAAGTATGAGAATTTGATAGTATACATTATGTTATAATAGCTTTGCATATTGTCCGATGGTCACGTTTATACGGATTATTGGCAATAGATTCTTAATCTAGAATAATAGTATTATTTACTACGCTATATGGTAGCCTCTAACGTGACGTCTTTCAACGACAATACGAGCATGTTTTAACAGCTGAGAGATAGAAGATTTATTCTATTTACTACAAAGCAGAAACACGTGCAGCTAATCTACTTATGGAAGTAGAGATTTTAAGATAATCTGCTAATAGATTCTATTGCAACAACAGTATCATATTTCAATAACAGTACAGCTTAATTAAAATTCCCAGTTGTTATTGTATTCATAAGAATACTGAAGGTTATTTCTTTTTTCATCACCAATATGTTACCAAAAAGTATAGGCTACATCCCATTTCATGATTTATTAATTCTCTGTATATATCAAACAAATCTGAGAAAATAAAAAAGCATTATATCGTTTTATAGGATTTGTCATTAAGAAGAAATCTTGTTTGTCTCACCTTTTTTTTTTATTCTTCTATGTATTGGAATATATAAAAGTTCAATAATTGTCTGAATACTTATGTAGACAGAGATTTATTTCTAAAAACAGTGACTTTAGAATGAGCAGACAGTAAATCAAATTATAAATGCCAATATGCCAAAGAATAAATGGCGGACAACTATACGATTTCGCTTTCCACACTACATACTAGTAAAACAAAACCATAATCGCTTTTATGACTCTCATGTATTTTTTATTGTTTGCTGAAGTTCATTAGTTATTTATGATTAATGTCTCACGCGATACAACAAAGTTTGCACTTACTTTCAGAATGTTTTTTTTCATCGAAAAGAACAACAAAAATCAATCTGTGAGTGTCACGAAAACAGAATGATTGAGCATAAGAATTCCAATGCAACCAAAGTTAATAGGAAAAGAATGTAGATCAAAACTAATAGAATTCATTTGAACATAATGATTGATGAATATATACTTTTCTAGGTTTGTGTCAGTATTACAAGAAATCCAACACTATTGGAGCTTTGCTTTGATATCAGTGCTGAACATGGTCCATCAAAATTTGTAATCTTTTCACTTCTAATTCCATTTGTTCATCGCGATGGACTTGCTGGTAGGATACTTTCATTATCTTCGTTTGTTTTTTTTAACTAAGAAAGAACAAGAAACTTTTGAGATATAAATTTTTGATTTCATCAAAAAATCTATCTCATTTAGATAAACCATCTGCTCTGGGTATTACTACAGGTGGGGAAAAGAAGGTTTATTCTACTAAATAATATCATTCGAAAAGATTTTATAGCATGTTTGGTTTGATTTTTATAAAAGCCTTGTTGTGTTGGTCTTTTTTATTTTCGTATTGCCTTTTTTTAGAAAATTATTGATTTACATCGGCGCATTTTTGAATTTTAATTCTTTTTAGGCCAACAAGCTCGTGATGCATTATTACTTATTATGCAGTTATCGTATCGCAATGAACCAATAGCAAAATATATTGTAGAAAATACAAATTTTTGTCCGGTAAAAGAATTCATATTAAATTATTAAAAGATGAATAAATGACACTAATCATCTTATAGATCTTAGCAACAGGTTTAAGTGCACTCTATTCTGATCTACCGCATCGTTTAGCAACGAACAATGATGAATGGTTTATATTAACAAAACAAGAATGGTCAGAAAATCCATCATTGGTGCAATTTATGAATTCATTACAATTTTGTAATGATGTTATTCAAGTAGAAAATTTATTTTGCCGATAGAAAAAAAGAACTATTGAAATTTATATCTTTCATTAGATTGCTCATCCAATAATTGGTCATCATCTATTACAATTTATTTATCATGGATTTCTAGTTCCTGTTCTTGGACCTAGTATTCATCAGGTGAGTTATTTCTTTCTATTTTCAAATTAATTTCAAGCAGCATGTTGGATGCTTAAAAAACAACTGATTAAAATCTTTCTTTCACATGAAAATATATACATTAATATGCTCAATATGTTATGTGTGGGTGTGAACGTGTGCAAATTTCTTCTTTCATAGGATCTTCATGAAATACCATTGAAATTTTCTGATTTACAACATTTCTCGGTAAATATTGTGTGAAATCAACTGAGTGTAGCCATGAATTATTATAGATTTATTCATCTTAGTATATTTTACCTTTGATTTTATTTTGCACATTTCTTTGCATGCTATACTGCATTTTTTAGAAAGATTATTCTTTTCCTTGTTGCATGATTTTTATTTGTTTTCTTGTTTGAATTAAAAAAAAACGTTTTCATTCTGATTTTGTCTAATATTGAAATTTTTCTATCTTCTGTTAATATAGAATACCATGGATGAAGTCATTGCAGCGACGGCTTATTTAGATTTGTTTATACGTACAATTTATGAACCAGCTTTATTAAGAGTATTTTTAAAATTTATACTTTGTGCCAAAATCGATGAAATGAGTTTATTGGATACGTTAATACAAAGAATTAGTTTTACAACAAAAGTAAAATAAAAGACAATATTTTAAATAGAATGTGTTCTTTCTTTTTTGTTGAAAATCTTTTCAGCTTGGATTAGTATCACTTAGTTTATTTTATACGTTAATTAATCTCAACTGTGAAGATGTTATGTATCGCCTAATTTTCATGTATGATAATATTTGTTTGTAGGAAAGGATTTTCTTGAAAATTTTTTTTTGTTTGCTTAGGTATTTAATACCATGTCGACATGTTATGTGTAGTCAACGACGTCATATAACAGATGTAGAAATTTATGGAAAAAATGCTGAAAAATTTCTTACATTAAGACCTTCATTTGCAAACAAAACTAATGATAAAGATAGGTATGACTGTTTTGCAAGAAATAATATTTTGTGTACTTCGAATTTAAATTTATAATTAAGAAACAGAGGATGTGACACTTTATCAGGGACTCTAAATGCAGCAACAAAAAGCTCGTACTTCCTTTTTAGACGAATGCAAACAAGAAAAATGATTGATTTAATCCATTTTTTTTGTAGATCATGATGTTTCTTCTCGCCTGTAAAGAAGTGAGCCGATTGTTTAATTAACAGCCACGACTGAGTATTATTGATGGATTTTTAGAATAGTTTCTTAACTGCATGAAATTATTGAATAAAAATGGTGATAGAAAAGTTGACGATACGAGTATTTTGGATCTTATCAACTTGCAGAAATCTATTATCGGTAGTTTTAAGTTCCAACGGTGACTGAAAGACTTTAATCCACAACGGAACCGATCAGTTTATATCCCTCCTCATTATAAGTGTTCAGTAAACACATGAATATTAGCTAGAGGCTATTACGTTAGTGTAATTACGATTAATTATTTTCCCGATCTCTGAAACGTTTGATTAATAAGTATAGACGTATGAACCGCTTTGTTCTATTTCATTTTTCAGCAATGGTACTCCCCAATCAAAACAAGTGCGTGTTAGTTTTGATCAAACTGATGAATCTAATGAACGATACGAATGCTCATTCGGTGCTTATCTTGAAGTATGATATGAAATAAACTTTTCGTTTGCTTTCATCGTCGTGTTTCTTTTCTCTCCTATTAGGATGCGCATTTTAGTATTGTTCGTTGTCGTATTGCTTGCCGTTGTTGGACAGCACCCTATGATGGCGAAGTACCTTCTTCAGATACAAATATTGAAGAAAATGATTTCATTTCATTAGCAAGTAGTATATCATCATTCAATACAGATAATAACAATTCGAAAAAATCCGGTCACATATCCAATCAAAAACAATCAATAAATTTTGGAAAAAACGTTGCGGCATCAAATGATTCTGGTATTCATGTTGATGGTCTTGAAATAAATTCCCAACTAGAATCTCAAACAAAACCAACTGAAGAGTCCTTTCAGTTACCGTCATGGCTTGCTAATAATCAACCTATACCCGAGGAACTTCTTACAAAACACTCAACAATGATGAACCATTCGACATATCATTATGAACAAACGGATGACGATGACATTGATTACTATCAGCATCCATCATCGTTTTATGCTTTGTCATTTATTGATTTCTCAGGTGAAAATGAAGATACATGGTCAGTAAATTCATCGAATACGCCTAATGTGCATATACGTGATGAAATAAAAACATGTGTCGAGACACTTCATAGTTGTTTAAGTCATTTTCGTGAAATGAACGAACAACCCAATGAAATCGATGAAAATATTGATGACGATATAAAAACTTTAGTAAATGAATTATTAGATCAAGTCAACAGTTCTATTGAAAAATTTCAATTAGATGAAGTCGATTCAATCAATATACAATTAGATTTTAATTTGTTAAATGAATTATTGACAAAAAAATTAACATTTCAAGAATATTTAATTGTACTTGATCGATTAATTGATAGTAAATATTTAACAAAGTCAACTAAAACAAGTGATGAATTATACAATGAAATTCTTTTACTTGTTGAACAAATTGAACAATATCGAACAATAATTATAACAGAACATAATCATAATACTGATGTAGATAATCAGTATTTTTCACAGTTTATAATAAATGCACAATCAAATTACTCTGTTATGTCATTTTTACAACAATCAACATCAATGGATATGTCTCTAATAGCAATAAATGATTTATCAAATCAAATACAATCAAATATATTTACAACGAGTATTCAACCACAACAAACATCCATAAACAATGGAAAACCAGCTGATATTGGTATGTTGACTTGTATACTTTTTTTTTCTAACTACTATTTTATAATACATTTTTTGTATGCAAGTTCGTTTTCCCTTAGGATATTTCGAATTTCTCTGTTGGATTTTATTTTATCTCTGTTTAAAAGAAAAGTTCACAAGGGAATTTTCTCTGATATAGATTGAAAATCATAGATTAATTATTTCTGGTTTATTTTTTGAGAGAGAACATATTGTTTGTTTTGGTTCGATGAACTCAATAGTTTTCATATTAACATAATGTATAATCACAAAAAATTTGATTTTTACGTACTAAATGCTTGTGTAGAAGTATCGTTGTAGAGAGAAAATTATAATGAAGCATACTGTTCAAATGGCTATAAATCGATTCCCTTAACTTATCTACTCAGTTAGCTATGCGTGTATATAATCTAATTACTCGTTTATATTTCATTCATTATAAATGACATAGACTACTAAGTACGAACAAGTGAATCAAATTTATCATCGGAATCGCTGAAGAATCATCTTATAATTATTTGAATATTCAATGACTTCATTGACTAAAACATTAATATTTTACATGGGTTTCATTTTTAAAAGACGAGAACTTTATCTTGAAAACAAGTAAAATTTTTATCAAAATAATTCAACTTCATTTGGACTAAAAAGAAAAACTATACTTTTCACAAAGATAACGTTTCAAATGATTTCTTTCATCAGGATTTTTTTCCAAGACCTGTACTGATTGGTTGCACGATATTTCGTTGAATAATATATTAGTGTTGAGTAAATTTTTTTGAAATATGATAGCATTTATCCATGTTAACGATTAGTAGTGCAACCAGACGAAAGCTTTAGGTGGGTCGGTTCCTATCGACAACTTTTATGCATCGAGTGTCTCTATTAGAAGTGTCTACGAACTTGATCTACTTCTGATGAATAATTTTCTGATGAGATAATCTAAAAAGATCAATCTATAGCTAATTTCCTCTTGTAACTAAAATAGTTCTACGACAACATCTTTGAGTATGAAAATGTGATTAGAGAGCTGCACTTTCACATATTTTTGAATTCGACCTAGTTCAAGCCTTTCAAAGTCGACAATGCCCTAATCCTAATTAATCAAATAGCCCATGGCTGCTGAATATATTTTTTGTCTATTTTTAAAATTTAGGCCCATTCCTGCGTACAATATTTATAAAATTGGAAAATATGCTACACAATTCTTTGTATGTGAATCTATTATTAACGGGTATAATATCACGACTAGCACATTATCCTCAACCGTTGTTACGTTCATTATTACTAAATCATAGTCTAGTACTCGAAACAAATGTTAAATCACTCTTTCAAGTAAAAAAAAAGACGGATTTTTTAAAGTATGATCTAATATTTTTTTTCATATATTAAAGATTCTTTCAAATCTCAAATCAAAACTTGAAGTAGTTTCTCAGACATTTAATGATTTCAATTATCTTGTTGAACTAGCACATGAAACATTGTATCAAAAAGAGAAAGCTGCAAAAGTATGTGCCTAAATGCATGTTGATTAATACCGAAGCATAAACGTTTGCTTTTCTCTATATAGGACCTCGATGGAATCCAAAAACGAGCGCTTTCACCATCACGCACAAGATCGAAATCGGCCGATCCCGGCAAAGGTAATTAAATAAACTAATTTCTTCTTCGTTTTCTTTTTAAATTTCTATCTCAATTTTCACAGATGAAGAACGAGTTATTTTTGAAATTCAACAAATACCTATAAAAGGTTTCGCATGAAATTTCTTGTTTTGTTTTAAATCAATCCCTTGGTCTTTCATTTTTATTGCAGCATGCTTAGCCGTGATAATTCTCCTTGTTTTGTTTTTATTTATCTTAGCATGTATCGAATAGGAAAATCATTATTTCTTTTATTCATTTAGAACGTGTAACAAAACGAAGCCGTATTTTGGATTTTTTTCGTGGTCGTAGTCGAGCTTCGGAACGAACCGATTCCAATGTCAAGGAACGAGATCATTCTCATGTGACATTAATTGATAAAACATCTATGAAGTAAAAATTAAAGCAAAATTAAATTTCTTCTCTTCTATTCATCGTTTTTAGATTCATTAATATCCGTGAGAATCCACAAAATCCGCCTACAAATGAATGGGACGATCCTAAAACACGTAATGTCGCTTATTGCGCTGTTGTATTCAATCAATTTCTTAAAGAACTAGCAGCAGTAACACTAGAACATAGTGTACAACAATTTGATGATGATAAAATATTCGATGATCTTCCATTAACACAACTATTGTTATGAAAAAAAGAAAATAAAACGACTTCGTTTTTATTTCTTTTTTTCTACTTATTTGAGTTGTAATCTAATTTATTTATTTTTCTATTTTCTATTCATTGTCAATAACACTGTTTTTTATGTGTATATGATTAGTATCTATTTATTACCTGCAATATTTATTTGCCAGTATTTTTTACAAGCAAAAAATACTGTTCTTGCAATGTGTGTATGAGTTAGATGACAAATTATAGATCTGATTTGTCAATTTTTTGTTTTCTAATAGTGATCAGTCGATGAAAATATCACATCCGATTGTTTTTGTTGCTTTACTACTACTACTATTATTATTATTATTATTATTATTTTGGTTAGTAATAAATATGCACAATGTGTGCTTGGATTTCTGACATTTGTCCTATTAAAATTTTGACACTTCAAATTCTTATCCATCAACCTTGATAATCTATATATATATATATATATTTGATGCAAGGTCTTAATTGGACAATAATATGTAAACATAAATTCTATAATAGGCCAAAACACAGACATAAGAAGGATATCCAATAGGTTGTCTGAGACTAATGCTGTTTTTCTAGGTCATATACAGTAAACTTTAAAAGAAGATGATCTACTTCTCTGATTTATTAAATTACAAAGATTATATCTTTTTTAATAATTGATGATTCAGTTCTAAAATTTTTCTATCGATGATTGTATATCAGCATAGATATTAACCAAAAAATACAAATATCTAGTTTTATTTGGAAAGTAAATATTTGACAGAATTTGTATTTCGGATGGAACAGTGTTTTCATCAATCTTGATTATGACAGATATAGTAATTTAAGTAGCCTAAAATGAGTTCATTCTTTTTATTGAACAACATTTGAGTATAGAAATAAACAACGAATCGTTCATTATTATATTTGCTCAATTACAAGTGTAGAGGCAGTACCGGGAATCTTGAGTGTTAAAGACCCACCTCGAATACAAGTGCATACTCGTATTTTACCGGTTTCACAAACAACTATATTGATGATGTATGATTGAAATCTTGACTATTCTCTCAAAAGAACTAGCCTAACACCATTGCAAAGACTTAATGTAAATTTTGTACTTTCAATTTCAAATAGCAGCATGGATACGAGCATTTTACTTTTTTTCAGTACTATTAATTAAAAAATTTTACGTATGAAAAGTTGATTATAATACACCTTAAAAGCGCCCTGATTCCTATGGGATTCAAATGGATTCGATTTATTTTAAGTAGTTTTCATTTTGTTTCCTGCTAAGAAAATAGTTAAGTTGATATTTCCGTGTCTTCACTAGTCAGTCGATTCAATGTGGAATCATTTGACATGATGATGTGTCCAGCTATCTTCAATTTTTAACAGATTACATATAAGTGCACTAAGAAAACAAACTACCTCTGCAGCATGAACCTATTTCAGTAAAATGGTGTTTTCGTCTAATGATGATGATCTCTATCAATTATTTATACATATTTTTCATAGTAGTACGATCCTATGTATGTGATTCCGTTTTCTATATTTATTGCATTTAAAATTTTCCGATTTACTTTTAATTACATTCTGAAATAGTCATTCATGTGAAAATATATTAATGCTTCATGTTTGTAAATCCCTTTACAATATCCGGTTCGTATGCGAAATAAAATTCATGTATTTAATTTCAAAAGAAAATGATTTCCTTGATTATATTAAGTTCATGATCGTATGGGAATAAGAGAAACAGATATGATTTTCATGTCACTGAAGGATAGAAGAGGGGTGGACAACATCTCCTAAAATCGTGAAATGGCTCATTAACCAGCAGAAATACTTTATCCCTAACAAAGTCAAGGAGAAATAGATAAATAATGTAGAGGAAACATTTATTTCTTTTTTCACTATAAGGGGATATCTCAAGCAGAAGTGGATATTTTAGAGTGGATACCGTTTATTTTCAAGCAGAAATATATGAACCATATCCCCCCATTCCAGCAGAAATTCATAATAGTCAAGGAGAAATAGATAAACTATCTACACGAAACATTTGTTTTCACTATGAGTGGATATCTCAAGGAGATATGGATTTGTTTGAATAGAAATGGCTTATTTTGAACGTGAAGTGAATGAATCATATCACTTTGTATGAGTAACAGTGTGTAGGGTATATGGTGTTGTATGGTGAAAAGTTATGCTGCTAGTTATTTGTGAAATCTAAGTTGTAAATCATGCTGGGATTTAGGTTTTGTAAGTAATAACAGAGAGATGCTTGAGAAAGATGGGGAGTAAGCGGGAAATAATTGCGTGGGGTACGCGTCTGTTGAAGGTGAAAATATGTAGTTGGTGATTGTTATGATTGCAGCGTTAGGTTTCAGTGAAGTGATACAGCTTTATTGAATATGAAAATTCCTTCATTTGCAGACTTTTTACGCACATATTTCGTTTACGAGTGCTATTAAAAATGTTTTCGTTTGATGGAAGTTAAGGGTGGTGTGTTTTTTTTTGCTTACATGTTTCGCTGTTTTATCCAGGGCTTGCGAAGATATACTATGCATTGCAAGTTTTCTTTTCTTCAACAGAATGGAACTAGTGATATAGATAGTAATATGGTAGAGGAAAGGCGAGTGAAAACGCGAGGAGTGAATTTAGATTTATTTATATAAATGATAGAAAACAATATTGAAACGCGTCTTTTCTTTATTTCTAGTCATAGGTATTGAATATCTCGATATATGTTTAAAACGAGAACATGTGTATGTACGTGTATATCTTTAACCGTCTTATATAAACAGAATGAAAAAAAAATTCATTTTTTTGCCTGGACGACATTTTTCTGCTTGAAGTTTTTTAGATTTGGTAAGAGCTCTTGAAGTCTAAATCGTAGAAAAGCTGTATATTAGAGTTTATAATTCAGAAACAAACATAAACTATCTTTACTATTATAATCACTATTTACTAGTATTTATCTTTTCAATCAACTTGAAATCGAAATAGCATTCAAATGTTTACAGAAACATTTAACTAAATTATAATCACATCAGTAAATTGTTTATCATCATTGGAAGAAGAATCTTGAACATATTTTCAAACTAACCGAAGAGTTTTTAAAAATAATCTACCAAAGTCTAACATACGGTCAGTGTATTTTTCTATATCTTGAGAAATTATACTTTGCTTTCAAATATGATTTTCTGTGTTTCTGTATAAAAATAAAGATATAATTCAATCATTACAAGAGAGATATTAATTGAAATAAAATATAAACTAGAATAATAATTGGTTTAGTGAAATTTTTTTAAATTTTATCAGATTAAAAGCGAGGGAACAAAAAAATTTACGGAAGTAATATATTCTATTTACTAATAGTAAAACAATGTTTAAGAATAAAATTGATTCCCTATTTATTTTACTTCAAGATCAAAAAAAGAAATATTTCATATTTCTTATTAACATTCTTGTATACCAACAGCTTCAAAAAATAAAACTTTATCGAACTATAACTTATCTGTAGGCGTTTTTCTAGTTAGAAAATTTCAGAAGTATTTAAAAGTTATTTAAATGAAAGAAATTCTGCGTTTTCACTTATTCAGGTATTTTTATTGTTTTCTCCATTGTATTCCTAAAACAACTATGAAGCTCATTCTATTAAAAAAAAAAGAAAACTCTCTATATGGTCAGTTTCCAAGTGATTTTTAATATGCGAGTTCCACATTTTAGCCCAAGCGGGGCTGTACTGAAAAGCTTTTTCTATGAGGGATCCATAAGAAATTAAAGTTATCCTGATCTAGCTTTTCTTTACAAATATAAACCCTCATTATCCTTTAGATCCCTTTAATTCGTTTAGCCCTATTACTCCCATTACGCCCCTTAGTCTCATTAGTCCTTCTGCTCCCTTTCGTTCCTTTACTCTCTTTAGTCCTTGTAGTACCTTTACTCCCTTTAGTTTTTTAGCCCTTCTACTACCTTAACTTCCTTTAGTCCTTCTACTCCCTTCAGTCCCTTGTCCCATTTTCCTCCCTTTAGTTCTTTTAGTCCTTCTACTGCCTTAACTTCCTTTAGTCCTTCTAGTCTCTTTACTCATTTTCCTCCCTTTCCTCCCTTCCCTTCCTTTAATTCTTCTGCACCCTTTCCTCCCTTCCCTTCATTTAGTCCTTCTGCTCCCTTTCCTCCCTTTAGTCCTTCTAGTCCCTTTACTCCCTCTACTTCCTTAACTCACTTTAGTCCTTCTACTCCCTTTAGTTCTTTTAGTCCCTTTTGCTCACTTTAGGCCTAAAAAGGGATTCAAGAGGCTAAAAGGACTAATGTGATCTAAAGGGATCAAAGGAATAAATACTGCATACATTTATAAAGGAAAGTTAGACCAGGATAACTTTAATTTCTTGTGAACCGATGACATTTATCTATATATCTATATATTTGCATATAGATTCTTTCTTTGCCCTTTCTGCTTGTTGAAAGCATTTCTCTATATAAATATAGACTTCTGCTTGAAACTATTTTACTTAAAAAATAGTGAATCATAAACATATGCCACAGTTGACATGAGAATTTCAGTTGAGATTGGAATGCGCGAAATAAAATTATCTGAATTTCTTTTTTTCCCCTGCTCGTATTTCATAAAATAAAATATATTTAAAAGGAAAAAAGATTTTACTATTAAATTGAATCGAATGAATAAAAGAAATTATAGGTAAATGATTACCTTGTGCTTTATGTATAATAATAGTAATATTAATAATAATAATAAATTTTTTGTTTTATTTAAATTCTACCGGTATGAGTCATAATATAATTAATCTCCTCTGAATTAATCATCAGGTGGTATTACAAGGATGTTTAGTAAATTTTTATATTTGATTTATAAAAGTTGTATAAATAAAATAATTTATTTTTCTCAGATAAATTCAATGTCCCCATGTCCCCATTGTTTAACAAACGTACAGAGAGTTGAATTTATATGAAAACCTTGTAAAAAGATGGAAGGAATAATTATCAATACAAAATTTTCTAAAGGCAGATCTCAACAAAAATTCTATTAAAAAAATTAAGAAAAAGCTATTCCAAACTCGCCTGCCACATATTATATATATATATTCTTTCTTTTCCATTTCTCCTTGTTGACGCATTTCTCTATATAAATCATAGACTTCTACTTGAAACTATTTACTTGGAAAAATACCGAATCATAAAGATATATGTATATATATATATTTTTTTTTTTCTTTTCCATTTCTCCTTAAAACGTATGACTTTACGTGGGGTGGTCCATTTCTGCTGAAAATGTGACCATTTCCCGATCAATTGGTCCCATCGCACACTGCTGGGATAGAAGAATCTCTCTTTTGTATTTTTAAATTCGAAATGGCATTTTTTTAAATTCTATATTATAACTCATAAAAATATGTTTCTATTTCTCAAAGAAAACTTTTCAAGAGTCAATAATCAGCTCAACATTTATAATTGATTAACTTTTCCAAGCTATCAAGTGCGTTAATTTTTGTAAAGAATTTATTTATCTGAGCCAGTAATTAAAGAAAACAAACATGATCCTCGTTTTTTTTAGGATACTATAGCTTAACAACGGAAAGAAAAATGTACAAGTATCAATAAGGACAAAATTCATTTGATGATAAACAATGACCAAAATCAGTAGCACAATCACCTGTGCTTGTTGTTGCTATTGGATCAATGCCAATCATTTGTACTTCGTTTTTAAATATATCTAATAAATGTTCAATATCATCGGAATATATATTTTTATGTTCATTCATGCCAATTGATTGATTTAAATTTGTCGACATATGAGCAGTTGGCATCGTATCGGAAAGTGATGGATCATTTTTGAGTAACATATATCGCGATGTTGTTGGAATAGATGTTCGTTGTTGTTGTTGTTGTTGTTGTTGTTGTTGTTGCTGCTGTTGTGGTTGTGTACAATATGTTGGATGATTATAATAGTATGATTCAGATGGTAATGGTGATGTTGGATATATTGGAAGAGTTTGCTCGGAGTGAAAACGTTTTGGTTGATGATATGATAATGTTGAATCAAATTTTCGTTTTATTGTTTGATCATTGTATGATTGCTGTGAATAATATTGATTTTCTTCATTGGAATATTGATGATCATGAGAATAGGTTTGTATTGATGAACGAATCGTTTGACCATTCACAACAGTAAAAGGTTTATTTATTCGTTCAATTTTTTTATTTTTATTTTCATGATTATATACATTTGATATTGAATATCGTTGTTTATTATTATTCAGTTGTATAAGCCATGATAAATCTGTTAAATCATCATCAACTTTTACAGATTTAGTTTCAATCTGAACAAAACTTATTTTTATTTTCTTCACATAAAAAAAAGACAAACTTACTGTCGCAATCGGCATTTGTTCAATCGTTAAGATATATATTTTTACGTATGTATATAACACCTTCAGTCTATTTAAATATGAAAATTCTTTTTTTCTCTGTCGCTTATTATATAATAATAGAACTGACCGTGTGTAAATATATAGCAATTGAATAGCTCAAGATAATGAGCGTTGCTGCTCATAGTGATGATGTCATTGTGTTGTCTTGCGATGAAATAGCGATGAATATGAGCCGATTGTCGCGCAGAAAGATAACAGTGTTATCATTACAAATATGATGGTAAGGAATTTTTTTCATATGATTAGAAATCTAATGAGTTGATATTTTTTTTTGTTGGCATGTATGAAAAGATTTTAAAGCTGAATTCCAATATAATTAATTAATATCTAATCTATGAAAATGGAAAAAATAAGTCATATGCAGGCCACATGAAAAAAAACAGACATTACAATTTACCGATGAAATGTTTTACTAACCTGATTATTTCAACTGTTTATCATAAAAACAGTTTTAAGAAGACTTTTTTCCTATCACAAATCAAGTAGATGTATCGACATCATGAGCTGTGATATTACATAAGTTAAGATGTTCTTAAAATTCAAAACAAAACAAAACAAAAGAAAAAAAAAGACGATCTATTGTTATTCAATTGTGTCACGTGTATAATCTTTTAAAGCTATCGATCAACCATATAAGATTATTAGTCAAAGTTTAAAACATCAAAAATGACTCTAAACATTCCATGATTGATTCGTCAAAGAAATATTATTTTATTCATCATATTGATAAATATGGTCGCAATTAGAGTAATTATGATTGAGTATCAAAAATTGATTATCCATAGGAAAAGATTTTGATTTTTGATTTCAAAATATTTTTTCAATAGTATTGAGTTTATCATGAATAGCTCTATATTCTTTCCAAAAAAATCTTATATTTTCCTTTTTTTGTGTTCTCTATTTTACAATTTATTTCTAGGGCACATACACATAATTTTTATTCCCATAGATCGTGCTATTTGTTCATTGTTAAATACTGATCCCGATAGATGTTATACTTAAATATTTACTTTTATTTATTTGCTCTATTCCGTTTACGTTCTTCTCGCCTTTGGAAATAATAAAATAATATTTCTGTTTTCTTTTAGTAAGAAAAATTGCAATGAATTATATTATCCTTTCGTTTACATTAAATGCTAAATAAAGATAAATCACTAAACAATCTCTGTTTGATCATCATTTGTGTCAAACATTTATTGTGGTTAAAGCAATCCTTTGCATTTTTTTTGCTAATTTTAATAGCTATGAGCAAGCTTTGACATGTTACACATTAATAGAGGATGCTATTTTTGATGCAAATACCATACAAGTCAGCACTTTACTCTTATGACATTGATAATCATATCAAATGTGATTTTATTTCGTGTGTATATTTCTATGCGTCGTCTTTTTTTTTCTTAATACAAATAGACTTTGAACATCCCATTAGATAGATAGCATACTTTGTCTTCGTCATTTTTGGTTTTATTTTAGATTAATCTTATTCTTTCAATAAATATATATTTTTAGTACATCGAAGGAAAAGAAATATATATATATATATATAAATACTAAGCAAGTGAACATTTAGTGACTGATGACGAAAATAATGAGGCATAACTGTGAAGAAAACACTTTTTTCTATTGTAGCCATTAATATATAATGAAAATCGACAACAGAAAAGAAAAACGGAAAAGTGACGTGCAAGTGATACACAGAAAAGGAAAAAAAAGTATTTATTCATAATTTTAATTGATTGGTCTACTAGTCTTTATACGCACGTTGAAATTCTAGAAAAAAAAGATTATCTATAAATCTAAGAAAAATAAATTTCTTTTTTATTCAATACCTTCAAATGTTACAAGACCATCTTTATCCGAATCAATAGCAGCAAATGCTTTGGCTATTGCTGATGCATCGTTCGTTGTTTTCGAATGGAATGCTCGAAATTCTTTTAGAGTTATATAACCATCTTTATCCTAAAAGAAAAGATTTCCAATACGTGTATTGTTTAATTATTCATTATACTTCATCAAGACGATCGAATTCTGATCGAAGATCATCGAATATGTTTTTTGTCGATGACATTATTGTTTTATTGTTACAGAAGGAGAAAAAACAGAACTTTTCACAGTAGAATAAAATTATCTAAAACATGTATTTCAATAAATCCTGACAGCATGCAAGTAATTAGCAAGTAAATCTGTCTATAATTTAAAATATAGTTCGGCTTACGCTGTTGTATAGGAATATGGTTTTGTACTCAAGACTGATATAAAATAGTTCTTATAAGAAAAAAAAAGAATTAAATCATATAGTAGTCTTCAGTTGTTCTTCATATATATATAGCTTCCCTCTCTCTGTCTCGTATTCTAGTTTTATCGAGAAAAAAAACAGAAGAGAAATTTGTCTCTCTTCTAAAGAAAATAGCGATTGTGTATTGTTCGGAGAAAACACACTTGCATTACCGATAAAACTCTTGTTTGGCCGGTATAGTCGATTTGGTCGCCATTTCTTTGTATCTGTGGAAGAAAAGAAAAAAAAATAAGAAAAATAATTAATTCCTGTTTAATTCATTGTTGTCACAATCGTCAGTTCTATTTCAACTTGAATATTTTTTTATTTATTTTTCGTTAAAATATCTCTGATTACTTTGTTACAGTATCGAGACTGTTTTCAATTCTAATTGATTAATTATTTAATGCACTATTTACATTGAATTGATACCTTAAGTAGTTCGATGAACTAACAGTCGAATTATCACACTACGATATGAATTTTCTCCGTTGATATAGGTGAACTCATAATGAAGAAATCAGCAATTAGAAAAGAGTACCATTGATTTCTTTTGTTCTGTTCTTTCTATTTTCGATGCTAATGATCACAAAAAAATTGATACTCTCAAGTGGTATATTTCAATTCGATGATCGATGAATTGCTACCATATATTAGTCTCAGGGGTCCTCATTCTACTTGAATACAAAAATGAACGGTGGATGACACCAACTAGAGTAGTATAGCCCTAGTAGGATCAATGTCATGAAAAGATAAAAGGAAAAATGATCAAGTAATATAACTTACAGTAAGGGGTTGATATGTAATTTAAAAGAAAAGTGCTATTCCAATGGTTCGCTCATAACCGAAAAAACTCTGTTTTCTTACAGGGTACCTTTTCATGTTAAACCGATGTTAATGACAAGAACGATTTACTTACTTTATTCTTTAGTATAATCTATAATGGATCGTGCTTCACTCAAGTGACTAACATTACATTTTTCAAATAAGTTTTGAAGCACGCTGTCTTTCTTCAAATAAATTGTGATTCGCCTCATACATAATATTGATGTAAATAATTTCAACTATTTTTGGCATAAATATTGATATACGAACGGAAACCAGCCACAGTATGAAATATAATATGAAGTTTGTTCAAATAAGTAAATATATATAGATAGATAGATACGCCGTGTTGAAGGTACTATAACAAGTCCTACCATAGTCCCATAGTACAAATGATGTTGTAGCATCTCTGTTATATTTGATCATCATGAAGTTAGAATCTTCATAAAATAATTCGATTAGAACTCTTTTCCTTGAAACTTGAATATAATGTTATAACGTTTTTCAAAGAAACATCAAAGGGTTGAACATTTTTTTTTGAATAACTCACTGTTGATAGAACTAAGATTAAGAATGCTCATTCTCATCTTTGCAAACATAGAAAATGAAAACGCATTGAATTTTATATTACAATTTTTGTCTAAAATTTTTCAATATTTACAGTGAAGTTTCAATTGATAAAAATTCACCTGAACTGCTAATTGAAGATTGAACTGAGTTTTCACCATTTTTTAATGAATTTATTGAAAGATTTAGAAAGATTTCTGAAAAAACTAATCATTACGATATAGCTATCTTCAGTTCTGCTTAAAATTACGCAGCATTACAATTCTTTATCTCGGTTCTAACAAAGCTTATTCAGTATATATATATATATATATATATAGTATTAAAAACATTATTGTCATATATAACAGTCAATAGTTCTAATCGAAAATTCATTATCATCACATACGGTAGAAATCGAATGCATCGTTTTTATTACAAGACCATCTAGATAAAATTTTCTTTGAGATTTTTACAAAGCATCAAAGTATTTCCGTCGCTACTTTTCGCATGACCTAATCATATTAATCCTCGTACGGCGGATGATCACTGACTGTTTTTGAACAGCACCCTAAATTATGTATGAACGATCGGAAATAGTTGAGTATGCATCAAACTATGCTCATTGTAATTCTACACAAGTAATATTTCTTGCTTGATTATGACTAATGTTCTCGCTTGTCTGTCGTAGAGTGATGCTAATGTTTCTAACTTTTTTTCTATCGAAAATACCACTCTAATCAAAAGCATTAAAATATGCATTTACTTCGTTAAACTAGAAAGTATTTAAGGAATTTTTTCTTTTCAATACTATATTTAAAAATATAATAAATTGATAGTTGATTTATTAGATTAGAGGTGTAGAATATAAATTTGTTTAATCGGCATGCAAAAAACAGTGCTGAAAATCTTTTGCATGTCGAGAGATAGATGTCGTACTCACGGATCTTATAGAGTCAGTTACTATGGCACTGTAAAACAGAACGATATGAATATTAGACAATCAATTTAAATTAAACATTTTGATTTAAATATCATGCCTGAAACACGTAATCATCAAAGACCTCATCGTATTTCATCAGCCGAAAGTGGAGCTGTTGGTGGTCATAATCATCAGGAATATCCCAATCAAACATTATTTGAACATACCAAAGAAAAACAAGTATATTCTATTTCTAAAATATATTTATTAGTAAAAATGAAAGAGAAATATGTTATTATTTAGCTTCCATTCCTTAGTAATATTGTTATTATCGGTCGTTTAAAAGATGCTTGGGATCATAAACCAGAACTTGCAGGTGTGTAGTATTTCTGAATGTTAAATTGAGTTTTATGAATGTGTTTAATTAATAGATTATTATCAAAACTTCATAAGTTCTTTACCTATTACTGTTGAAAAACCTTTGGATACAAATCAACATAATACTCCGGAGGATACTCATGTTCAACCAGCAACTGGTCTATTACTTATTTTTCCAACTCTTTTTATTCATTATCTGGAAGTAACTAATTCAGCAATGAAATCTATTCTTGAAGATCTTAATCAATCAATTAATAATCGAGATGGCCTTATACGAGAAGCATCTATTCTTAATATTTCATATAATGTTGATATTTATCATAGTATTACAACTTATGATTATAATTATTATTTTTTTTCTTTAGATTAATGCACGACACTATCCGAATTGGTCATTCAGAGGTATTAAATTAGCTGTCGAAGATCTTGATGCTCAACCAGCTGAAACACCAGAAGCGATTGCTATTGAAATTCTTGGTAAATTATTAAGATTAGCAAGATATCAAGCCGAAGAACGACAACGAAATGTAATCATTGCATATTTAACATTTTATTTTAACTATTTTCTTAATTTTGTATTACAAAAAGGAACGAGGTGGTGATGTTCTAGCAAATTTCGATCAAAATAGAGCTGATTTATTACCCAATCAAGGTAATTAAAAATACAACAACTCTCTATGGACTTGTTCGAATGGTCCTTTTTTTTATTTTCAGTGAATATCAATTATCTTCTTAAACAGCCAATCTTTCGAACAGCTGAAGATATTCTCAAAAATTATAGTCGCCCAATTAATATTCGATTTGAAAGTGGTAAGTTTGTATATTATTTTTTCTTTTTCATTAGAATTCTATTTTGTTTTCTTCTTTTTTTTATTAGATTTAACGGCACCACCAACGCATAGATTATTTCCTATAACCTTATAATTATTCGTTTATGTTTATCGATTATTATACATTATTTTTCTTTTCTCTTTCCTAATAAAAGAAAAGATTTCATCAACCAAGACAAGATTGTACTACGTGCTAGTTGTACTGTGTGCTTTTAAAATATTAAATTCATAAAAATAAAATCTTTGTACGTAACACTCCGCACTTTTGATACTCAATCAAGTGATTACATCCAGATGCGTTCTTATATTAGCATGATAATATCAACAATACTTCAATACTATCCATTAATTATGCAAAAAATGAAGGCTCCTAGTTAATTATGAAAATATCAATGATTATTTTGATGAGTGATAATCAGTGACGAGTAACGGAGTAAACAAAGGTATCTTTGATTATTTTTCTCTTTGGTCAGTATGATGTGATTGATATATCGGACAAACGAACAGCTCTCTAAACGATTGAAATAATTTGTTCGATCTTGTTTATATTACCAGATGGGTTTTTTTAAAACGCTTTGAAGTTTTTATCTTCATAAGACTTTTCCATTCGTATAACAATATAGAAAATAATCGCATCTTCTTAGTGGTACTGGTTTTCGTTGGAAATGAAAAATTTATTGTAATAATTACAAGCTCATGTAAAATAGTTCAGGCGAATACAAGAAAGGCCAATGATTCATTTTAAATATCTCTTGAAGATGTACTTTAGACTTTTAATAAATCTACGCGAAATAATATTTAGTTTATTAGAAAAGAGTATTTCGTGATGCTAATACTATCAAATATGTTTCATGTTTTTTTTCTCCTTGTTTATAAAAGAATAAAATCATTTTTTCAACAAATTTCATCGTATGGAGAGTTTTATACATTCGTGGATTTCACATCCTTTTCTAACGACACAGAATCATGTTGAAGAAGAACTACACTATTGAATCATAAGACAAGTATTTAAAAAATGGTAAATAAATATTAGCGCATTGATTTTGTCCAATTAATACAGAGATCAGTATCAATCGATGGCCTTGTTTAGTTATAATGCAAATTGTGTGAAAAAGGAAGTTAACGATAATAAAGTAGACTTAAATTGGAAACTTATTTAACATGAAATAGCAAATAGGAACTATTTCTTTTAATGCTTTCTAATGTTAATTGTTGACAATTTTCTGGTCTGGTTACAAATCATCATCCAGAAGAACAAGAAAAACTACAAGAACCTATTGATAAACATTTCAATCCTAATTTGTGGGATTCTGCTTGTAGATCATCGATCACGAAATTATGTTGGAATGAGTTTCGTTGGGATGGAGTTTAAAATATTCCCTATTCATCTCCCCGAAAGATATTCAAGTGTTAGATTTAGAAAAGCTCAAAGAATATATCGCCATCGTTCTAGAACAAGTCAATGTATAAACAAATAGAAGTTAAATTGGTTCTATGTCATTAAATTTAAAAATATTTGTTTCTGAAGAGTTTCCAGCGAAGCAAACGGTAAATTTGTTGGCATCTAAAACGTAACCTTGAATCTGTACGCCCATCGGGAGCTATGAAGCTTAGCGCAAAGCATATTCTGCTGTAACATCAATCTAATCATAATTTGAAGAGGACGAGCGAAAAGAAAAAATATAAAGATATCGATAAAGGGCGTGGAGACGAGAAAAACAACGCAATAAAACTGGGCGTTAGCGCTTTGGTTAATGAAAATGAAAAAGCAAACATTTATTTCGTTAATTTTACAGTAACTAAAAGATGCTTTTAGTCTCTGTTGTGTTACTTGCTCTAGCTCTTATCATATTTATTGTTTATTTGTGCTATATTATGCCAGCCTATGAGTTTTTCACAAAACTCAATATTCCTGGCCCATCACCAATACCCTTCTTTGGTAACTTACATGAAGTTATTAAAAGTAGACGTTTATCGTTGACAATTAAGAAATGGACGAATAAATATGGGCGCGTATTTGGCTATTTCCAAGGACACACGCCTATTTTAGTTATCTCCGATCCTGACATATTACAAAATGTATTTACTAAAAATTTTTCAAATTTTCATTCTCGTCGTACTTTTCCATTGTCCGATGAAAGTACGAAACGAGTTAGTATGTTTCTTGCAACTGGAATGCGTTGGAAACGACAAAGATCTGTTATTAATCCAACATTTTCCTCAGTCAAACTCAAGCAAATGACACCCCTCATTCATCGAACTCTTGGTGTATTCATGACAAAGATGTCTGAACAATGTAACAAGTGTCAATCATTTGATATCTATGCATTTTATAAACGATTTACAATGGATACAATATGGTCATGTGCTTTTGGCCTTGATACCGACATGCAAAATAATATCAATGATCCATATCTTGTTTACTCTCAGCAACTATTCGAAGAAAAAGTGAATGTTCGATTACTAGTTCTGTTAGCATTGTTTATCAATGAATTGAATAAACTATGGAGGTCAATTGATTTATTGATGGGTGGTATCAGTTATTGGTGTCGTGAAAATTTTCCAATAACAAAGCGATTTCTAAACGAAACTCCAGCCATATGGATTACGAAGCAAACATACAAAATAATGGAGAAATGTCAAAATTTAAGTCGAACAGGTCGTACTGATTTATTGCAATTGATGTTGGAATCAGCAACAGATGAAGAATATATTCAAGTATGTTCAGTTTGATTTTTCTTTCAAGAATTAGTTTCACTAAATCAATTGTAAGATATCTTCCAAACTCTACACGATTTATATATATTTACTTCAGTTTCAAAGAGAAAGTTATCTCTTAATAGTATTTAGAACATGTATCGATAAATTCTTTTTTGTAAATATTCTAACGGCTTGTTGTTTGCATTTGCATAGAGTATTGAAAATATAATATTATATGCCTGTCCTCTTCGCATATTTTAATAGGTAAAAAAAACACGGAACTATTTTCACGGTATTGAAAGGTCAAGCAAGTGAATCACTCTGATGTCGAAATATTCACAAACTAATCAAAACTTGAATCTAAACTTGGAATAATAGATTATTTCTTATTAAAATTGACTACACTGAGAAAAATGATCATTGGCACATAGTCATCTTTCTGAACTTGATATCATAATAAAACATCGCACTTATCCGCTATTCCCGTGCATTTTGTTAAGCGAATCATAGTAGAATTTCGTAATAAAATAAAATAATAGTGAAAACATCCTTGTAATCGTTCCATTTCCTTTTTTTTTAATAATAAGTGAAGAATTTCCCCAGAATATCTATCATTGTTATATTCACTATTTTGTGTATATCATTTGAAGGATGGTCGATCAACTGATACTACAACTAAAGAAACCGATTTTGGGACACCACTCATACGAAAACTTACTCGACATGAAATTGCAGCAAACATTCTTGTATTCAGTGAGTCAAATTTACTATCTTGAATTCTTTTAAATTAGCTTTTGTCTGACAGTGATTGGTGGCTATGAAACGACAAGTACAGCGCTTAGTTATACTACTTATGCGCTTGCAACTCATCCACCAGAACAACAGAAACTACAAGAACATATTGATAAACATTTCCATCCTGAAAACGATGATGAAATGCCATCTTATGACACAATATTCGAGATGGACTACTTGGATATGTTCATTCGAGAAACGCTTCGCATGTATCCTATTGCACCAGTGGTAGTCAATCGTCAAAGTACAGAAGACTTTTATATCAATGGTATTGGTACGATTCCAGCTGGTACATGTATTGCTGCTGATATGTTTGCATTGCATTTTGATCCTGATTTGTGGGGGCCTGTAGATCCACATATATTTTACCCTGAACGCTTTGCTACAAAACGACATCCGATGGCATGGATTGCGTTTGGAGCTGGACCTCGAAATTGTGTTGGAATGCGTTTTGCCCTGATTGAGATCAAAATACTCCTTGTTCGTCTTCTCAAAACATATTCTATTGTTGATTGTGGTGCACCAACACATAAGTCATTCGAACGACTAACAGAAACTTTTGTCATAGCACCAAAAGAAGCTATAATTCGTTTACAACGAAGGGATGAACAGCATGTTTAATGGATTCTCGGTAACAACTTGAATGTTTTTCTTGTTTTCTTTTCTTTGATAAACTAATTTACAGTTTTGCATTTATTGATGGAATAAAAATAAAATATGTGTTTTCCATGGGATATCTGTCTTTGACTCTGAAATGTCAATTTTCAGTGTGCTTACGTTTCATCTACGTGTTATACGTCAAATATGAAGAGATGTTAGAAGAAAATATTTTCTAGTTACGACATGTAAATAAACGTAGATACTGTGAGGTTATCATACTGTCGTTAGACTTTAATAATAGTTTACAAACTTAGACTTCTTTTGGTTGACATGTAAGACTTTTGAGCACAACAATAAATTATTAAATTAAAACAATGAACTATAATGATTTAACATTCTTGATATCAAATTAATTTAATGACTAGTAGATCTAGTCGTTGTCATTTTTTAAGATCATGTTTACGTTATATCTGTAGTTGTCTAGAGGCTATCTGAACATATTATTTTTAACTTTTGAAGAACTTCCGGTCGAGTGTACATGTATAATTCTCCAGGCAGTCACTGTCTGTTTATTTTTAATGTTAAAACAGACTATTAGCCAATTTTATCTATGATTCCTAAAATGCCTTTTGATAAATGTATTTTTTACCCTTGGACGTAATAACTCATCATGTCTGTACTTCAAATATTCTCTAGTTGTCCTACTTTTAATGTTTGAAAGGCTAATATTTAGTTTATTTTCTATGTGCAATAAATAAATAAATAAGGTGCTGTATGTTTTTTGTTCTTTTCGCTTTTCAGTCGTTGCCGATGCACAATAAATGTAATTTTTCAGATTTAGTTGGATTGTGCTGCTTAAAAATGATCAGAGTCTATCAAGGTGATATGTTTGTGAAATCATCATCTTTTTAAGTGTTTTCAATGAAAAATATTATCCCTTATTCATACTGTTTAAATTCAAGCCATGTCAAAATAACAAACGTATTGCAATGTAATGAGATATCTGGGGGATTTTTCACCTTGCTACACATTTTTGCACTGATTAAAGGAACACGTATTTTTTTCTTGTTTTTTTTCTAATTAGTATCTAAAACAAGCAACGCTTCGTCATCGCGAAAAATAAGCAATTTACATTTTGTTTTTTTGAATTTGATTTTGATGCATGATAACAATTTACTCTTTGTGCAATCAAGCATCTATTTTTGATGTATTATACATTTTATAAATTAGATAGGAACGATATCAACCAACCGCCTCGATTCATTAAATAATTTCAGTATTTTGCGAAATGAGTAGCATTGTATGACTGTACAATTTGTTTATTGAATTCGCACCATTGTAAAAACAGAGAAAATATACAATTCTTGATGCAAATACTTCTACCGTTTACCGTTACTCGAATGTAATCTTTTTTTTTGTCAAATATTTCCCATACGTAAAGTATATGCAAATCAAAGGCCAATATATGGAGACGGTCTTATGCAATTATTCAAATAGTATATGAATTATTTTCTTAGTATTTTAGAAAGTATAACTATCTTCGATAGATTAGGAATGCATTCTAGCGTTAAAGCAACAATTTTTATAATTTAAAATGACCAATGAAAGGCGTATATCAATTATGGATGATCTTTTTAATTGAAAAAATCAGAATATGTTGTGAACAACACATATTGCCAACTTTTAATGGCTATAACCATCAACATTCTTTTAAAGAGCTTCAATCAATTGTATGATGATACATACTACTGTCATAAAATACCGTATAAATTACTGTTAACCTCTCGCCCAATGACAGAAGAAATATCTGAAGGGTGTGAAAGCGTACCTCATGAGAATCATAAGTAATGTTAATTAACTGTTAATATGCCACTCCCAAAACCGTAACGAAATCAGTCCGTGGCTAAGATTTACTAAACAAATATTCGATGCAAAATACGGCGACAAGATATAATATGAAAATAGCTTTTTACTAATCATTGCGCTCGTACCTTCGTGCAATAAAAATATAAAAAGAAAAAACATTGAGAAAAATATTCTTTTGACTTGTAGACTGATGTAAAAATATGATATCACTACTATGTTAATGAAACGATGTTTTCGTTAATATTTCATGCATGCATGCGTCCGTTCGTTCGTTTCTTTTACCTTTGGACTTGTGTGATAATCACAATAAAGGCGTTGCCCAGATAAATTATTTTGATCCTCTGAATAGGTGTCTTTAATGGTTGTTTTCATAAAAAAAAAGACTATCCTTTTGTAAAACTATAATTATGCTTGGACTCTCTAGAACTTCATAGCTAATGGTATAAGCTATTTTTTAGAATAATTCCCCAATTGACATGAATTCTATGATACCCGCAATATATTTCTTTTTATTTTCATCAACTTGCCAATAAATTATCGAAAAAATAATAAATATGGCCTCTCGTCTATTTTTGTTTCAGTGTGTATATGAGTGTCAAATGCATTTATAAAAGAAAAAGTTATGAATCATTTTCTTATTGATAGACATTACGCTGTAGAAAAATATTAGCATGTTGATTAATAGTAAATAATGCAAAAGTGAAACATATTCAACTTTAGATTATTAGAATATTGTTGAAAAAAATGAAAATTTGCCCTAACAAATTAATCACACTCGAAACATCTATTCAGTTGTTCTACTATATATATATATGAAAATTTCTCTAATCGTTCATTAATATAAATATTTATTGATTCATCAATTGTAATTATTATTATTTTCTTTATTCGTTGATTTTTATTCCTAGACTATTATTCTCTCAGGTTAACTTGTTTTATACAAAATAAGTCTAAAAATAGAATGTTTATTAAACAATTTAGAAAAATATCAAATTCATGTTTGCAGTTGATATTGTATAAATTATAGATAAAAATTCTCATCATAAGATTTTTGCATTATTCTAATAACGAGAACACCTATTAAATCATATTTATGTGATGGTAAAATTTTCTTTTTGTGAAATTTTTACTAAATGTTCGGCTCGGTAAGTTTATGATAAAATAATGGTATCTTTATATTTTATTGTATATACTAGAAATAAACTATCATAGATTTAAATCTAATATTCTCAATTCAGTTTGCTAATTTTCTATAATTTTAAAATCCTAAACACAAAAATAGTATAAAGATTAGCCCATGTATTTTTCTAATTCAGTTCGTTCTGATGAAGAAATATTTATTCAGCTATTATCTCCATTGGCAAAATACGAATACGAGTGTTGTTGACGAGTAAAATGACTTGAAACTGCCAAGGTAAAGTACAATATATGGTATCAACTGCTAATTCTTGTTTTGTCTCCGTATTTTCATTGATGATTGATACTTTGCAATGTTCACAATCAATTATTAAACTAATAATACCATTTACGTTTATACGTAGATTATTTTTTTTTGCCACAACAAGAATAGAATCATAGACTTCAATCTTAACTTGAAACGTCTCTATTCGTGGATTCTTTTAAAAATGAATATGGAATGAAAGAGTTCATCTAATTTATATGAAAATTTAACATTTTTATTTATAGCTATTATCATTTATTTGTATTATATTATATCAGTCTATGGTTTTTTCGAAAAACTCAATATTCCTGGTTCATCACTAATCCTCGGCTTCGGTAACTTTCTCGAAGTAAGACTGATGCTTCATATTTAGTTTATTTACAATAGATTTTTGTGGAAAACCGAGATTTCAGGATTATTACTGAGTTTGATATATCCTAGAAAGCAATATATATGTATGACGGTCATATACGATATTGCCTTTGAACCAGAGATGAACACGCTTTTCTTCTTTTCATCATGAAAAGTCTTCGGTTCTAAGAAGACTGTTCTAGTTTTTGTAGTCCTCATTAACGATATTTCTTTTTTGACAAAAAAGCAAGCCCATGTGAATTTTGCGTCAAGATTTGACTGGTATTGGTATTACTTTATTATTGATCCTATATTTTCGCTTTTAAAATTAAGCTGATCTCAAAACATAAAAGAAAAGATTTGCTACAAATTCTAATACTGTGCTTGTTGACCATCTTGAAATTCCATCATTAGTTGATTGCCATCATAAAACATATAAATCTTTCGAACATCTAAAAGAATTCATGGTGATTATTTGAAAAGAAGTTAATTTTCATGTAAAATATAAAGAAAACTATCATCCATAATACTTGACATTCATACTTTTTTTTATTTTCGCATTATAACTCTTCACTATTTGTTTTGTCTAAGCATTAAATGAAAAATCACAAGAAAAAAGAAAACAATTTATTTCAACACTAAAAGATCTTCATCAGTCCTATTGTCTCACACGCGTTTTTTTGTTTTGAAAAGTACGAAAAGTTTAAACTTTTTCCGCAATAGAAGTAATATTTTTGATTTTTGTTCCATTACTCGATTGTTTATTATTATTATTGTTAGATGCATGGAACGTTAAACAGCCAGCATGTAGAATAAGTAATGTGTCATTAGTTAAAAGTCCCACACTCCATGCTAGAGAAAATAAAATTAATCCACAGTAAAATTAATCCGCAGTAAAATACTTACGCCATGGCCGATATTGGATCGATTTCTTTTCACCTTCGGGTCCAACAGCCCAAACTTTTTTATTACCTCCATCAGTTACAATAATACCGCGACTAACTGGATCAATAATCAATCGGTTCATATTATCAACATTAATTTCGTATAGATCAATACGACGAACGAGTTGACCTATTTTCCAAAAAAACAAGGAAAAGCTTTCTCAATTTAACGAATCTTATCAATTTTTACCATTTTTTTGTCGCTTTTCAACAAAATACCTTGCTGGTTCACGTTCACGTCGTTTTCCTAACACGTAACAGCATTGCATATCAACACCTAAACTTCGTATTTCAACACCACATTCAAATGTTATTTGTAACTGTAATTCGTGATCAAATACGGATACTTTCGATTTATTACAACCTTTTTCTGATGCATAAAAAATACATTGTTCATCTGATGCAACACGTTGACAATTAAGACCACGTTCAACGACACGTTCACGTTCAAGTTGTTTTCGTGTTAAATTACACACATACAATTTACATTCAATTGGTTTTGATGCTTGTTTATGTTCACCTACTATAATTATACTATCATCATGATAAATACATAAATCTTTTATGTCACCATCTGACCATTGAATTCTCTATAATAAAAAAAAAAAAAACAAGACGAAAATCTTAAAAATCCTATTTGTTTTGTGTATTTTATTTACTTCATTCTCGTGTCCGTTAGAATCAAATATAACTAATGAATTTTTATCTTTATTATAGAGTAATATCAAGTTTGTATTTGTTACTGCTAACATCCCCCAATCAAAACTTTGTGAAAGTGGAATTTTTTTACATGCTTCAATATTACAATTATCTAATTTCGATTGGAATGTTGGTGCACGAATTGTTGTTGGAGACATTTTATGAGTGTGTGTTGATATTGATAGATCAGCGATTGAACTTGAAACAGTTTTTGCTAATAAATTTGCTGATGCAACTGGATGAGCACGATGGTTTGTAATAATAGTTGGAGATGGCCGTGTTGTTTGTTGATTTTCAAGTAGTAAATCATTTGTATTATCATTGGAGAGATTTTTCAATGTTGGCTGATGAGTTGAAATTATATTCAAAGATTTATAATGATTTGCTATACCATTTGAATGGGTTTTTATCGCTCGGCTATTTGTCGGTGTAGAAATCTTGACATGATCATTATTGACTGAAGATGAAGCTGTACTACTTGCGTCTATTTACATAGTTATATAAAAACAATAACAACAAATTCAACAATGAAAAGAATAACACTTGATGTTACATACCATCTATTTGAAGATTTTTCATTGATTCAGTTGAAGGTGGTAGTAAAGTTTGTTTACAATTAATTAAAAATAACTCATCGGTTTGTGATGGTGAATCCACATGTTTATTGTGGTTGACTTTTTTATAATCATCATTGTCAAATTCAAATACTTTCATTTCTGGTAAATGTTCTTGAAATATTTCATTTGCTTCACGAATATCTTCTTGTAAATGTGTTAATTTTAATTGTAATTGTTTAAATTGTTCTATAGTTGACCAATCCGTAATAATGACTCGTAAATCTTGTATGGATTTGTTAATTTGTTCACAACGTTGTCTATGTTCATCAATAAGTAATTCAAGTTCATTGTTATAAATTGTTGATTGTCTTTCAACAATTTCTTCATTTGTTATTTGTGCACAACGTAATTCATCAATTAAACGTGTATAATGTGAACGTATTGTGTCAATAGATAGTTGTCTTGTTTCAATTAATTTTGTTCTCGAATGATCAATTTGGTCATTCATATTTAAATATTCTTGTTCTAATGTATTTATATTATTTGTTAATGTTGTTAACGCTTCACGTCTATGCTGATTAGCGCATTCAAAACAAACAAATAAACAACAATGTGAACATTTAACAAATGATGGTGATTGATTGCAAACATAACATTGTCCAGCTGCTTCAACATGAAAGTTACATGATTCTATAAGATCAAGAACGGTTTGATTTATTGGTAAATCTGTATAATTATTTAGTGTTGAACATATTTCTTTTCGACAATTTCTTATTGGACAATAATGATTTAATTTGTCATCATGTTCATTTGTTGTTGATGATGATTCTTGATGGTTCCATTCATTTTCAAGACAAGTTGTACCTAAGTATATTCGATTGAATTCTTTTCTTCTTCTTCTGTTCTTCTATTTATTTCAAAACTAAAACTTACAAACGGTATGCCCACATGTTGGTAGAACTCTCGGTTCATTATAACGTTGTGAACAAGATGGACAATTAACAAGTGTTTCAAGAAGATGACGGGGGATTGCCGCTGCCATATGATACTAAAAATACAGAATGAAACTGTTCTTGATATTGTACATAAAATCTGATATGAACATCCTTGTGGCGTGTCAGGATGTGATATTACAAGGACTGCGGGTCAAAAAGAAAATTGAACGAATAAAAAAAGAAGCGGAGTATTTAAAAAGAAAACACATTTATATTAAATAGAAGATCTCATGTGCATATATGTATATAAGTACATGATAGGTGAGAGGTTAAGTATTTGCCATCCTTCAATATGCATCCTTCATACTTGCAAGAAAAAGAAATGATCGTTGGTATAAAATAACCGTTTCTCTCTTTCTATCTTACCTGTTCATCTCTCTTATTCGCTCTCGTTTACTATATACATTATAATTTTCGTCGTGTGAATATTTTTTAAAAAAAAAAAAAAAAAAAAAAAAGAAAAACGCCGAACCAAAAAGAAAAAAGAAATGTATATGTGTAATTATCGTTTATGACAGCGGCGTCCTCATCAAATATATATGTACATATGTATACGTCGTAATCATTTGGTTGTCCACTATACAAGTCACGCTTGAATTGACCATCCAAAGAATGAGTGAATGTATATATCGATAGTGAATCAAATGCGATCGAAGGTGATAGAAAGAAAGAGAAAGAGACAACGGGAGGATTTATGTTGAACATATATACTCAACGAATTTGAATACATCTGTGTGTATATCATGTCTGCATCGAAACTAATTTATATGTGTATATATACCGGATGCTAACCTTTTCAACCTTATAAGTTAGAATGCTCGCCTATATAATGAGCACGTTCACATCGTTTGATATTGTTTCATTTCATTCAGTATATGTGTTGACACCAAAACAGAAACCATACTAATAATAAAACGAGAAACGAAGCAAGCGGTAACACTTTTAGTAAAACTCTTCTATTCTCTTCTTTATTCTTTCTTCTCTTTTGTTGACATTCGGTTGCCTTTGTCGGTATTGCTGATTATCAAAGTAAAAATGATGAAGACGCATTGAAGCAATGAATGTGACGGTTGAACTAGCCATCTCGATCGAGTAATGACAAGTGAGTGTCAAGAGACAAGTAAATAATCCGCTCTTGTCACTCGACCTTTGGCTTAGTGTGTTTAGAGTGATCGAAGGAGAAAATGTAAAAAAATACTACTAAAGAACTTGAGACGTGTTAAATATGCGAGCACAGACAAATATACTTCGAAAGAAAGTTCATTGATGTATAAGAAAATTATTTCTAGAGATTCTTAAGAAGTGTACGTGAAATTGTTTCATTTTACATTGAAAATTGTTCTCTATGTAAATATACGAAGAGTTAAAGTGTGTAATTAACGATTTTTTCATGTTGTATTTATCGATTGAAATGAATTGTTTTGATAAGTGAAGGCGACGTCATAAGCAATTAAAATTTATCTGTCGATTGTATTTAATTGATTTTTTTCTGAAGTTTCAGCAAATAATACAGAAAGTAGAAATTAAAAGGGCAAAAAGAAAATTATATATATATATATATATATATATATATGTATTATGCAATAATTATCTCATCAATCAGACATTGATGGAGTTTTTTCAGCGGTGCATAATTATGTTAAGTTTTACCTTAAACTTTTTAAACTTCAATGAACTCTAATCATTGAACAAACAATTTGACCTTTATTTGATATGAATATAATTAGTTGACTGTTCTTGTATATGTGCATACGTACATCGAACTCTAATATCTAGTTAAAGATGATATTATCATACATACAACATGAGAAATAGGTAATTTCTAATATTTAGTTCAGACATTCAATAGTAGAAATTTTACCATGATAAATGAAGTATTCAAGAGATTGACTTTTATTAGTACAAGATGTGTACGTAAACATCTAATTTGTTTCATGTGTTTAATCAAGATGATTTGTAAACGTCTCAATTACTATAGAAGAGTTATGATGATATTAAATTACTCCAATATTTATAATACTTAGTTTTGTTAAGATCTATGACTACTTGCATAGTGCTGATTAGACTGTTGCTTTCTATTTTAAATAATCATTTGAAACAAAACCGAGCCCACAATGTCGCGTTTACCTTTACGTGTACTTTGCACATCAAGATTCAATGACAACGTGAAACCTTCTGTTCAATGAAAGAAAAACTTTCAGTTTGAAAATCATTTTCAATGTGCAATATATAGTATTGATTTTTTTTCAAAAACGACTGCGTATATTTGCGAAAACAAAGATTTATTTCATAGGTGGATGATAAGCTTTATTTGAATCTAAATGAAATGTCGCAATTGTGTTAAATCTTGATATAATCATGTGAACCCAATTGTGTTTTATTTCGACAATTCAGTAGTAAACTTCGAAGATAATACTCTGATTGTTATTCCTCTATGATTCTCGTTCAGAGCTTTTAATAAAATTTTGTAATCTGATCATTGTGCGTACATTCTTAGGTCGCATTTTTCTTTTGTTTGTTTATCTTCTTCGTAAGCAAAGAAAAAATACGAGAGACAAATATTGGCAGAGTAAATACAATAGACGAAAGAATTATCAGTTGTCTATTTCGTCGTTCTATACGATTCAAAGATGCCTTTTCTGCAAATATGATCTTTTGTAATGAGTAGACAAAAGAAAAAAGAATAGCAAAACGAAGTTGATTCGGATGATATACTTTTCGTAAAGCAATGCTATACATAATTACTAAGAAAATCGTGTTGATTCGATGACGAGGCGAAGAAATCAGAGAAAGACCAGTATAGACCATCAGTAGTGATCTGCGTGACCAATCCGTAGTGACCAAAGAAACAAAAGATTATCCAATAACAGTTTCTATGGTGGTTGTGGAAAAATAATTCTAATTGATGTTTTGTGTTCAGAATTTTAAGCTCTTCAAAATGATACAAGAAAATTGAGGATACATTGAACTACCGTGGAGAAAACTTCGACACATTCGTCGTGACGAATTTTGGTTACGACCGGTCACGGCGAATATACCACAGTTTTCTCAGCTGCAGATGAATGTATCCTCAATCTTCTTGTATGATTTTGAAGAGCTTAAAATTCTGAACACAAAACATCAATTAGAATTATTTTTCCGCAATCACCATAAAAATTGTTATTGAATTATCTTTTATTTCTTTGGTCACGACGAATTGGTCACGCAGATCACTAACCATCAGGTATTTTAGATGAAGTCTTCTATATTTTATTTGACACTCTCATGTTCGTATCAAACTGATTGTATTGCCATTATGTTTGCATTTTTGAATCATGGATAGGTTATCAATTTTTGCGAATTCGGTTTTTTGAATCCGCAAGAACCATTATCTTGGAGTGGTTATTTGACAAATTTCGATGAATTATTCGGTATGTTAACCACTAGAGAAGTTCTATATATTTTTGGAAAAAATGCTTATTATCTACATAAAATAATCATACTGTATTAAAATAAATTCTATCGCATGAGAGAAAAATGCCGCCACGTTTCTACAGTTAAGTGAGATCATCTCTCTGTAACACTCTTCTATGATCGTGCTATGCTTGTGTTGGTCACTTTCTGGGGACAATCCAATAAATATAGAAAAATATTTTTAAGAAAGATATAAATTCGTGTTTTAAGTAAGATCAGAAAAAATGTTCAACAAATTATGAATCATGACACTCAATACATGATTCAAAACATCGGTCACAATGAACAGCATCATGACATAATTCACAGAACTGTGTACACTGCGCACAAAATGTTTCTCCACAACGTTCACATGAAATTTGGCTTGCGCGTTTTAATGATTTTCGGCATTTTGAACAGTTGCTGTTAGAATTCGTTTCTAAAGAGTGAGAAGATGTTGTTGGATCTTTTGTTATATACTTTATTGCTGATTGATAACCGTAACATTGAGAATCATGACATTTTTGAAAATAAGTCTTCTTAATCGGATCAACAATAAAATAGATTCCATTCCTTTTATGATCCCGTTGAACATTTTCACAATAACGATACGAGCCACCTATGTAAACCTTATACTTTCCTCGTGAATCTAGTGGCCTTATTTTACGAATTCGTCCATCGAATTCTTTAACTTTATTAGCTATAAACTCTTCTATGTCAGCATATTCATCTGGAAAATGGCTCTTTGAATCAACTGAGTCTACTTGAATTTGTGTTGGTAGGGGTATAACTTCAACGTATGATGATGTTGGATCAGAAATTTCGTCAGAACTTATGCATGTTGAAGTTTGTGAAGATTGATTTCTGTCAAGTAAACATTCTAGCGCCTTTTTAGCGGCTGACTGTTCTGCTTCTTTCTTTGATGAACAGCTTTCATCACCGGCATACCAGTAACCATTTATCTCAACTTCGACCTAAAATAATGCCTATTCATTTTAATAATTTCAGAATTACTTACTTGAAATTTCAAATTGTGTACTGGACCAGATTGAGTTTTTATTCGATAGTTGGGAAAAGAAATCTGATTTTGCTGGCAATATTCTTGAAGATTATTTTTCCAAGCTGTATTCATGACGATGGATTATTGTAGGTAATATTTAAAAATATTGTCACTTTTAGAGATATTTTTGTTTTGTTTCATGCTTTCTTTCTCCTTTACATTATGTAAATACTCATACGAGTAACAAAAAATTAGTCATACATAGTTCTTTTCGTTCTATTCAGGTAGGAACACACGTGGCATTGAATGTATTCGCCCGTTATGGGAAGTTTATCAGTGATAGCCAGTTCCTTTTTTCAAAAGATCTATCACAAAATTTCTTTCAAAAGCTCTATAAGAAATTTTACTATAAAAGATCATAATGAAAAACTCTATCTTTTCAGTAGCATATTCTATTTTTCTTTCACATTTTGACTACTTGGAAAAATCCATTACGATTTCAAACTTCATTAGTTTTCTTCTGCCAAAATTTGTAACGACCATGCAACTTCACAAATCTTATACTACCAGATTGTAATGATCAATTGATTGAACTTGTTAACTAAGTACTATATACCCCATCTCTATAAACTGACATTCTATGAAGGAAAACAAGAAATAATAAAAACATCTGTTCAAGTAAATTGATATTAAAAAGAATGTTTATCGTGTTTATTCACCACTCGTGCAATCATATTCAAATATCACAACACGGAATAAGAAAAAAAAAGAACATTAACCATTATAATTCTTCTAAATCAACTTCAGGAAAATCGCCGACAGTAACTGCGCTTGGTCGAACAAAGGCTCCATATTTATCAACACATTCAAAATATTTCTTTCCTTCAACGCTAAAGTAATCATAAAGAGTAACTAGTTTTTCTCTCTCGATAATTTATATTAATTAAAACTTACGAGCCATTATTCTTGCCTAATGGTTCATCATATCGAATACCAATCCATACGCCTGGTTTAAAATGAACGTCACCTTAAAGTGAAAAGTTTACTTTTATTAATCATAATGTATTAAATATATTTCTTACCTTTATACATAACAGTTCCTCTTTTTGTTGGTTGTGATGGAACCATCACTTCACATCTATGAAATCATCATCAAATTATGTTTTCAAAAACAAAAAACAACAACAATAGTATGACTCTAAACTCACCGATCATTAACATGAATTTTATTTGCCGATTCTTGTTCATGTTGTTCTTTTTCTTTTTCTTTTCGAGCATGTTCTTCTTGTGCTGCTGGATTATATTTGCCAATTTTATGCTCTAAAAGAAATTGTTTTGCTGTGTTTTTTCTTGCTGCATATTCTTCCGGTGTCAGTTCATATTTTGGTACGTCAGTCGTATCCTCAAACATATTTGCTTGTTTTAAATTTGTTTCTTCAACTTGCAAAATCATTTTTGAGTGAACATTATAAGAATCTAATACACGTGCATCATCATCAAGATCGAATAATTTTGTACCACGTTCATCATGAACATGAATTTTCATTGATTGACTTTGTGCACCTGTTATTAATTCTAGTTGATTCTAGAATTTGGAAAGAAATAGACTGAAAAAAAAAGAACTGTTCTATAAATTTTTCTCTTACTTTTAATTCTCCTATATGAATCGATCGTTTAAAACGTCGAATAGCTTCACTTGATACTACATTGCTTTTAATATTAAATTCAATCACATCATCTACAGTTGCCATAATGATAATCTATAGAAAAAAAGAGAATTTTCTTTCTAAAATAGTTTCTTTATTAAGTAAAAGTCTTTTTAGACTAGAAAAATAAGAGAGTAAAACCAATACATATATGTATATATGTAAATACACAAATGCTCGAATGCAAGAATCACATGAACAAATATACATCAATATGATAAACAAAAAAAAGTAAAACACAACTATAATAAAAGATTCTTGTATTGAACTATGATCGAGAATTATCGTCTAAAGTAAAATAAATGCATTTTTTAAGAAAGAAAAAAGAAGAAAATCTCGATTACCATCTTGTGGTATTGCACGTTTTCGACCTCGAGTAGTTGTCGATGCACGAGTTTTAGGAGCAACACCGCAGCCAGGCTCATCATTAAGTATACGACGATAATTAATTAATGGTTGCCATGCATCACCTTCGATCGTTGCACTATGAATGAGTTTATCAACATGATCAAAACTAAAGGATAAAAAAATCAAATAACAGTAATGAAGAAGTTTTTTTCACGGAATCAATTACATTGCTTTTTTATCTGGTTTAAGAAGTTTCGAAGAAAATTCGGGTAATACTTCAAGGAAGAGAACATTTGGACCAGGTTGTGTTGGATCATCGTGATTGAATAAAGGTGTCAATGCAAAACGAATAGATTCACTAGATATTTCCGAAAAAGAATGATAAAAATAACGAAAACGAAAAATCTTAGTGTATGCTACCGATGAAGAGCAGCTAGTGCTTCTCGTTGTTTAGCCATGTCAAGACCAAATGAAAGATTGAATCGACGCGCTAATTCCTATAGAATTAAAATAAAGAATCATAATAATTTCTATCACCGATTATGATTTTTCATACTCTTAATGGTGATAGATCAATATTAATAACTGCATCGTTTCCCGCTGTTTGTTGGGCAGCATCACGACTAGCAACACAATCTTTAAAAACCTATTTAATAGGAATCGTATTGTAAAAGAAAAGAAAAGTCGACGATGTTTTTGTTTCGTTTTACATACAGCCATTAGACTATAAGCCATGGTTTTAGCAGTATGAATTTTAGAAATATCGCGAGCACGTGTAAATGTATTTTTAATTAGATCACCAAAATCGTTGCTATACTAAAGATAACAAATGATAAAAATTTGTTAAAAGAAAAACAATTCATCAATATTGAATTTTACTTTAACATAGTATTTTAGTATATTTGTTGCAGCTTGAATTGGTAACACATTATGTACAATTAATTTACAGTAGGCAGCAAGAAGATTACGTCTTTTATGAAGAGTTTCAATTTTAGCTTGTTCATCTTGATCTAGAGAAGAAGAAAAAAAAAAGAATTGAAATTGCATAAAAATAAAAACAACCATACTTTTAGGCTCTTCTGCAAAAAAGATATACGTATTTAAAAATGTTAATAATGATTGAATAAGATTTTCATTAATTTCAATGGTAAGCGATTGATAATCCGGATTTTTATCAACTAAATGAGGACTCAAACTAATCAATAAGTCACATAATGTTGAATATGCATAATGACATATTTGAGTATTCGTATGTAACATTAATTTTTGACATAATGTACATAATTTACGACTTCGTTTAACAAGTTTTTTCAATAAATCCTAAATAATACATACATATTAAAAATACATTAGATATACTAATTTAAAATGACAAATTAGACAGTTCGTAATATATTGTCAATGTCACCATCAAAAATTTCCTTGAAATTTTTTCATGGTATACTATGGCTTTTTTTCATCATTATCTAGGCATCATTCGTTGATACCAAAGACAACTTTCACGCACTTTTAAAATAATTAGTCTTGCGTACTCGAAATAGAGCAAAACATCCGTTAATTAAAAGTTCAATTAGGTGTTTACCACACTCACGATAAAATTACCTGTAAACATCTTACGGATAAACTATTTCCTATTCCTTTTAGTATCCTTTCAATGACACCTCGATAAGCTTTCAATTTTTGTTTTTCTAGATATCTGACGAGTTATATGCCAAAAAAAGCATTCCAATTTTGACCAACATTTGTTGCAATACAAAAGTTCACTTCGTTACTATTCGAAAAATAAAAGTTAGCAATACATACCTTATCGAATTGTATATCTAACTGATATAATCCCCAAAGTATGCTACGATTAGCAATACCAAAACATTTATCAGCAATCTAGAAATAAAAATTGTTCAACAACAAAACTCAGACCATATTCATTAAAAGAAAATAACCTCTGGTGACATATCTTCATTATCAACCGTTGCTTTAAACAGCAAATGTATTTTATCCCATAAGTCAACATTTCCTAGGTCATAACATCTTTATGAAAACAAAAATAACAACAGCAATTATATAGATACAATAAAATGATAAATCTTACTGATGAAATGCATCTATTTTTCGTAAATTAAGTAACAATGGATATAAATCATCTTCATCTGCTTCATCCTAAAATTCAACAAATGATTCCATTGTAAAAATTAAACTATTTTCTTACCATTTCTTCAAAAATACCCATAGCTGCATTAAAATTTGCTAGGATTTTATCAATAATATTTCCTCGATATGCAATAGCTCTATTTGATAATGTGAAACTAACATCACATATGCATTCAAAACATTTTGAGACAGCATCAAAAATCTAGCATAGTAAAAACAGAAAAACTATGAAAAGAGAAAAAGAGAAAATTATTCAGCTGACTTCAGCTGTTGTATGTCGTTGTACAATGTCACTCAATGCATTTAGATAAACATCAAGATCGCGTTCTCGTCGTGTTGTTGTATAAACTTCGTAATTAAAATACAATGGAATTTGTAATAAGTTTAGTAATTTATCGGCATCAGCAACATACTAGAATTGTTGTTTTTCAAATATTATTGGAAATTTACATCAAAATATATCTTTACTTTATTGAGTAATCGTGGTAAAGTACTAATAAAATGATCAGTTAACACTTTTTTATCATCTTCTTTTTGTTTTTGTTCTTTCATAGTTAACTTAAAATATAGAAAAAAAAAGAAATTCATAAATAAAAGATGAAACTTTGTTTTTAAACATACTTTTCGATTTGGTTGTCCACGACCTATTGGATATTCGCCTGTTGCAGCTTGACGTACACAACAAACCATAATTTCAATAAGTGCATTTTCATGTTGATCGTCAAGTTCTAAAAACAAACAAAAAAAATTTTCTAAATAAATCTTTTTATATTTTTAATACGGACGATCTTCTTCTTGATCGGGTGCTTCCAGTAATATATCTGTCATACATTCCCAATCTTTCATCATTAAATGTTGATCCCACATTGAATCAACTAAGTAAGTTGCATGCTCGTGAAGCTAAACAAATGAAAAATATTTTTTTGATAAATTTGCTATGATGTCTTTTAAGTTTTTGCTTTTAAATTATTTATTACGAAACTTACTTCACTTTCAATAAAGAATTGTACAAGTAAATACATAAAAGCAGTATTTTGACTACGTCGTTTTGATGAATTCGATGGTTGTTCAGCTTTATGAAATAATTTTTGATTAAGAAATTCTCCAGCTGCTTGCGAGATTTGTCGATGTGAATGATAAACAAGTTCATAAATATTTTCACAATCTTTATCTTCAAGGATTCGTTCACTAAATCTATTAAAAAAAACATATTGACCGTTTTCTCTTCTTTTTTACTTTATTATTAATAATTTTACTTCAATACAGCTGTTAAAAGTTTGACTGCTTGTACAGCTACTTCATATTCACAATCAACTGTCATTTGTACAATACGATCCTATGAAAATAATTTTCAAAAAAAGATTTTAAATTGTTTCTTTGTTTTCTACTTTGAATCGATTTGTAAATAATTCAAGTTTACCAACAAAATCTGTTGTTTGAAATAATGGTATTAATGCAAGCAAACAACGTAGACGACAATCTCCAACCTAAAAATGAAAATACGAAATTTTCCAGAGTATTTTATTGATTTGTTTTTATTACTTTATCATATAAAGTCCAACCGATATATTTAAGATAAATATCGTCGAGAAAAACCATCGGATAACTCTTCATCCATTCACCAAGTTCACTCATACATAAACATCGAATATCAGGTACAACATCTCTAGTAAAAAAAACAGTAAGATAATATGATCAGCACGTAAAAATCTATACAATCATACCGATAACGATGAATAAAAACACCTTTAAATATAAAATTCATAAAACTCTTGATTTCATTTTCATTTTCCTCAAGCTATAAATGACATAGAAATAATAACTGCAAACTTAATAAATTATTCAATGGAACCTCTTTTCGTTTAGTTGTTAATGTATCAAGTCGATCAGCAGCGCGTTTTGCACTTGTTTTTTGTCGTTCAGCGTCATATTGTCGTTGACATTGATCTCTTTGTATACTTATTGTTAATGCAATATCAACAAGTGCTGTCATAACTTTTAAAACTAAAAAAGAAAACGTTTTGATTTAATCTAAATACAAAAAAAGAACAATTAATTTTACCAGCTAAAGTTCCAGTATGACGAAAAGCGCGAACAGGCGAATCCGATAGAGCAGTTAATAATGTTACAAGATTATCGATCATATATTGATCATAGATGACTGAATACGATGATTGTTTAATTAATAGAACAACGAATTCACTGAATGATAAACGAAATTTTTTATATTGTAAACCAGACATTACTATTGGATATTCAGATGTATCCTAAAAGAAGAAGACGACATGATAAAGACCAGAACGTTGTTTTTCAATTTCTTAGAAATTTTTCATGTAGTATTTGTTTCATAAATTAGAAAAAAATTAACAGTCACGTATTCAATAGTTTAAATCTATAAACTTCATATTTGTCGATCGGCAAATTACTATAAATAGCCAAACTAGTTGTAAATACAAAGAGCTCTAAGCTGTTCGATGTTAGCAATACTTAGCGAAATGATGAAAACTAAAATTCTTGTTTGTACTCAATTTACTTTCGGCTTAACTAATTAACTTCTAGTAGAAATCAAATTGCTTTTAGAGAAATTCATCATTCAACCGAAAACATAAATTTGCAAACAGTTGATGAAAAAAGAAAACCGAAATTTACCTCATCAAAATGTTCAGTCATTGATCGTAACATATCAACATGCTCCATTTTTAAATACATAGCTTGTGTTAATTTTCCTTTACAACCACTAGAGTCCAAAAAGAATTGCATCAATTCAATTAATGCTTCATCACGATTAGCTTGATAAGAATCAATCCATTGATCGACTAATACTTGTATATTAGTTTTACCGGCCAATAAATGATGAAAATATCCTTTTTCTTCGGATTGTTGATCCGCATATGTTGTATTACTTGTTGTTGTCTTTGTAATTGAACTTGTTTCCATGGATTCATCATCAACTTGATTTATAATTGAATTTGGTTTTCGTCCTGTTCGTGATTGTTTTGCACCTCCACCACGTGGTCGTCCTTTAGATGATGCAGCTCGTGGTTGAAAATCTTCAGTTCCATCATCATCATCATCGTCATCGACTTCATCATTTACCATAGTTGACATAATCGAAGGTGGTTCAACAAAATCATTACCTAATGAACGTTGAACATGTTTTCTTAAAGAGCGTGTACTATTGACTGTCATTTTTATTTCGCTATCTAAAATTAATATGAACATTTATTTTATTTTTTTATAAGACATCAAGAAGAACCAAAATAAACAGTTACAGACTATACATCGAATAATGATCAAAATAGATATTCAATAAATAAATAATATAGACTACGCTAAATAGAATAAGCAGGTTGACACGAAAAATATCACATATAAGGAAAATATATTCGGGTTTACGACGACATCCGTTGTATTTATTTCTTGCATAAAAAACAATAATTATAATTAAGTGTTGAAATTGCTTAGTTTTGTTTTCAATCGCTATCATCTGATTGTGAATTGTTTTCTGTCTCACTTTGTGACATCGGTTGTTCTTTCATATCAATTTCAATAGGTGCGAAATCTTTTTTTTCTTCTTCCTTAAATGCATATTCAATATCAACTTTGTATGTAAATCGACTTTTTGGACGTATCCATTTTTCTGGTGTTTCTTCAGCTGTTGGCACAGCAACCGAACGAATCTAAATGAAAGTAAAAAAACTCAAATGAAAATTAGTCCAATCAAATTTGAACTTACTTGACAATGTGAAACAAATGCTTGCGACATGGAATATTCAACATCTGCAATTGGTTCGTATTTTTCTGGTACAGGATCATGTGATGGAACTGATATTTTACATTCGAATAAATGCGTTTTATATGCACCATGATCTCGTTTTGGTAATTGATCAATACGCCATACAATTGAATGAAATGCTTGTTCATATTTAGCTACACCAGCTGATGCAGTCATTAATGGGCTAAGACCATCATTACGATGGACCATAAAACGATCAAGGCCCTAAATAAAATTTGCAATAGTTTAATTTGGAATGTTAATTAAATTATTAACAATATCCCAGCGCTGTATTCATACTTTTTAGATATTTCTCTTTAAAAAAAATGATCTTTTATTTGATGTCAAACGACAAAATTTATCATCTCCCCTGAGATACTAGCGTATATTTTATAAAGCAACCGTTTGTTTGTTTCATTGGAGTATTTATTTGATATTCAGATTTTTCTGATTTTATATTATAAATTTGATTCTGTTTACTTAATAGTAATCAAAGAGTATTCTTTTGAGAATCAAATAGGAATTAATTTTGTATCATATATCAAACAAAACCACACAACAACAAAAATAAACACTTATTATGCAGATATGAATAGCATGTATCAAATGTTTACCTTTATTTTTCCTGCTGTACGACGAACACTATGAATAGCGCCATAGCGAAAACGTTTTTCAACTCGAAACATATAGACCCATGCGTCTGGTATTGGAAAACGTATTTGTATATCTTCACATGGACATTGTTCATCACTATTGTCATCACGAATATTAGCTGTTTTATCGCTTGTTACCATTGATGATGCTTTTGATATTACACTCATGTTAAATGCGTTTGATACAGTCACTTCAATTCTCATATTTACTTGACGATCAATAACGGACATAAAACAATAAACCTATTTAAAATTAATAAACAAATTAGCATTATTAAAGAATTATGACTTTAAAATTATGGAATACGATGTAAAAAGAATAATTTTAATTTATAGATTGAAGATTTCGACTAGGGGTGGCACTTTACATTAATTTAATATTAAGTGTCAAGTAAAACCACTTAATTAACTCAAATTATAATCAACGATTCTCCCCTAGTTTCGACCGCCTCTTTAGACTATCATAAATTGTGATATCAATGATTATAGACTGTTTGGCAATGGCAATGTAATGCCTCGCTATACTATATGAAACACTTCGGCAATAAATTCTCTGACGATAAATTGAAAGAATGGTGATAAAATGTATTCCAACATAGACAAGAAGAAAACAATTTTCTTTTAATCAACAAGCATAATTGTTTCATCATGCTTCATATTTTTTATTCTCGGATAGATTGTGCTAGCAACTTTATTTACTTGTAATGGTAACTCAATATTTTGTTTAGGTCTTGTACGAAAACGCATTATTTCAATTGTATGGCTATCTGGTGGTATTAATTTAAGTAAATGTGAATTTTCATATTCGTTTGAATCAATTATCGATGCCAATTCGACTTGTTCGGATTTAATCCAATATTCTTGTAATGTTTTATTAATAATTATTTCATTACGTTTATTAACTTCTTTTCCGTGACGAAACCAATCATTAATACCGATTTCAACTATTGGTTGCGCATCATTTAAAAAGGCTAAAATAAATAAGCGAGTACGAGCTTTATGTTTACATATATGACGATAGATATCAATTTTTGCATAATATTCATCTAAGATTTTAATTGTTATTTCTTCTTTTAAATGCTTTTGAAAACGATTGCGTGTAATAGGCATTGACCAAAATAAATCATCTAATATAATTGAAAACTGTTTTAAATATGTATAATTTAATTGGCCGAATTTAATAATTTCTTGTTGAACACAATTCGTATGATCTAATAGAACTTGTTGCGCTTTATTTGGTCGAGTAAATTTTCTTAATAATTTTTCTGGTAATGTAACAAGACGATCGATACGAACTTGTGGAATTTCATGATAATTTGCTTCAAAAAGTTTAAATGTATGAACTTTACTATATTGATCATATTGTTGAAGACTGAGTTTCGTACATTGATACCATGTTTCTAAGGAAATTTCAGCAAACGACTGTTCGATTGTTTGTGGAAGATAAAAACGTATCTTTTTCTCATTGGAAAATATTCGAACATAACATTCTTGCCAAGTACCTTTTTTGTAAAATAGATCGTTTTTTTTTATAATTCAGATACAAATATTTCAAAATTCTTACGCGTTTCACTGAGTCGTTGAAAAGTACTTTTATATAAATCTTTTTGTCTTAACGGTACACGAACTAGTAATAACCATCCGTTAAGTTGCTGTAATTGTAGATCATTTATATCATTGTGATATGATTCTAATGGTGCACTATCATCATAATCTGGTTCATGTAAATAATAATCTAATGGGGGCGAGTGAACTTTTTCTTTCTAGAATTTAGAAAAAAATAAGAAAAAAAAATCAAAATAAGACATGACGAATACGATAAACAACACCAACCTTGAATAGACTTGTCACATAAACAAAACAACAATAAACATATACACATAGAAACTAAGCATACCGATTCATGTACTTGCTCATTTAATTTCGTTTCATCTTGATTCCAATCTACAAAAAGATTATTTTCTTGTTGTTGATTTATTTTATTTGTTTTAGATTTTGTTTGAAATATTGCAAATGGATCATCATCATCTTGATGATCTGCTTCTCCTTCTTCTAATGATGATGATGAACTAGCATCCGCATTAGTTTTCTTATAATTTTTCGATGATGGTGGTGGAGGTAATAATGGTACAGCAATATTTGTATTATTTGATAGATTTTGTTTTTTCTCTTCAATTCTGAACATCATTTTTGTATCTTCATCTGAATCATCTTCAGATTTATTAGTTTTTCTATCATTAGCATGTAATTTTGGTAAAATCTTGCTATTATTTTGTTCAATGATCGATTCATGTATACTAATCGATGATATTTGTTCATTTGAAGGATGACGAATTGGTTGTTGAGAAATTACGTTGGATAATGGAAAATTTTCTTGAGAAACTTCTTTTTCTTTAAAAAAAAAGAAGAGGGAAAATTCAATTAAAAAAAAACTAGAAAAACTTCTAACACGACATACGAGATGTTGGCAATGATTTTAAATAAATATCTTCTAAGAAATCTTGACTATTCTTAGTTGTATTAAAATCATTATTTTTCGGAAGAATATCAGATATTGAATTGTTAGATGTTGTTAACCAATCGAGAAATTGATTATCAAAGGTTGAATTTGATGTTACACTCGTATTGTTTTGTGCAGGTATTATACTTGGTGGTGCAGCATGAGTAGATTTTGGATGATATGTTTCTGTTGAATTAGATGATTTTGTTTGTTGTGATAACAAAAGTATGTCAGTTAAATCTTGACCTTGTTTGATTTCAGTTGATGTTTCATTGGATCTGTTAAGATCATTAGATGATTGAATTTGAAAAGGATTTCTCGATGAATTATCGGTATTCGTTGATAGGAGTGTATTTTGATCAACATTAATATCAAATAAAAAATCAATTGGAGACACTTGAAAAGCTGTTTGATTTGGCTGAATTGCATTTAAAAATGGATTTATTGGATTAGTATTATTCGATTGTGTTGTTACTGATTTATCTTGCGTATTTTCTAATCGATCAAAATTAGCTTCGTCCATTGAATGCTGATAAGCAAGCCAATTTGATGATGATAGTGCTTCTTTACCACTTCGAGGCCGAATCGCTTTTTTCTTGTGCGTATCAGCAATAAATGGATTATTATCGAATTTTTCTGATGATTCAGATAGCTTCATAGTGCCTGAAATTCCAAAAGGATCAGTTGTTGACGATGGTAAATCGAATGGATTTAAACAATTCATTTTATTTGCATTATCATCTTCGGCACCGAAAGTATCAGCAAATGTATTAAGCATTTTTATTTTATTTGACTAGTACGCTATGTCTTTCTTTAATAAATATTCATTCTACAATGAAAACAAAGACGTTCATCAATATGAGAAATAATTTTAGCATTGTGATGAAAAGAAAAGAGAAAATGAAAATGAACGCTAAATAATAGTGATGATGAAAATGAGAGTATCAACTATGCCACTGTTTTCTTTTTGTTCTCCGTGCTGCGTTCATCATGTGCTCCCAGGTCGACCAATTCAAGAGTAGGCATCAATCGGAACCCATCCGATCCGACTCGCATCCAGTAGAACTTTGTCGAACCCTACAGACCTATCGTCGGACTCCGGGTTCCAGATTCGAAGCTGGATCCTCAGTGTCGGATTCCTATGAATTCCAAAGAAACACTGTTGGATGTCATTGGAAGCTGAATGGGTTCCGACGTCAATTTCTTGACCCGGAATCCTATAAGATTTTGTCGGATGGTAGGATACTATCAAGTTCCTATCGGATTCGATGTGGGATTTCTCGACCTGGGCTATTCAGGAAGCAAGTCTCATAATAGAAAAAAGTCTGCAAGAAGAAAAACATGCAATCATTAGTGAGCACAGGAAAATGACAAACAAGAACACAATTTCGCCATTGGATATTGATGTTACTCTAATAAAATAAAATTTATTGGAAACTAATTTGAAATCTATTCACAGAAATGAACTTTGTTTAAATCTTTAGAATAATTAATATCATCAAGAAAATGTTTGATAGAGGTCACTAGTTGACAGAAATTCATTAATGACGTTCGTATGTCAAAAGAAATATATGATTCAGCATGATTCAAGCAACTCTTTTTTAAATTTGATTTTTCGAGGAAACTTCGCTTTTAGTTCGACTGCAAAGTACGATTCAATTTTAACAAATATTTATGAGATTGAAATATTAGCTTTAATTTAATACTACATACAGTATATGAGGTTCTAGAACGGAAATAGAAATTTTCTTTGTAATTAATCGTATCATTTATTTTTATTTGGTTAATTCATTCAACTATGCAATTTTCCATTGCCCTACATTTTCAGTTATCTAGCAGTGACTAATGATTAATCAACTAATTGCAGGACAGAACCGATATAAACATCAGAAGTACTAAATTAAAAGATTAGATCGATTTCCGAAAGACTAAATAATATAGGAGAAGACAAAATCATGACCATTGCTTTTCATCATCGTAGACAAGTTGGTTTTATATCGAAGAGTATCGAATCAAACTTTTTGTCTCTTAAAAAATGAAAATCTGTCAATGAATTGTTCGAAAAACTATATGGTAGGACTGGAAGTGAGTTTCTTTGAAGCGATAAGTGCACTAGCTTCTTCAATAGCGATTTGATTTTCTTCTGAGGGTCCTCCAATACTGTTTAAGTAGACTTTTAGTTTCGTACGTTCGGTTTCAACCATGATTGCATAAACTATTTTTCGCTCTTCTATCAAAGCCTTCACTTTATCTTGTGTGACTTTTGCTTCAGCGGCTAATTGCCTGTTCAAGGCAGTACGTTCATCGTCATCTTTGCCTGTGAACATGTGTGAAAGCCCAGCAAGTCGTGGCATCAAAAATTCGTTTGACATGTCAACATACGTTCGAGACATTATGAAAAGCGAATGCGATGTTTCATGAATATTGACAGATTGATCTTTCAGTAGTTCAATGAAAAAGCTTCGTTCATCGACGGAGAGTTCACCATTGGTGACCATTTCTATTTGTTTAATGAAAGGATTAAGTGTGCCCGAAAGAGCAATTTCAGCCTGATTGACTATAGTAGAAAAAAACAAAATTAATTGTGCCCAAGTTTGACGCATGGTACCGAGTAATACCAAAGCTTGTCGCATATAATCAAGAAGCTGAACATAATTGACTCGTTTCAAATCCAATAAAGCTATTTTTCCAACGAGTTCACCCATTTCATCCATATTCTTTTGTAACTGGATGCGGCTTGCTTCACTTCGTTTTCGAGCATCTTGAAGTTGCCGCTCCGTTATTTGAACCATCATTTTTGTGGCATCCGATGAGTATCCGTTATTACCATTAGATTTCACTTGAGAGGAGTCACTGATAAGTGTTGCAGCAGCATCAATCTTTTTTGTCTCGTCCATCAGTCGATTCAATTGAAATAAAACCTGGTCGGTTTCTTCCCTAGTCACTGGGCGGTTCATACCTTTATCCTTCACTAATTGGATGGCTGCCTTGCTCCAATTTCTTGCCCGTTCCATCATAGGTTCAATAACATTCGTAGCTATCTCATTTTTACCAATCAATTTAGCATATGTTTCAAGTTCATACAAGATATTTTCCATTTCTTGTGGATTACCACTAGTCGTCTGGTTTTTATTTGAATAAAATACATCATCGAATATTTTTATCAAATTTCTAATCGACTCGAAGAATGACTGAGCCATCAGTAGACTTTTACCATTTTCCGTTGTGGGAGCTACATTTCCTATTGTCAGCCCGTTTAGACCTATAGGTGTGGAACCGGTTTGTCTGTCACCAGAAGTCAAACCTTGAAATGTTTTTACTGCATTATTAATCAACTTGATTACAGCACCAGTTATACGCATAAGACTTTTCTCAAACCGAGACGGACGTCTAGCCAACGCTTTGGAATATTCTACATGAGCAAACCGTAAATCATCTTCTGTATTTTTATAATGTTCCTTCATAATATCATTTAATTGTGTCAACTGTGTTTGCCACACCCTAGATACATTCAATTCGATTTCGACTTGTTGGAGTTGACTTTCACCTAGACCCTTGTTAGCTTCAGTTAAAGCAATGACTTCACCGAGATGATTCATCACATTAGCAAACTCCATGTGTGTATTATTGGCTAAATTAATACAATCGCTGCTGATACGTTTAATACTGTTTAATACTTTCCTTATTTGAATGCCAAGTGTTCTTGGTCTTTTCTCTTCAGTCAAGACTTTCAAAGCAACTTTAACATGAGTTGGAATACGTTGCATGTTAAGTTGAAGTTGATCCATATTGCTATGTGCCGTTAGAAATGCACGCCAACCCTCTTTCAAAAAGAAAACAATAAGAAAATTATATCTATCTCTTTATGTAGTGTCTAAAATATTTGAAGATCAACTTCCATTGCTAAGATACTTAATTTCTCAATTTTGAAATGTGCTGAATATTCATATATGTTATTCCATGAAACTGCGGATAATTTGTAAAAAATAAATTAGCATTCATAAAATACAACGTAAACTAGCTCCAGTAAAGAAATGTATAAATGGGGCATTCTTCTCAATAGTGAACAGGAGATTTACATGAGCTGTCGACATCAGAAAGTATTACTGACCGTTCGAAATTTGACCAAGGGTTACTCTGAAAGAGTCTGGATACTTCACATATTTGAATGAATAGTTTGGAACAGCTAGCTTAAACGAAAAGTCCAACTTGCTGGATAAAACCATTACTTGAGCTAATAGATTTACTGCCGTTGGTCCGCTAGCAATCAAATTTTCCCATGCAGAGTCTATAGCTGGACGTTGCGCCAAATGTGTGGCTTCCGTACCACCAACTCCTATTGAAAAATAGTAGCATATAGCAAGTTTCTTGCTGAGAAGTTTTTTACTAACCTATTACTGAGCCTGAACGACCCATCTTTATCACTTGTTTGTTCGAGCTTCTCAGGCTTTCAATTTCCGGGCTGTAGAAAGGATTTATCAAAGGATCCTTTGGAAGGTCGAATTGATACACTAGCGATGTTGTAGCCATCGGCTGTTTGCTATATTGGCCAATGACTTCGGAAAAATATAACATTTGTATAATCAATACAAAAAATATCCATACGATTGCTATCACACATTGTAAATATTATTCTTGTCATAATTGTGAAAAAACCTCTTACCTCCTCGAACTATCATAGTCAATAGATCAAAGTCAAAGATACGTATATCTGAAAACAAAAAATTTATTTTATTTTATTGTATTCATTATAAATCATAAAATGGGCAGCTAACGGAATGAGGATAAAATAAACAAGCCATAGAAACAAAGTGATATGGGACATTTTGGCTTTCGAATACTTGAACAAGTATATGAATCCCCTTCGTTCGAAGGTGAAGAAGGTAAACACGCTTTAATAAGATCAAGAGTGTCACTTGTTAGCTGGACTTCTACTGAAGAAATTTGGGTCGCGCCAGCTGTCTCTTTAGTGGTTACACCATTCTCGATTAATTCTGTTAGGATGGAATTCAGTGGTTTCACAAGATTTTTGAAGCTGACCAAATCTTGAAGTTCATTGTATAGAACAGATGATCTTGTCACGAAGGACCCAAGATGCTGCACTACTTTACGGATCTGTTCTGTTATATTCGCCAATGTAAGCTGACGAGCTTCTAGTTGAGAAAGACTAAGTGAGGGGTTTCGAAGCTGGGCAGTCACTTGAGTCTTTTGATTTCTGAAGTTAACTTGTTCTACACGCTGTCTTTCAAGTTCACGTTGACGATTGGCTAGCTGTTCTCTGGCAGCATTTACTGCACCTTGGGCGCCTCCACGACGTTCTCGGGCCCTTTTGATGCCTTCATAATTCAATACTGCACAAATTGGATGAACCATCGGTTTAACTACGTTGTTTCGAACAGGATGCCGAAACTAAATGAAGAATCTCTTATGATTCGGTATTCGATTAGGAAAATGTTAGCCTTAGTCGATTCTTTTCTTCAATAGGCAGTCAAATTGAGTATGCTGTACACATAAGGTTGGATGAATAAATTAAATCTAGTATTCGGAAATACTTACGTAAATAATAACTGAAATAACTAATTACTTGCTTATTAAGAGTAGATTTAGCTACTTACATGCTAACCAAAAGCTTTACGGAACGGTTGTTTTAGCTTCAAGTTGATCATTTTTATGTAAATAATTCAAAAAGTTTCTGTTCATAGAAGAGCGATTCCTACAAGGTATTTGAACATAAATTTAGTTGCCAATATCATCAGAGTTTATGGACATGATCGAACGATAAGTGCAAATTCATTTTCTCTATTTTTAACTTCATTTTCAGCTTCCTGAATTTTTGTGGGACCACCGCTCAATTGAAGTTCAATGCTAAACAACTGATTGTTCACTTCTCGCACTTCATTTTCTTTTTTCGAAACCGATGCTATTATCTATGATAACTAGGGGTGGACCATTAACATTAATTTTATATTAATGTTAATGTTTCTCATTAACCATTAATATTAATGCTTAATGTTTTCTAAGAAAAACTTAATTCATTAATATTAATGATTAATGAAAAACATTAACATTAATTTTAAAATTAATGNTGAGAACATTGACATTAATATTAATGATTAATGAAAACATTAATTTTAAAATTAATGTTAATGTTTTTCATTAATCATTAATATTAATGAATTAAGTTTTTCTTAGAAAACATTAAGCATTAAGATTAATGGCTAATGGAAGTCATTAATTAATGTCATTAATTAAGTTCCGTTAAAAAAAATGGTCCACCCCTAATGATAACTACTTTTCCACAGCTGAATTCAGTTCTTCGCTTGCACGCAATGCTTTTGATGAATCATTGTAAAGTTGCTTTGTTGCACATGTTAGCCGCTGAGCCAAAAGAACAATGGTTGCCACGTTTGTGTCATTTTTTGCCAGTTCGTCTTCTTTGAATGTCAATAATATCGATTGACAATGTTGTTCTTCAGTGTTCGATAAGAGCTCACGCACACTGGATCTATCAGTTCGCTTAAGACAGATTCATACCAATCGAAATCCTGCGTCTTTGTCACAATGACCAGTAAGAGGAGTAGTAGAATCTTTCCTATATCTTCAAGAAAGCTCATTCTAAATTGATTCCAAATATTGAATTATGTTTTATCTGAAGCACATTCATATCCGTATGTATAGTTGGCATAGAAAAAATTCCGAATTTGAGATTTTCGCGGTAAATAATCAAATTAGTTCTTTTGTGTATTCACGCATGAAGCGTGCATCCCTTTATTGATTTCGCTTGAATGGCTCCAGAACATTGGTAATGCTAATTTATAAATCCATGACTATATATTGGGATCCACTTTCTTTTTTCTCTCAAACGATCGCGTTCTTAAGCATCACTCTCTGATTCATCTTACTCAACAGCAATTGAATAAAATGAATGAATAATTTGGCATGTAAATGAACGATTACGCTCTAGTGTAAGTAATGAGAAAAACAAGATTACAAGAATATCTAGTGTCTATCGATAGTCAGCTATCATACATGTTCTTTGTAGGAGTCATGATGAAATACACGATGTGTTTAGTGGGCTCTTCAATGTTTCTTTCAACAAAATGACATTTTCATACTAGAAAAGAGAGACTCGGTTTAACGACACAGAATCGCCTCTCTGATTTCCTGAAATCTTGTACAATTGTGACAAGATAAACTAATAGACAATGGAGCTACCGGGAATTCTATACGGATCTCTATCACAGTTGTATCAGTTGACTGTTTTGCTTGAGTATAACTGATGAATATGCTATATATTACATCACTTGAAAGAGCAAATATTCTCTCTTATTGATTCATTTGACGTGTCTGCTTACAACATGACGATAGTAACAGTAATACAAGTGTATTTGTTTTGTCGAAAACATTTAATAAGAACATATTTTTCCTCAAGACTATCAGTCATTAGAAAGTGCTATTCGAAAATGTGTGTGTAGTGTAAATCAAATAGGAAGAGATTAGAGTTGTTCGAATGATTGTGTTGGTTAATGAAATGAAACAAGGAATATCATGAAAATGTAGATGAAATACAAGGAATGCGAGGAAGTTGGAATTGATAATAAGATTAATACTCCCTTAATACGAGCATAATATATACCACTATCAAGGTTTATTACTCAACACTCAATATCCTCCTTAACACAAACAGCAACATACTGCTCAAAATAAAATGTAGTTAATTGTACGCATCGATATTCTTTTTAAAACTTTATCTAATCTTTGTTTTAATCAAACCTTTGAAATATATCGAAACTGCCATCATAGTAATATTTCTCGATCAACACGTCCTTGTCATATATATATATTTCCTCTTAGAGCAAAGATATCACTTATTTCTTGGATGATAGACATTATATTTTCAGTAGTGCCGATCTTGAAACTTGAATTCAATTGAAAATATCAATTTTCAATTGAATTCAAGTTTCAAGTTTGACGTATATATGTATATTTTGTGATTCTTAGTACTACATTCCTAATTGACTCGTGTGCACCCATCGTTTTCATGTTATCGATGGTTATATATTCTCATTAAAAAAAAGTGCCCTAGCCAATAATATGATTCGTTTCTAACAGTTCATAATTCTGCTTTCATCACCGATGTTGATTAGCGACACAGATCATGAAACAAATTTGTCTTTCCTATTGGAATCTGTCTCATATCGAATGGATGAGTATCAGGCGTATTTCTCAATTTGATATTGATCCTTTAATTCTGATTAAAGTGGAATATGATTGTGAATCCTAAATGTTATGCAGTTGTCTCCAATGTTGATACCTCTGAAGATTAACCCACTGCAAAAATACTTTTTCCTAGTCGGAGGTATGAATTTTTCAAAATCATTAGTCAGATAGTTTAACATTCAAACCTACTTGAGTCGAATTGTCTTTGAAACAGCAAAAGTACTCGAGATCTCGCAATCAGTAAACATTACCAGTTCAGCGAAAACAAAGGTGCGAAATGTGCATTTCCATCTTTTGTCTTCACTACTCAACTAAAAGTTTTAGCTCTACCTTTTGATAATATATACGTTTCTGTAGAATATGATCACAATAATTAGGCAAACTCTGATAGAAGAAGTCTCTTCTTGAAATTTCTCAATAGTGTTATGCTATCGCAAAGCGAGAAAAACAATTTTATGCTTAAATACAGTAATGAAGTTCTTTTATTGATGCCAGTATGAGATCAACAAAAGACAGATAATCTTTCTCGCAAACTCATATTGATTTTAAAATCTTCAGGAGTAATTAAAATGTGGCGTTGCATAATTTTGTATTTTTTTTCAAAGAGTCGCCAAGTTATTTTCAAACTGATTTTATTTCAATCATGATAAAGGACAAAATGAAAAGCTTCCGGAATGCAGATCAAATAAACTAGGCATGAAATTAATGTGATAAGAAGCATTTCGACTTTGCGAATGCTTTAACAAGTATATGAATCCCCTTCGTTCGAAGGTAAAGAAGGTACACGCGCTTTAATAAGATCAAGAATATCACTGGTTAGCTGGACTTCTACTGAAGAAATTTGAGTCGCTCCAGTTATCTCTTTAGTGGTTACACCATTCTCGATTAATTCTGTTACGATGGAATTCAGTGGTTTAACAAGATTTTCGAAGCTGACCAAATCTTGAAGTTCATTGTATAGAACAGATGATTTTGACACGAATGATCTTAGATGTTGTACTACTTTACGAACCTGTTCTGTCATATTTGCCAATATAAGCTGACGACTTCGTAGTTGAGAAAGACTAAGTGAGAGGCTCTGAAGCTGGGCAGTCACCTGAGCCTTTTGATTTCTGAAGTTAACTTGTTCTACACGCTGTCTTTCAAGTTCACGTTGACGATTGGCTAACAGTTCTCTGGCAGCATTTACTGCACCTTTGGCGCTTCCACGACGTTCTCGGGCCCTTTTGATGCCTTCATAATTCAATACTGCACAAATTGGACGAATTACCGGCTTAATCACTTTGTCTCGAAAACGACGCCAAGGCTAAACGAAGAATCTTTTAAGATTAGATATTCAATTACGGACATTTCAGTCATCTCCCTAATTAAGGTGTGTTTCAATGCAAGCACACGCTTTGGATACAATACCATCTTCACTTATGAGTTAGAAATAATCCTTAATGGTTATCTGCAATGCTAACTTAGGCAGATTCTTTTCTCATTTCGTTGTGTCTCTCCTTTCTCCAATCAATTGGTTCTTATGGCTTGGAATCGCAACAACACGAGTGCTACTTATTGTCTCATATAGATAGTCAAATTAAGCGTGTTCTTTTCTGAGGTTTGATGAATAAGTCGATGATATTCTTTATTATTCAGAAACGTGCTCTTCCAAGTTACAAATAATACGATGTGGCCTATTGCGATTGGATACTTTGCGTTTCTTGGCTAACTTAAGATTACTCATGTATGATGTGTATTTGAGTAAACACATAGTACTCAACATATTGCAATTTAGAATACAGAAGAGGAAAACATTTTACTCTTGACAGTGTGCTGACTAGATATTCGAGAAAACTTTTGTAAATAAATATGGATTTAATCAGAGCTTATAAACAGCGCTTTAGCTTCAAGTGTATGCATCATATTAGAATGAGTAAAAGCTCTCATATTTCGTAAAAACGTTTTTTCATAAGGAATACTTGAGTGTATAGTTGATTGCCGCTGTTATAAATGTGCATGGGCGTGCTGGACAGATAAACACAAATCTCAATCAGAACAATTACTTACTTTACCCAAAAGTCGCTTTTTTCTTCTTCCACAGTACCGTGCTCTCTCCACTAAAACGATATCATAGTTGAATGAATTCAAAAACTATTCTTATTTAATGTATCATACGTTTATCTTGTTCTGCAGCAAGCTGCCTATCAGCATTGCCCAGTTCGTTCACTTTATTTCGAACTTCAATGTCTGCTTGGTTAATGTTCGCTTGTGCATGAGCCAATCGGGATTCAATGACAGCCAACTGATTATTCACTTCTCGTGCTTCGTTTTCTTTTGCCGATATCGCTGACATTAGCTCTGCTACCTTCTTCTCCACAACTGAATTCAGTTCTTCGCTTGCGTGCAATGCTTTTGATGAATCATTGTAAAGTTGCTTTGTTGCACATGTTAGCCGCTGAGCCAAAAGAACAATGGTTGTCACGTTTGTGTCATTTTTTGCCAGTTCGTCTTCTTTGAATGTCAATAATGGATTGACTATGTTGTTCTTCAGTGTTCGATAAGCACTCACATACATCGGAGCAATTCGCTCACTTAAGAAAGGCTGATACCAACCGAGGTCCTGTGCATTTGTCGCAATGACCAATACCAGGAGTAATAGAATTTTCCCTGTATCTCTAAGAAACTTCATCCTAACTTGATTTCTGAAAGTGAATAATATTCTATCTGGAGCACATTCATATATAGTTGCTGAAGAAGGAAATCGAAATTTGAGATTTTCGTGATAAATAATCAAATTAATCCTTTGTGTATTCAAGCATGGAGCGTGCTTCCCTCTACTGATTTCAGCTGAATGGTTGGAGAACATTGGTAATACTAATTTATAAATCCATGATTATATGTTGTGGTGTCTTTCCGCTCGGTGGATTTGTTAGTTGTTACCCGATATAATAGAGGGTTTTATTACACTCTCAGATTCATCTTACTTCACAGCAATCGAAAAAATTAATGAATAAATTAGTATGATAATGAAAAATTAAGTTCTAGCGTAAGTAATGCGAAAAACATGATTTCAAGATCATTTTATGGTTATTGATAGTTAAATTTATGTCACAATACAGAATAGGTCAGTGAATGTGAGCTACCAAGTGCGATGCTACCATATGATACATGGGAATCGAGATGAAATACATGATGGATTTCTTGGTTATCGGCTGGTTCTTCTAGTGAAAGGACATCTTTATTTTACAAAAGAGACATCCGCTTAATGGATATAGAACTGGCTATTTCATGTACTGAAATCTTGCATAATTGTAAGACGATAAACTAATAGGCAAGAAAGTTGTCGCAAATTAGATACCGATCTCTTTCTGAACTGGACCAATCGAGTGTTTTGCTTGAGTAAAACCAAGGGGAAACGGAAGTTACGCTGTTTATGAATGCGCTATATCTTCTTTCACTTGAAAGAGTGAATATTTGCGGTCTAGTAGAACATTATTGATCGTATGATGCTATTGTTTTCAACACGATGACAACAATGATAATACAAGTGCCATCAGTATTATGCAAAACATCGCACACGAATAAATTTTTCTTCATGACTATCATCCGTGTAAATCACATTGGAATAGATTAACTTCGTTCGAATGATTTCGGTGGTTAATAAAATGAAACGAAAAATATCATGAAAATGCAGATGCAATGGCAACAGGGCAAGGAAGTTGAAATCGATAATAAGGTAAAACTTTTCGTAATAAGAGCATAATATATATTACTACGAAGATTTCCCGCACGCCAGATTCAATATGTAAGCCAATAGAAGAAGCGCTTTCATTTTGTAGCTGTATCCCATAATTAATGTCAAGTCGCCTTAAAACCGATAGCTTAGAATTCACCTAAAAATAGATCGTTTGTATCTAATATTTCGATTCAATTTATGCGGATATTTTTCTACTATGATCTACTCGATGAGAATGTAGCAACAAATAACTTTAAGAAACAACAAAGAGAGAATGCGTGATAGAATATTAAAATTTATAACATATCTGTAGATTGATAAAAATCAAAGTAAATGACTAAGATCCACGAGTAATTGTTGATCCATCGGATTTAGTTCACCAAAGATTATGCATATAGAAGCAGTGAATAATCTTTGCTACGCAACTAGTTCTTTCTTTTCCCTTATTTATTTTATGTATTCCTTTTTTCTCTTACTCTTCTAATTATACATCTGTGTCTAATGGTTATCATAGGATAACTGCATGTAAGCATTGTTATAAAGTAAAAAACATGGCTATTCTAAATAAATTTAGGACCCATGTAATTGGTCATGTAGATATTTCTATACCCATTCTTCAATGCATTGTCAATGGTACGGATGTAGATCGAAGTTAAGACTAGTCCTATAGAACAGTATCAATAACCTTGATTTAATACTAAAATCCAACATGAACTTTTAGATATTTGTTTTTGTCACAACTTAGGAATTTAATTATCTCGTGAATTAGATGTAAATAGAAACAGTAACTAGTTGTCATTGTCACAAAGGAAAGAAGATTTTTTAAGATAATTTCGTCAAGTAAAGTGTAATAAAAAAAGTATATCAATATCGAGAACTCCGAATCAGAAATCAAATTCCTCAGAATATTCAGTGAAAAATCGCAATAATATTTTGCCAAAATCTTCGATGAATTGAGATTCCGTTTCACCAGAGCAACAAATCAAGTCAATTTCTATCCATCTACTCAAAACTATGAAAACACTGAATTTAGTCCTTCTCAATAATAAGTTTCTTATTAATTCATCCTAGATGGCTTTTTTCACATTAACAATGTGCATTTCCACGGGTATGTCGAGTATCGCATTAAACCATACACAAAAAATCTTTTTCATATAGGATTGATCATATCGTGTATTACGGCCTATTCAAAAACGGCTTCGACGGACCTCACACTTTGGGAAAGGTCTCGTGCTCGTAGATCAGCTGAGAAAAGTGAGGTTTTACTCTTCATATATCCAAGAGAAGCATTTTTCTTTTGTTTTCATAGATCTAATTGCTGGAGTCGATCGTGATTCATCGTTAATATCACAATCAAATATGGATTTACCATGGGAACAATTCATTGTAAGCGGGCCGGCAACAGTCAATCTTCTAGGCCAATTGATGGTTGTCTCAAGCAAACATGATTTCTCTTTTCAAGACTTTATGCCAGATTATAAATTTGTTTATATGCGATTTCCGCGCTCTTTTCGAGCTACGTTAACACAAATAGCCAATGGTAAGCTAATATTTCTTTTTCTTTCGTCATTTCATGATCTACTCACATATTTCACCAATATCGAACACATAAATTTCTTGGTACTTCATGTAATTGCAGGCTGGTTGAAAAAAGTTCAGACTTTTGTACTGTACTTCTATAAAGCTTTAGAGCATTTTATTGCCGTATGTTATATTGAAAGTATGTCGTTAGAGAAGTAGAAAATTTCGAAGATAATGATTGTAAGTAAATCTAAGTATCATTTTCTTATGAAGTAGCCAAATAAAACTAATTTTAAAGTATCCGGTGGTATTTTTTATTCATTTGAATAGATGGTTGGGAAGCATTCATGGGAGCTCACAATAATATGAACAAAATGCAAGCTTCAATGGAATTAGTACCGAGACAAGTTAAAACAGCTTTAACTGTGCTAGCATCGCAGAAATCTACACCTAAAATAATCAGTATGCTGTTGCCTACTACGTTACGTGAAATTGAGCGACTCGGTAAAACTTGTGTGACTTATGCGAATGCAACTCATGTTAACTTCGTTACTGTCATGAATTTAATTGGTGAGGTGATTTCTATGACAGAAACAGCACGAGGTTTGCAAGAGACAAAGTTAAGACAAACAGAAATCGAACTCAATGTGTCTCTGGTGATGAAAGAGGAATACACTAAATTAGGTCAAACTATTCGACAACATTATGATGAAGCACGAAACAGTGTTCGTAAAGCGCAAGATGAATATAGTAGTGCTCTTCGAAAGATTCCAACTGGTTTTAAAGGTCTATTGATGGATTTAGGACGTGCTGTGATTGGTATTGTTCAAACAGCTGGGCAATCCTTTATTGGTCGTGGATCCGCTACTCAACCTGCAGTATCATTATCTTCAGGACAGACTTTAACATTTGCCAAATTATTTTCGGATGCTCTTAATAAAGCTGTGCCAGGCATTAAGAAAATTATCGATATAAATAATGAAACACAGTCAGAGTCGAAGAACCCTATTAAAGAACTTGAAGCTTACAAAATAACATTCGAAACATTTCTATCATCAGTTGCGGCGGGAAAAGCAGGCCAACTGAAGGAACAAGCTAGCGAAAGTATACGAAAAGGTATTAATCTAGTAGATCAAACCATCAGTCGCATGAAGAAGGTTTTTGCTAATGGTGAAAATGCTACAGTAGATGCAGTCAATAATCTAAAGGGTCAATTTGATGAATTGATTGAAGAAGTAAAACCAATGGTAGCTGCAGAGAAAATGAATGGTGGGGGTGTACCACCGTCTGGATCTGCATCAACTTCCACCGGCGATTCTTCGCAGAACGAAAAGTTCGTCGCACAACTGTCGTTGGATCGATTACAATCTGCTGAAAGTCGTTATGACAAAATCTTTGGTGACCTGAAGCAGAATCAAGAAGAATTGGCAAAATTGATGGGTAAAATTGCTTCGTTAGACATGAATCGTATTCAATACAAAGAGATTCTCGAACTTATGCGGGAAGCTCTTCATCTACTAGCAAAGGTTCGAGAACAATGGGGTCAGTTGGTATTGTTCTTTGCTGAAGTTGCGACACGAGCTGAGATTACTTTGAGTGGGACCCTAGGACCATTTATTACTCAAGCAAGTCAAGCAGGTAGTGAGTCACTGACTCTGGATGAACGGCTCTTCTATGTAGATCTTCTCAAAGCACAAGCTGGAGATATTGATTCTCAGACGCAGATGCTCTATCTCATGTCTCGAACGTATGTTGATATGTCAACACATTATATCATGGGGCGTCTAGCTGGTCTATCGAAAATGCTTCTGGCAAGGGATGATAATGAGCGAAACAGTTTTCTCGCACAGTTGGTTGCCGATACACGAACTAATCAACAAGCTGTGATGGATTTGGTTGTTCAACGGAAAAATAATTATCAGACTGCGATTCAAAAACGGCGAATTGAACTGGAAAGATTCGTTGCAAAACTGGGTGGTCCAGATGCAGATGATCAAGCTGCAATCGAAGCTGGAAAAGCACTGCTTGCGCATACATCATAAGTAGTTTGCAGCAGCGATGACAAAAAAAGACACAGTTGAAACCGCTTTTTACAAAAGTACCCATAAATAAAGTATCTATGAAAAATTGTTCTAATTATTTCATGTCTAGTTATAATTGATGATCACAGATCAAAATGAAACTTGTTTTTGTATCGTAATAGAATGAGAGAGGATCTGCTTCTGGCTAGGCATATTCTACGCGAACATCTCAGTGCTGCGATGAAGTGATACATTTAAATTTCTTCGTCTCTACTCACTCCCACACAGTTTAAACTAATAATAACGATAAGACTTCAATATTGACAAATGATGCACTTCGGTTTCCTACGATTTCTTATCTTGTTCTTTGTTAGTGGAAAATTTAATATTTGAGAGAAATAAGGTAATGTATAATCGTCTGTTTATCTCTGCATCAATGTAAAATCTGCTTTTAACCGATCTGTGTTTTTGAAAAAATCATGTCTATAAAAAAAAGAAACATGTAGCTAAGATAGTATGCAAAAAGTTAGTTCAATTGATAGAAAAACACCATTGTTGTAGGCTAATAGAAGATCGAAGATGGATTTAGGACGGCTAAAAAAAAACATACATGCATGCAAATGGTTCGTTTCTCTTTTGAAAATGAAAGAAAAATTTTCTTACTCTAAAATTCATGACGACGTGAATTTGACCATTGGACGCCAGTCCGAGCATTGTTGGCAATTTGACCCATTCATCAAATTTGCCATCATCAAAGACATGTTTCAATTTCACTTTGCAATTACCTATCGAATCTCTACCGACAGTATCAGCATCGTAGACATCGAAATGAATTGTGTCATCACCTTTGTGAATGTTGAATGTGAAACGTTCGTTCCACGCAGGATTATTTGTATTTGAAATCGTTTTTGTACGTTGTTTATACTTCTTGTCCGTGTAGATTTCAATGTAAGCATCGTTTTGGCCAACAATATCACGATCTTTTAAATTTCGTCCTTCGACAACAATTACCTCGAGAGTTCCCTCTGGCATTTTTTAAAAACAAAACGAAATTTATTTACGGTTTTTTGTTAAGATAAAAACTTCTATTATTTAAAGGTGTACAAGTCTCTTTATATAGGTTGAAGAAAAAAACGGAAAAAGGAATAGCTGTTGATATTTCTGCGTTTCTGTTATCATAATTTTATTTTTCTCATCAAATGGTTTTATTCCATTATCAGTAGTGTTGCTCGTTGTGTTACCTCTGCTTGTTTATCGTGGATAAATAGAAAAAAAGTTAGGAGGAAAAACGAATTCGTTTCGAGTAATATTTGATGTTGAAACCTATTTTAAAAACATGTGTACTGATACTCGTTTCACACTTGATGTACGTCAGAAAACTGATTGAAGACAGATAATATTTCAATTTTTTCTAAATACAAAAGACAAAAATCAAATAATACATTCAAAATCATTCCATTTATATATTGTAAACAATCATAGTGAATGATTAAATCTTCTCAGATATCTATTCATTTCTCCTTCTCGACCGCTTTCAATGTAGCTATACTTTTAATAATTATGATATGAAACAGTTTCGTAGTAAAGTTCGAGAACGTTTATGCGCATATTAAAGTTGACTACGTTATTGTTGTTTTATAATATGTCTACTCGTGACAAAATTCTGTAGAATTCTAGGTAGCCGTAGTTCGAAGGTCCTATTCAGAATTTGTGGCTAAAATTTTATTAAAATTTTCGGTCTTTCATTAAAAGTAAGACTTTCGAATAAAACGAAGAAGATAAATACTTTTGTGTAACTGAAATAGATTGTTTGGTTTTTCTTTTTAAATTTTATCGAATAAATGTAAAAATACAGTAGAACATGTTTAACAAAACGGGAAAGAAAAGAAGAGGCGAGTCCCAGAGTAGATAAATTGATCGAATATGATTTCTTCCATTTATTCCTCTTCAAACCATATACGATTACGATTAAGTAATGTTTTCTAAAAGAAATTAGACTTTTATTTAAATTAATTGAAAAGAATACCAATAAACAAAACCTGTAATTTTTGTATTTTTTGTTCTAATAAATTAATTCGCAAATCTTTACGTTCATTTTGATCTTGCAATTCAGCGATTCTTTCTCGATAAGTATGTTCTACGAAATTCTTCAATACAAAAAAAGAATATACCATTGAACATTCTAAACTAGCGTGTTCAACGCAAACTTACCAATCTGTCATCAATAAGTAACTGAATATTACTCATTAAATCCATTGATTGCATATGTGAAGGTGAATTCAAGGAAACATGATCTGTTGTTGAATATTGACAAACAAGAGATTTTTCTTGATTATCACAGTTTAAATTTTGTGCATTTGTTATGGAACATTTTGATTTCGATCTGAAACATTTGAAAAAAATAGAAAAATCTGGAAGTATCATTGATTATTACCTTGGTCGATTCCCTGCAAGTATTCTTCGGTTATAACGACACATGGGTACATTTTCAGTTCGTTTTTCTTGATTTTCATCATTGTTTCTTTTCGGTGAATTACTATTAAATAAAAATCATCAGATTTCCATACAATCAATCTTAAAAAAACAAACTCTTCTGTTATCATAGGCATAGGTGTTGGTGCTGTCGTTGTCGGGTTCTGTGTGAAACAAGATGCAATTGACGCTAATGTAGTGAAAGTATTTTTCACTTTTTCTGCTGCTTCCGTTTTTGCTTTTTCAAATCCAAGTCGATTTTGTGCATACTCATATAGTTTACGTTCAGCTTCCGGATAATCACGACAGCCTTCTAATACATCTTCTTTTGACAAGGAAAATAATTCTGAATATCCAACACTTCGTACATCAGCTGTTCGCCGATTAGCGCCATCAATATTTAAAATACCGATTTCACCAAAAAAGTCACCGGCGCCCAAACGTGTTAAAACATCATGTTTCTCACTAAACAGTTCAAATTTATATCTAAATCAACCGAAACCATATTCTTACTTGACTACTTCAAGAACACCATCAGCTATAATGAACATTTCACGTGCTACTTCACCTTTACGACAAATAACGTCTCCCGGTGTAAAAATGTATGCACGCATTTTAAGAACAAGATCATGAAGAAATTCAGGTTGACATTCTTGAAAAATAGTCACCTTAAAAATACACAAAAAATAATTAATAACTAATAGTTAGCTACAGAAATTCAATTCATCAATTCATCGGATATTTATTTTATCTGCATAAAATCTGAAGAAACCAAAAGTCGCATATACATAAACATCGAAATTCATAGAAAAATTCACTTTGAAAACTATTGAATGGATATCATTTGAGCATAGTGGTTTGATTTTATTCGCTCGTTTTTAATTATATGCAAAAATATGTAATTTTATCTACCTTTTTTAAGGTTCCCAAATTAACATGTAAGGCCAATTCTGTTTTGAGCTTATCAGGTAAAAGTTTTATTGAATGAACATCACCAGCACCTGACATTCGACCACGTGACCAAGAATAATCATACCAACGCTGAACACGTCGTTGCATTTCTGGTGGAACACTATGCGAGCGCATATATTGTTTTGCACTATCCTATATTTGAAAACAAAGAAAACAATGTCAAATTTCTTCCATTCATTTTATCTATTCAGTTCTAACCAATAAACGTTCGAATTCTAAACGGCTGGCATTTCGGTTTGTAATAACATTTCCAACTTGTCCTAATAAAAGAGACAAAACAATCTAGTATTTTTTTCAATTATGTTTCAAACATCATCCTAACTTACCTATTATCGAGGAGAAAACAAATATTCCAACCATGTAACTGCTGATAGCAAAAACAGCCCTCAAAAACAAACAGACAATCGGGTGTGTATCTAGTTATATTCTCCTTGAAAATTATTTCTTGGTTTAGATATCAGAAAAAAATCTTTCTCGATCGGCCTTCTTCCGATTACTATTATTGCTTACCCACGATGATGGCTATGACGAAAACAGCGAACAAGTGAACGCTTATCAAAAAAGCGTAACTAAAAATCAATCTCAAAGCATTGATTAAAATACAAATTAAATAATATTGACTTACCGTTTGTTCGTAAAATTTTTGAGCCATCTAGCTTTTAAGAAAAAAAAACAGAGCAAGAAAAAAACGAACAGAACAATAGTTATTTTTGGTCTCAAGATAAAGCTTTAGCAAAGTTTTTTCTCAAACAAAGGGATCAACGAGAGAAAGAGAGAGGAAGAAACAGAAAAAAGAAATCTACTCACTGCCAATTCGTTTCTGGTGGTGGTAAATCTCCTATTGTTGTTAGCGTTAATGTTGACCAATAAAGACAGCGAAGATACATTTTAGTTAGTTGAGAGAAATTTCCAACAGGTTTCGGATACGACCAATATCCAACAAAACCTTCAGCTTTCGAAACCATAAAATAAAATGAAGCTAACCAATGTCCAAGTAGAAGAAGTATGTGAAGAAGATTTAGTACACGATATGTATTCGGATAAACAGTACGTGATTCTTGTAAATAGTATAATTGAAATGTTCGATATACTTTAAAATAACGTGGAAAACGAAGAATCGGTATTGAACCAAATTTCAATTGCAATAAATCTAATGGTGTTAGTGATATAATATCAAAAATAAAACGAGATGAACGAACATAATTCATTGCTAATTTATAATGATCATAAACAAGTAAACCTATAAAATGTTGCAGATACATTATTTTACAGCATAAACGTATAAATAAAACTTCTTCTATGCATATATCCTACTGTGGAAATAATGCATGCAATTACATGATAATGCAATTAATTTCATTTTTGTTTTTATTAAACTATATTTGCAAATTATGCATTATCAAGAATTATGTGAGCAGTATTTCACTTCAATGCATGAAATCAATTGTACCATCATGCAATTTTACCAATATTACACTGAATTTGTAGAAAAAAAAATTGTTTTTAAATAGCTTCAAATATTGCACGTAATAATAATAAAAACAAGAGCATCTCTCCTAACACTATTTCTGATTGATAAAACACAATATTTATTCGATCTGTCATACCTTGCTCAAGATAACCGGTCCGAAATTGAATAGCAATATCAACAAAATAAATTGCATCGGCTACATAATCGATAATTTCCCATATTTGTGAATAATCTCTTTGCAATGGTTCGAATGCTTGGCGTGCAATTGGAAACCAAAGGTTATACAATACAAATATGTTTAATACAATTAACCAATAAAATAAAAAAGATTCATCTGTTGATATAACAAAGTAATTACATGAACGAAGAATTCGTCGGATAAATAAATAACGAGATTTAATGGGTTCATCATTTTCCAGATTTATTCGAAGACTTCTTTTTGACGGTTCTGCAAGAAAAAACCAAACAGTACATAAGAAATGCAACTTTTTTGCTATATTCAATAGACAATATTTATAATTTTTCTTAGAAAAAAATATACCCATCGTGCCCAATCCTCGATAACCATAACGATTAGAAAATTTTCTTAAAAATGAGTCTTCCCGTTTTAGAGAAGTCTTGCTTGCTTTGAATTTAGCCATCGTAAGTGTATCAGGAGTTCGCTAAAAGAAAAAATATACAAAAAAAAAGAATACAAAAACTAACCAAGAAATGCTTTGAAATAAGCAGTTAAAGGATCTTCACCATATTTTTGATGCCGTCTCATTCGTAATGACCGTTCTTATTGATGATGGGACAATATAAGTCGTTATTTTTTTTTTTTTGAAGAAATTTTTTTTCTATATTGTAAGTGAATGTAAATAGGCTCAAGCGAATGGTAATGTTTTGTTATGGAATTCTCTATCAATCCATAATACTCAATTACATAGAGAGTAATGGACACAATGTCATGACGCTAAAGAAAAGGAAATTGAAGCATAAACAAAAGGTTTCTCTTTTTTTTTCGTCTATCTGTCTTATTCGCCTTCGATTCGTCGGGTTCGATTGTCGACATAACACTCATTGAGTCGCGAATAAACGACTTAAGCATCCGCCCTAGCTCGGAGAATAAATGTAATTATTAGATACTCACATCATCGATCGAAGACAACGATAGTGGATTGGTAGCATTAGATGATTGACCAAGAAGAGGCCCTTTAGATAGGTATTCACTACCACTTGATGTATCGTTTGCATTTGATAGTTGTTGTTGTGATTGATTTTGTGGGCTAGGTGATGAATTACTAGCTCCTTTATGAAGTAAATCATTTAGGACAGGTGTAAGAGCAGCCAATGGCATTTTCTTTTTGTCATAACATTACAATCATGAATTAAAATAGTTGATCATGTTCTCCAAAGCTAAAAAAATAAAATTGAATATACTTTTCTTGTTTTTTTCTGGTAGTGAAAGTCATGTCATTCCGTTCTATTTATACCAGAAAATCAGAATTTTCTATTTCTCTCGTCTCTTCCTCCTCCTTCTTCTTCTTCTTTATCATCATCATCATCATCATCATCGTCATCATCATCATCATCATCATCATCATCATGATCATCATGATCATCATCATATTTTTCTTTCTTTTTAATTGTTTTCAAAATAGCATTACACGATTGACAGGAAAAATTCGATTAAATATTGTTTCATTGGATGGTCTAAATTATCATCGAACCAAAAAATGAAAAAATAGAGCACAACGAAGAAGAAGAGGATTTCTTTCACTTACTTCTCTTCTGTTACTCTCAACATATTTTAGGTCACACCAAGGACATTCAAATGAGTTCAATTATATTGTGACATAACAATGAATCTATCCAAATACATTTTATTCTATTTCTCACAACGCATTTTTCTTATTTTATCACATTATTATCATCATCAATTATAATTATAGGATAAAACAAAGTGATCAAGAGAATAAATTACAAATATTTCTTTTTCTCATTCCACCTACTTCTGTGGACACACTTAAGATCTTATCGTTTTGCAATTTTAGCCATGTTTCAATTACACAATATAGCTAATAGATATTGATTAAAATGCTGTCCTTATTAAATACATACCTAAATAAGCGATGTAGTTGAATCATTTCTCGCACCAGCTTCAGTTATTTTGTTCATATGACGAGCTCGTTTTATGCTCATCGTTTTTTTTTTCTATATTTCTTTCTAGCTCACCCGTAATCTTATTTATATGAAGAAGGACTTTTTTCCGATGTCTAAACGAATAGGACGTTTGGTGACATGATAAGTGGAGAGAAAAAAACATGAGAACAATCTTGATCACACGCATATACAAGATCCTTAAGCTACATTATTATAATACGTCTTTTGCCGTCTTTTGCCCTTGAATATATTTTCCTCGAAGGCAAATTTTTTTGTAATGACAACGATAGTTCTTCGATTTCAATCTAATATCTTTATCAAAACGACTTCTGTAAACGACAAAAGAAAAAGATGTTAGAGAGAAAGAGAGAGAGAGAGAGAGAAAAAACAAGGATAATTAGCAAAAATTAACTAATCTGTTGAAATAAACAAACTAAATCGGACGAATCGAAATTCATTTCTTTTATTTTCATAAAACAAATCCCATAGCTGATTAGAAAATATAGAGAAATTTGACCCACGAACTGCTCGAAACTTGTCAGTTGGTATTTATTTGTCTTCATTTCTTTTTCTTGAATAAATAATTATTGCCAATGGCAAATGTAGATTTCTTTTACGAGTTGTTGCCAGTTCGGAATACGCGAAAATGATGAGTATTTAACAATAGTAAAAGAAAACTTGTGGTAATACCCCTTTAGTATCTAATGAAAATATAAATCTAATTGGAAAATTGATTCATTTATATATGGAATAGGAACAACGGTTCGTTGTTGCCTTTTTATCCGATCAAACGCTATTATATTAAGTGGTTGATAAAGCAAAAAAAGGGACAAAGATGAAAAGAAAAGAATTTTTGTCACTGTCGTCGTAGAAACAAATAAACTACGGATAGAATAAAAAAAAAGATTCCAAAAATATCTATAAATTTTCTTTATATAGTTTTATTAAGTTAATTCAATACTTTTCTTTTTCTTATAAGTCTAATAAATAAATGTGCATTTACATGGAAATAATGCGCACGCACGCACACACATACACACACAAACAACGAAGAAAGGCTTTTATTATCGTGAACATTTAGAAAACTTTTCGAATGATTCAATCATCACTGTTATGTGCACGTAATAATGTTTGTGAAACACAAATACGATGACGTCCTCGAGACGTTTCACGAATCATAACACGTATAGGACTTGATTCATGACCAGTATCATTACCAAATGGAGATCGCTAAAATGCAAAATGCAAAATTTATAAATTACTTCTTTCGAATGCAAAATAAGTAATTATTTCCTACTGAGCTTGTTGGTGTTGTCAATGGTTTAATGTATAAATTGAGATAATCGGTTTCCGGCAATGATGAATTTTCTACACGATGAATCGATGATGTAATAGATACGGACTGTTGTTGTTGCTCTTGTTGTTGCTGTTGTCGTCCACACGGTATCTCACATATTTTATCATTACTACTATAGTTAATATCACTTGGTTTCAAACCATATAAAAGTACTTTACACAAGGTCATCGAATTCTAAAATATTATACGGACAATCTAATTTACTCTCTACCAGAAGATTGATAATATTAATGAAAGAGGACGTCTATGATTGCAGTTTAAGATTGATGCAAAGAGAGAAGAGAAGTTCTTTTCTGTATTTTCTAGTGGTTCATTTGGAAAGCAACAGCTTGTTGCAACCATGATGATGATTATGATGATCAACAACGAACAAAATGGAAAGAAGAAAAAGTATTTGTATGTGTGCACGTCTCTGTGTTTATTCTTGGATTGATCGAAGAGAGGGAAAAGGAAAGAAAGAAAAAGAATTGGGATCTGTTCAATTTAATTATGAAAAAAACTAGCAATTCCAATTAGTTTATGAAAAATGACATATAGCAGCAGTAACAATAGAAAAGAACAAAAGAACTTGCTTGAGTTTGATTAATAATTGGTTCTGATAGTATAGCAGTTGCGGTACACGCTTTATAATATGATTGAACGAACCATGAAACTGCAGTGTTTGTTTTTTCCTATGAAATATCATAGATAAATTATATTATAGGTTATTTAACTTTTGAAAAATCTACTCACAGTCATTGCTATAGTAGCTGCTCGATAACAATGAGTTCAATAATAAGTTAGATTTGTTGATAAGTAGATTTGAATGATCTTCTCCTTCAATAAATGACAGAATACCTCGAACATGTGTATACAATGGAAAATTTAATGTGTTCGTGTGTGCATGTTTAAAGTATAATGATAACAGTTGGTTAGAAAAAGAAAAGCGAAAAGATGAGACACATTATTTTGTTCGTATTTGAATTTATACTTCACCTGTTCGCTTTAACCATTGAGGAGAGTACATGGGCCGATGATAATATGTGTTTGCCTGTAGATTTAATGATAGATAGGTATATCATAACAGTGAAGACAAAAGAAGAGAAGAATACGACGAAACATCGCCTTTATTTGCATATCAACATTTCTCTTTTTGAACTCATTCGATTGTATTTGCATACAAGCAATTTGACTTTCTAATCGTTCTGTACATTTTATTTATACATACAAGAACATACAAAACATACTAAATAGTTCATTAAAGCGATATAACAAGAAAGACTTCGTCATGTCTTTTAACGTGTTTTTTAATCATTTTTTTCAATGTCGAATATTAGATGAAATTTCATTGATTAATTTACTTCTTTCTTTGACCACCAGTGGACATCGAAAGGTCCATTGTTATTGATCATGTTATTTGATGACTCGAAATTTTGATAATATATTCATCGCTTTATTTTATTAAAATCAATACTCTATAACTATAGAAATAACTTTATCATTGAAAATAATATCACATCGAATTCTGTAAAAATATGGATTTATCTTATTTGTCAAATGATTTGAAACTATTGAACAAGAATCAGTTTTTTTCTTCATGTTCTATTTTGACGATTGAAAATATATAGAGATTGAACAATAGATAATAATTAGATTGGAAATCATTGATTTGATAAAAGAAAAAGAAAAATTGTATATTATTGACGACCAACTTTATCGAATAAAAACCGATGTATAAGAAGAATTGCATATTAATACAATCGAGATCTCTTGCATACAATAAAAAGTTTTTTTTCTTTAGAATTTACATGAAAAACAGTAGATCGAACGGCAATATCACTAGTGCATAAGTATTATACACTCAATAGAAATACTCGAATAAAATCACAAGCTTTAAAATGGTGTCTAGCCGTTTGTTCTTACCGAGTACATATTCATATTTATCTTACGAATTCAATTTATTCTAGTTTTGTTAAATTCTTATATGGGATGAATTTCTTACTTTCATCGTGCGTTGATGTGTGTTAAACATAGTTTAAATCTTTTCTCTGCTTTTAATTTTTCTGGAAGCATCTCGTTCAAACTTATGCAATGATTGGCATTCATAGTTTCTTTTTACTCAGTGAACACAATTCATGATTAATTGATTTATTTCTTGCCTGTGGGAAATAAATTCGAATCTGTGTCGATCTTTCTTGTTTCATTGAGAAATATTTTTAACATCGATAGAAAATATATAATTTCGGAGAGTGCAAAAATATTTTTTTTACTATCCATCAATAATCTAAAAAAATTAAGAACGACATGAGCAACTAATCGAGTTTTCTTTTCTACTGAGATCGATTCTTGTCGATATTAATTTTCGTTATGATACGTATTCATAAATATTGATTTATTTTATTGGATTATGCTCGTTTAATATATACAACCATTAAAACGATAGTATTCAATTTCAACTAAACAATACACAGCTATTTAATATATTCATTGGCTCTTTATTTTTTGTTTTGACATACAGATACATCGATAAAATTTCTCACATGTAGTTACTATCACCATAACCTATTCTAATGATAATATTCATTTGTAAATTTTTCAATGACGACTTTGCCGTAGCAACTATGTAAAAAAATGACTTATTTTTAAGCTGATTGATGTAATCGAAGCGTTTCAGCAAAAAGAAACTGATTTCTTATGAATATAACCTATGCCATAGCAAACATGTTTATTTTGTTGAACATCGTAAAAATCTACTTTCTATTAACAAGAAGCACCATATATGATCATTCGTATATGTATTTTTAATCATTCATATAGTATAATCGAATTTTTTAAGTAGAAACGAACTTCATTGTCCATTAAACAGAGGCCATGTAGTTTATAGAAATACAAAAAATTGTAACTAGATGAGTTTTGTGCTATCGATCATGACTCATTATTTCGAAGTGAAATATCAAATATAACAAGATTTGACTGGTCAATAAGTGCATGAAGCAGTCTAACCCACGAATATGAACAAATGATTTCATGTGCCTGGAAATTTGAAGTAGTCTTGACTGAGTTTTTTCATAATAAAAAATGACTTTTATCCATGCCTATAATATTGTGAATTACTGAGCTTTTGTGCCGAACACAGCGTGATCTAAACGAAATAACACATATATCCGGATCCATTCCATGAAGCTTTGTCTTATCATTTTTAATAAATTTCACATAAATCTTACTTGTTTTCGTATCTTACTTATAACAAATCGAATACTGCTAACTTTCCCAGACATTTCTGATCATTTAGAGAGCAGAGTCGTTGAACAAATAAGCAAAACAACATTTGAAATCATAATTTTATTCTTTCATATACAAAAAAATTATGTAAAATCGAAGAATACAACATTCTTATTTGTCTTACTTTGCTGTAAAATGCTTGATCGAATGCATTGTATTAGCCCTTGACAAATGTACTCCAACAAAAAATCAATTAAACTCTTTAATCCCTGCAGAGCTACTTTTCACTTATTCATAGAAACGTATCTATGTCGAGTAATAAACCATCAGATCTCAATTTTTACCCAACATTATTTGTCTTTCGTTACCAACTGATGAAGTACCACTATGTTCATAATTTCTTATCACCAAAATAAAACCGTAGTTCTTAGATAGATGACAAGTTATAAAAAACAGGCATATGATCAAACCAAACTATATTTATAATCAATCTTCAACGATTTTGATCTTTCTAATTCCTTCCTCCAAAGTATTGAATCGTAAAAACCTATAGAGAAACTGTAAGCATTCAGTAGGCATAGCAATTATGTGCAGTTATATCTTTAGTTTTGTATTAGCCAATAGAACTATAGCTAATTAATATTGTCATTTGGTATTTGAATAGTTAAATATCAATTTTTTTCCTCTACAGTATTGACCAGTGAAAAGATAAACAATACCTGGACCTTGCCGAATCTTATAATGAAAATAACACCACGATTAGCTGTCACAGTCAATACATCCTCACATATTAAAACATGATTCTAAAAATATTTACATGAATATACCAATTCGAGTCAGTTTGTAATAATAACTATTGGGTCTAATCTGTAGTAAAATTTATTTTAATTTACATAGGAATAAACATATTCTTCGAAACAAGCAAAATGAAAAACGTACAAGTTAATTATTTGAGTATAATGATCCAACAACTAATTGGAATAGTTTTTACAATTAGAGAAAGAGAACAAATCGTAGATCTTCTATAGGGCATTATTTGACAAATTTCCGATTGAAAAATATGAACGCTTGCCAACGTCTTCATCTAGTATTTCATTAGTTAGCTCGGTAAATTCGTATGAAATATTTTCAATGTTATCAGCAAACCAAGCATAACGCAATTCTAAATTATTCTAATTTTAAAAAGTAATAAAACAGAACTTCATTAATTAACAGATAAATAGCTATGCATATTGGAAAACCGAATGGTTCTGATTCATTGCACCCAAAAAAAAACATCAATTAAGCGTGGTTGTGAGAACCGGTCGAACTCCAGATTTTATCCCACGTTGTACACTTTGGAAAATATCTTTATCAGAGACCTTCATTGTGGGAATGATTGCTTTTCTTTGCATTACTATTATTTATTAGTGGTCGATATACTTACGATTGATAGTTTTCTGAAACAACTTATGTTTATCTTATTTTGGTGACTTTCTCAATCTTAAAGTTTTATTAATTTTTTGTAAATATTTTTCAGTGTAATTCTATTTTAGAGGTGACGACAGTCGTTGCATCAAGAGACAAATGAATGCAAAGCATGAAATGCTGCCGCGATTAGTTTAAGAACAACTTCATTGAATGACTAGCCATGTCAAAAGCTGATTTGTCATTGATCAAAGCCTTAGTTTATTTTAGTACCAAAAACAACAGATGAAAACATTTTTTCAAAACAAATAACAAAAACAAGAATATAAATTTATTTTATTTCTTTGTTGATGAATTCATTTGTTCAAAAATTTTCAGTTGCTTGTTGGTTTCACTTTTCAAACTGCCCAAATTAGATTCATATTTTCTTTTTTTATTAAAACCACGTGTTTGTTGCTCTTCATTAACTGCAGCACGTTCGGAAAATTGACCCATGCTTGCATCAGAATATTTCGCTGTTGCTAAAGCCTTTTTCACCTTGAAAAAGAAAGAAAAACAATGAAGAAAATTCTTTCAATAATTAAACTGTCACTTACATCGACGGCTGATGATTTCTTATTGATAATTGCTCCGTCATTTCGCACTAAAACGAAAGAAAAATGTTAATCATATGAATCACATAAAAATCCTGTGTCTATTCAACTAGAAAACGTTTTCAATCAGCAATAATTGAGTTATAACAGACTAGATCGGAAATAAATCATTCAACCTTGTATTTTATTCTTTTTCTTATTCAAAAGTATACAGTTTCATGTTCATACAATGTGTGTTTCTTTTTCGATACGTAACTAAATTTCAGATGTTTTTACGTACTATTTATTTTCTTTGAATGAGCAATATTTTTTAAACGTTGAAATTCATTTTTAGCAACACGTTCTTTTTTAGCTGCCAAACGTTTAGCAAATTGATCTTCGCTGGGATCTAAATAGATGGATAGATAAATTAGTAAAAGAAAAACATTATTACAGAAGAAAGAGTTGTTTTTAACAAACCAGCAGTAGTTGGTACTTCAATAAGCCACGGTTTTGTTTCATCATTTGCTTTTTTATAACCATAACGACGACCCCATTCTTTTTTCGTTTCATCCCAAACGAATTTACTCTTCTTCTTTTTGACAATACCTTTACTTTGAGCAAATTTTTGCCATTTAGTTAAAGGTTTAGGTTTTGGAACCTAAATTACATATTAGTTCATTGATCTGAAAATACAATCGAGCTAAAAAACGAACAGGTTTTTCTCGTGGTACGATTGTTTTTGCGTCTGGTAATTTTGCCACAACAGTATTATCATGCCGTTCGATAGGCATCTGAAATTAAACATTGATATGTCCTCAAACAATAAATAGAATTCATTTACCTGCCACAAGGCATTGACAAGCAATTGCATATTATCGCGCATTGTATTTTTGATATATTCATCTCGATTTTCTCTAAAAACAATAAGAAATAAAAATTTAAGCGATTCAAATCGATATATATATATACATTCAATTTTGCAAATCAATTTTCTCTATTTAGAACACGAAAGAATAAAAATACTCTTTTGTTCTTACAGATCATAGTTTAGATGATCAGAAGAGGAAAAAAGATTGTATCGTAAATCCGTATATGTCAAACTTGAAACTTGAATTCAATTTGCAACTTTTAAAACAATAGTATTTTGAAGAATCGTGACTCACGCATATGTCGCTATGAGTTGAAAGTTGAAAATTTCTATTTTCAATTGAATTCAAATTTCAAGTTTGGCACTACTGCGTAAATCTTAAAACTATCTCTGTTTCGATTATTACGAACATACTTGTATGCTTGTTGATCAATAACATTTGGATCCCAAACAAGTAAATTACCAAGATCAACATCAACAGGACATGGTTTAATAACTTCTGTTGATTTTAATATTTTATCTTGTTCATCAACATCACGTTTGAGAATATTTTTAACAAGATCGTTTGAATTCATGATCTGAAATCTCAAAAAAACCGCATAAATCATCATATGTTATATCATTGTTGTCTTTTTAAATCACTTTGTTCTTTTTCCTATACAAAATATAACAACGAGTACACAAAAGAAAAAGTAGAACTGGCGAGTATTATGCTCAACACATTACAACATGTGTTTTATGTACATCGACATACACAGACACAAACAATAGAAGTAAGAAATTCATCTATGACAATAACCGGTTTATAATTAATATGTCCTACAACCAAGGATAATGAAGTGGATTGAGACGCGAAAGTTGATTAGCATCCGTCGAATTTTCTACAAGTTGAGCAACTATTCTTTTCGACACATCAATATCAGTGAATTCTAAATTAAAATAAAATAAAGAATAGAGAAAAAATCATTTCGTATTTGTAAACATACGGTTTAATTTTGTCTCTAATTGACTAGCAATATTTTCGACGAATTCAATGCATTCTTTCTGTGTTAATTCTGGATGCTAAAATGAAAATAAATGAACATGTTAGTTAAATTCTTTTAGAAAGACTAAACGACAAGGACGATACACATTTTTTAATTAAAATTTGAAAATAAATTTTCTCGAGACACCCTGTGAACAATCATAGCGCTCATCATTCAAACTTTTTGTAAATATCTAGTGACTCAAATATTCTCTATAACAATTGTACCCATTTAAAAATCAAATAGATAACCAATGGATGGCTCGTTCTCGTGTTAATCTCTCTCGAATCTAATTATAGTTAAAAAATTCAAGTGGGAAGAACATTTCAATTGATTGAATCAAAACAAACTAATTACTTTTATATGAATATCTTCTTTATAAAAAATCTTTAGATATTCAATAATTTTATATTTCGGTTGTGCTAATGATGTTAAGGTTGTTAAGATAGTTGCTGTTAATGGTCCCATTTTTCCAAAACGATTAATAAATGTATCAATATTTGGTGTTATAAAGATATTTTCTTCTTGTTTATTTAAATCATATTTTAATCGAAGATATAATGGATTGATATTTCCTATTGAACGTTGTATATTTAATTGATTATTTGTATACATGTGAAAACCAAATATATAATTTAATGTTGAATAAAAACTCATCGATATTGTAAAAATTTTTCTAAAAGAAAAATATCCAGTCGCATTTGAATATTCATTTAATGTCCATTGATGTAATAATTTTCGATTTGAAAAATATTCATTTTGTATTGTTTGATAAATATCTAATAGATTACCATTATTATCATCATCAAGTAATTCATAATGTTTTCTTATTGATAACATTAAACGATTATTATAGATTTCAACTAAATTCATTGTTAAACGATTATCTTCGATTAAACGTAACGATGGTAAATATGTACATAAATGTGGTAGAAATATTTGCATATGTCGTTTTAATAATTCTTTTTCTTTTCGTATACATATATTATTAATCATTTTAAGAAATTGTAATGTATTTTCTTCTGATTCCCATTGAGAATTTTGTTTATCACATGATATTGTTTGATAATTATTTGATAAAAGATAATACATTATTTTACCATTATGTGCACGAATTGTTATACGATTAAAGTAACGTTCATGTTTAAATATTCGTTCGATAGTAGGGAAAAATTTATTAACACGAAAATAGAAGTTAGCTTCAGGAGCATGCCATAATTCACCAGGCATACTTATCTCATTAGTTATTTGAGAATTGAATGATAATAATTGTAAATATTTTGTTTGATTCAAATATTTTATACGTGGTTCACTCTGTTCGATACGACGTTCCATTAGAGTTATCCATTTACTGATTAAAAGAATGAGTGTTCGAGATATTTGAGTAGTATTTAGTACACTATAAGCAAGAGAGAAAATTCGATCAGAGAATTTTAAGAAGACATCAAAGAAAAAGGAAAAACTTCTCCTACTTCTAAAACAAGAAATCTTGTACAAGTCAACTAAAATCATTTCGTTTATAACCGTAAAAGACTTTTTAGAGTATTTTGAAAGTTCATACGTCTAGATATTGAATTTGTATAAAAACAAAATGTATCTTTCAAAACAGGAAACTCAATTGTTCTTCTCTACGTGTTATTTTTCTATCATTTGAAATGAGATATATGGTGGAAGGTAAGTTTTGATAAATCTAACACTAATGATATTGTTGAGTGAAATGATCTCAACAAAATAAATTTATGCAATTTCGAATCGATCATTATGTCTGTAGAATTATCAATAGAATAAGAAACTATTTTAATCTTATGAAAAGCTTATACAAGTTTTACATTAAGATATCATATGATGTCTGCTAACAAACCTTTCGTTAAAGTCATTCCAAAATTGTAGTTTAATTTGTTGCATATTTTTTTCTTGATTTTCATCATTATTTAAAATGTCTTTCAAATGTTGTATGATTTGTTTAATATCTTCCGATAAATCTTTTTTATTTTCAAATAGATCTTCATAAATTTTTCTTTGACATTGATACAAACGCTTGACAATATACTCCAGTAAAGTTTCATTGATTGTATTTAATTGTTCAATGATAATATCTAATATTCGTACAATAGTTGGATGTTGTCCAAGTAAAATTTGTTCTAAACGATTTAAATTAGTGATCGCTTGTTGTCTATATGATATCGATGGTATATTTAAACTAATATCAATAATTGGTGTTGTTGGTGTTAATGGTATTAATTTTTCATCATTATTATTTTCCATTAATTTTCTTAAATATTTTTTTATTTGTACATAAACAGCTTGTGGATATGTACGAATTAATTCATTTAATATAGCTAACATACATTGACTTGATTCATTGCGTATTAATTTATTCATTATTTGTGGTAACCAAAAAAGCCAATGCTGAGCTGGTATCAATGATAAATAACGTTCAACACAAATAGATAATTTATTATTATTTTCATTATCATTTGAAAGTAAATAGAATAATTTTGACAGTATTGAACGTGCTTTTATTTCAGTTAGATCTTTACATGCATTTAAATAACAAATAATAATTGATTCGTGATCGTTGATAATGGATGATTGTTTAAGAAGAAAATCACCCCAATTAATCCATGTACGAGTTAAATTTGTGTCGGACAATTGTGTTGCACAGCTAAATAATTTTTGAGCGTCATCACTACGATTCAATTTTGAATAAGCAATTGCTTTTAAAGAATAAAATTCACTCATCATATCTTTATTGAAATATTTTGTATTGGCTTGTTCAATAATATCAAATATATCTTGAATATCATTGGGAGATAAAGTTGGAAATAAAACCAAATAGCATTTTACTATTTGTTTAATTTTTTGATAACTATCAACAACTGGAACACTTGGTATAACAGTACCAATTCTAGTTGACAATTAAAAAAATACAATAAACGATCAATTAAAGCAATGAAAAATTTAGAGAATAAACACAAATGCTTTTGAATCTGTCATTTTAGAGATCAACAATTTTCTGAATATTATGAAAATCATCAGATCTAATCCTTGATTTCGTTCTTCACTGAGCAGCCTGCGACAAGATGACAACACTGGGGGGCACTAATTATTTTAAGATTTAAGATTTCAAAAATGCTAGTCAACAACCAGCAACAAAGTAGCTTAGTTAATACTTAATTAAATATTCTTTATTCTAGATATTTGTCTGAGTTATTTTGTCACTTTCATAAAGTAAAATGAATAGAAACTATATAAATAACTCATAATAAAAAAAAAATCTTATTAAACGATAATTATCCTTAATTTATCTTCTTTTCATTTGAATTTACCTTGATAAAATCTCCATACAAATATTTGGCATATGATGTTTTCGTGCAATTTTTGCTAATTGTGTAATTGATTGAGCAATTGCATGAATACCAAGTAGAACTTGTCCCGTATTTGGATTTGAAGCATTAAGATTATTTCCACTCGGCATATTTGTTCCACCAAGTTCTTTATCAAATTGTGAACTAATTGTACTATATTGTATTTCACGCCACGTAAATATATCATTCCAATAACTTAATGAATCATTAATTAATGGTAAACGACTTTTCCATGTTTTAACAATAGTTTTAAATTCATGAATATTTGTTGTTTGTCGAATATTGGTCGTTGTTGTTGACGTATTACCATTTGTTGTTGTCGATATAATCGATGTTGATGTATTATTATTATTATTTGTATTTGTTTGTATGTTTAACAAGATTTGTGCTGATTCTTGTAATTCAATAATACGTTGCGATGCTTGTAATAAATTTAAATGTGAATTCGATATATAATTTGGTAAATGTTTCCATTCTTTCAAAGCATTCAATGAACAATAATCAATTAAACGATCAGTTATATTCATTGTTGTTTGATACATTGATGGATCATCGGTATTTGTTGAACATAATGTTAAATAACAACGATATAATGCAAATTTCCATTGAAAATCTTTTATTGTTAAAATATTTGATATTATTGTTGACTGTGTTAATGTTGGATTTGGATTTAAAAATTGAAATGTTTGCATAGATGAATTTGTTAAATTAATATTCGTACCATTACACATAGCATCCAATTGCCCTAGAGTTTCCTTCATTAATGGCCAATTAGATGATCTCCATATGCAATCAAGATAAAGTAAATGATCGCGATTACTTTGTTGTTTACAAAATGATGTTAATGTGTCCCATTGATTTAATTCTTTCGTGCACTTTATCCAATGCTGTTCAAGAAACGAATATTCATCTAATTGAGAAAATCGATTTAATGTTGAGGATAATGATGGCGATGTTTGATTCGTTTCAGCAAGCTTGATTGATTGAGTATAACAGTCGAGTGCTTGTTGAAATAGACCGAGTTGTTCATATTGTAATGCATTGGAAACTAACAGTTTTATGTTTGGTGAAAATTGGCGATGTAACCAAAGACTTATGTTGTAGTCATCTTCATTTAGATGTTCATATAATTCACTGAGAGCATTTAATGATTCAATATACGTTTCGTCATTTGCTAAAATTTCGAAAATTATTATAGATGGTCTTCGAAGAGCGAAATCAAAGATAGATAAAGATTGAGTTCAACTCAATATAAACGACTAAGCTTTTTTTTATGTTATGTTGATGTTATTTTAGAAAAGTACTAGGCAGAGCATGTCGAAATAATACGGAGGCTTCTTATGGTTCTTGTTTTTTTTTTGTTAGTAATATTGATTTTATTCACTGACTACAACTTAACTCATTCAATAATTGGATTTTCAAAAAAACTCACCTTGAGTTGGTGGTTGATCTAATATATATTGTTCAAGTAAAAGTATGCTTCTATGCCATGTATTATGTGTTTTAGCAATATATTTAAGTATAATTGGTCGTATAATAGGTACGAATTCGGATAGATTATTATTGTTTTTAAACATAACATAAAAAGCTTCAAGTAGAGTATTTAATGAACTATATGGATATAAGTCTCGTTGTTGTAAATGTGTTCCACTAACAAAAAATGGTTGAATTATTTGTTGAAATAAAATAATACGATATTTTTCTGATATGATACGGACAATTTTATGTAAAAGATCAACAAATAGATTATGTGCCAATTTATCAATATGAACAGAATTATTTGTATGTAAAAATTGAATAATAGAATCAAATAAGTCGTTTGGTTTTGATTGTATTGATGCAAGATTTTTGAGAAAATTAATTTCATCATTAATTAATTCAGTTAATTTTGTTTGATTTGTCGTGTCACGTTGAGCTTTTTCTTGAACTTTATCAACTGATAAACGACGTATGTTTTCAAATGATATCGTTCGTTTAAAATGTTTAGCTTTGGATTCATTTAGAGAGATAGAAGTTGAACGTGGTTTTCTAAAGAAATATAAAATTCATAAAAATATTTTTGTGATTCTTTCTTTGGCAGCGATACGGTTAGATCTGGTTGTGAAAGAGTACTGCAAGAATTTTCTACTACGTCGATATGAACAAATAAATCACAACAATAGAAATAGCCGCGCACTAGTGATGCAGTATGAAATATCTAGAAAACAAATTTTTCTCTTGATTCCAACTATGTTGTGCTTATTAAATGACTTTTTCAATCAATACAAAACCGTAACACAAGTCATACTTTTCTAGTAATGTCCAACTGACTATAGCTAAAGATATGCGAGTTTAACGATTCAAAAAGATGAATTTAGACACATCGAGTTAGGTAAAGATGAATAGAATACGTTCCAAAACAAACAAAAAAAAACATTGAATATTTGTATGTGCAAATTTGGTTAAACATTTTTTCTTATTTCTTGGTTCAATCGTTCGATAAACACTCAATGATGTCTTTGCCTGAGTTAAACTGACAAAAGGAGTAAATATTTTGGATTGTAGAGTTATTCAAAACCGAGCAGAGTATATTACATCATAAAAATGAATAATAAGAGCATTGTTTGTGATTGAATTAGTAGAAAAATACTAACGTTAGATGAATGCCAAGTGAAATTTAACAAGAAAACATTCATCTTACTTTGTTACAAGTGTACTCATAGCAGTAACACCCAGAGCATTGGATATGATCGAATAGGCTGGATTATATGCCGATGTTTCATCGTTAACTTCCATTTTAATTGGTACTTCAGGAGTTTGTTCAGTTCTAATTACAACATTTTCTATAGCTGACGGATTCTTTGCTTTTACATAGTCAATCATAAAATCATATCGATCATAGAATTCACCAGATTTAATAGCTGATGTTAAAGCTGGCAAGATCGATGTACGATTATCAACAGTTGACAATGGAATTGTTGGCGAAACACAAGTATAAAATAACTGAAAAAATAAAAAGCAAATTTTTTTTGTTTTCTGTAAAGATTTTGTTTTCTTAAAAATTTACTTCAAGACACTGTTTTATCCAATAGTGTTGTCCAAGATACTCCCAATTTTGCGATAAAAATATAAATAATAAACGATCGTGTAATGTTTTTCTTAGATTTTTATCTAAGATAAGAAAAAATTGTTTTCGTAATTGTTGATTTGTTGATTTTAATCCGAGAATAAATGCGGCTTCTAATTTAATACATAATTCACGATAATTTGATTCTTGATAAACATGTAAAATAAGTTCAAGAAAACTATTTGTTAAATCATTATCATTTGTTGGTTGTTGACTCTGTTGAAAACGTCCACTTTTATCAATACATTGTAAAAGTTTGAGAAGTAATTGGGATTTTTCTTTTAACGATGGTACTAATTGTACATCACCACGCCATTTAAGCCAATCATACACCAGACGAATGATTGCTCGAACAAGATTTATATCATATGATTTCTCAATTAAGCACTAGAAAATAATTTTTTCTTTTTTTTCTTTTTAATTTTGTAAAAAATTGGTAACTCCTCAATTCAATAAAAAATTTTCAGCGATACGAATTTTCAAACAGGAATCGGTGTAGTGTGGTTTTTATATATTCTATCGAACAAATCATCTTTTTCTTCGGCGAATTTTACAATATTCTGTAATTTGTTCATAACTCTCGCCACATCATCTCTTTTCTTATATTCTTCTAAGTTTTACAGCGCTTATGGCAACGAAATTTGAAATCTGTTGAGCAAAACACTATTACACAGTAAATATCTATAAGAGCAATGTATTGATATAATTTCAAAATACTTACTGGTAAAAAATTATTCATAAATTGTTTACGAAGATCACTAGTTAATTGGCCAATACGATATTTGAGTAGTGTTAAACATTCGATAATATATTCTGTGAATGCTATTTAGAATAAAATAAAAAGAAATGAATCGATGAATAGAATATTCATGATGTTATTTATTGTTTTCATTACCTGAATTATAATCAACACCAGCACTTGTATGATCTTTTATTAATTTTTGTAACAATTTCGTGATATGCAATGTTAACTTATCAACATATTTTGGTTGTTGCTTTTCGATTATTTTTAAATAACCAAAAGCAACAGGAAGTGTATGAACAGACACAAAACTTGACGATGAAACATTTGCTGCATTAGCTCCAATTGTTGTTCTAGCGCTGAAAAAAACATTTATTTTTGTCAACTTTTTTATATGAATTATGAGTTTTTTTTATTTAAATCTCAACCAGAAAAAAACGTGTTCAATTCGATACAAATCATTTTTAATAATTTCTTTTGATTTTAATTTGCTTTAGATGGTTTTTATGTATTCTTTCTTTTTTTAATTAAATTTAATGACCATATTCTTTAATGTGAATCCTTTTTTATCAAAAGCCATATACGACAGTACATGTCGATATTAAAAGTGCATATTTATATAGCGCATTCATTTTGTACAATGATAATTCATACTGTCCTAGTTGATCGATCGGACAATGGTCACAGATGAATGACTACAAAATATGTCCTTAGCATGTCTGGACTCATCAACACTTTTTCTATCTTTCTTTCTTTCCTCGTCTCTTTTCGTTTTACTTTTCTTCGACTCTTATTCATTCTATCTTTCTCTTAGTATACACTAGCAGACAATTCTTTACACGAATATCGCAGGTAAACAATCAGCCAAACAAATCATATTTGTATATATATTGTTTTTTTTTATTAGGAAATCGTTCAAATGTATGCAACAAACTTTCATCCTCAAACATTCTATCACCAATATACAACACAATTTTTTCCTGGGTCACCTGATGGTCAACCTCGTGTAGGTAATATAGGTGGTAGTCGTACGTTATTAGCACGATCAGAATATACTTATTCATTTCGTCTTACTGGTATCGTACTTGGTTGTTTAATTTTATTCTTTTCTTTAACTTTACTATCAACGGAAATCGGAAGAGTCTATCGTGGCTCGAATAATCTTGGTAGAAATACTTCAAATACATCACATGAATATTTAATGAATCCAACAAACCAAGTCGGTATGAATGAAACAGTTCAAAATCGAAAACTTGAAAATCGTTGGATATGGCCATGGTCAACACCTACACTGTTATTTAGTCTAATATTTATAACAGCAGCTATATTCGGCATAATAAGTGGTCAACGAGAAAATTATTCAACAATTTTAACATTTTTTATTTTTTCGTTGTTATCAATGTTTCTATTAATATTTTTAATTGCATCATATTCGACAACAATATCTGGTTGGAAAACTATTTATGGAACAAGTGATGGAAATGCTATGCCACGTCATCCACGTATTGATAGAGATCTATCAATCGTTTGTCTCTCATTATCTTGTGCGTTATTCACTATTTTCGTAGCTAGTACGATTTTATCTGGTATAAGTATTGATTTATGTACACGAAAAGATTTCAACGAAGAAGAAAATGATTCATATAAAGCAAATGTTGGTCAATAGATTAGTTTAGAATAGCAACAGCAACGAAACGTTTCTTCTCCTAGTTTTCACTTTTTCGTTTTGTTTTTGTTTTTCTGATTTTGTAGAGAATAAACTAATGCCTACCTATCTGTTGTATTGACAATTGAGGTTGGTGTATTATTCATATTATCAATAATTGTTTTCGTTATAATCGTATAGAATTGTTCAATGTCTTCACTTTTACTCATTGTATGTGATGATAACGGTAAATTATTTGTTAGAATTGTTTGTTGATTTTGTCCCATTGCTGTTGATGCTGTTGCAAGTGAAGCTAATGTAGCTTGAACAAGTTGTGGTGATAATCCTTGTTGAGTATTTGTTGCTGTTGTAGGAATAATGGCTGCTGGTGGTTCAATAGGAATTTGAACAATAAGTTTACTAAATAGATTTTGCATGGATTCAACTAAACGTGGATTATTTGTTATTGATACACATGTTATTAAAGAACGTTTTAGGGTACGCATAGTGTATTTTATTTGTATGACGGTAAATGTTGATATCAGAAATGCAAGAAGATCAATAGCAATAGCAATTGAATTGTGAGCAGCCACAGTAGATGATTCCTTTGAAAGAAAAATAGATATTGTTTGGTTTGAAAGTGTTCATTTTTTAAATGGGTTCAACTAAAATTTCCTTGGCTTACTATAGCAGGAGATAGTTTGCATATATATATATTCAATAAACATATGATGATTTATCAAATTTAAGAGCTTTTTTTCTTATTTATAACAACCGAATTGGGTTTATTTATTTTGCGTGATGAGAAAATTGCTGGTCAACTTTGTCACATGCATATGCAATAAAAATGATATTTTCAAGTTCTCACGGTATTTTATGAAACTAATATTATATTAGAATGATTATGTACTGAAAACAATGTTTTAGTGACGATATATTTTCACCTATGTGTATTGTCTTTCACACAAATATTCTAGAAACTCGATGATTTCAGCATCTATTATTCCATATCTGCTGTATCAAAAAACAAAAACTACGTATTAAAACAAAACACGATAACTCAACGAATTTCCAATCGCTTACAATTTGATGTATTAATCTTTCGAATGTAGTTAATTTAACATCAACATTGGGCCATGCATATTTTCTTGCAATTTTAAATAATCTAATACACTGTTGTGATAACGGTATCATATTTGGTATATTAATTTGGCATGCATGTCTAATAAGAAAACTAAACATTATGTCAATTAATGATCGACTAAAATTTTTCTGATCATTTATTTGTTCGCTATGTTTTCGTAATTCCCATTTAATAATAACTTCAATAATATCAATAGCTAACTTTTTATGTTCCATCGAATTAGTTTGTTGTCCAGCTATTCTTTGTGCTGATTGTATCATTAAATTTGCTAATGTATATCGCACATGAAAATAGATTGTTTGATGTCGTACAATAATAGTCATAATATGCATTAATTGTAAATTTCCATGAGCATCATCGGAAAGAATTTTTTTCGTATACTCAGCTAAAACTTCATTGCCATCTTCCATACGTATTGGTATAGCTGGAATTAATAAATCTGTTGCTTGTCGAACTAAATATTTCGCATCAATAATATATGATTTTAATAAACTCGTAAAAACATTTGTAATTATACGTTTAACAATAGGATATTTTGATATAATATAGCAAAGAAGTAGATGTGCTTGACATTTAAATGTCGAATCGATATTATTCATTGATAATGTTTCATAGGCACATTCCATAACACGACGAAGTTTTTCATTATCACGTTTATTTGTTATTGAAGAATTTGTGTCACATATTAATTGTGGTTTATATTCAAGAAATAAACATAAAAATCTTAATAAACAAATGCGATATTTATCATTGATTTGATGAAGATATTTCTTGTCAATCATTGTTCGAATGAATAAATCAATAATAGTTTCATCATTGTTTGCATTGATTTGAAACAATTCATTTGTTATTTGTGCTTTATTATTTTCAAATTCGTATGTAAATGATGGTAATAAAATGTATTCGAAAAATAATGATTTACATTCTAATGTATATGACTCATCATTACGTAACGATATAAATGATAATAATGCATCACGTTTCCATTTTAATGAATAAGTTTTTATTATTGTATCTTGTATAAAACTAAAGAATTTCTTTGGATAAAATAATTTGTCTATAGATGAATATATACGTGTTAATTCAAGTAATAAACGTATGCGTTCAGGTTGATACTGATAATAGATTAAACATAGATTAAGAACATTATTCAATTCTTTTGTACAAAATGAATCAAAATGTTCTGAAGATAAGAATGAATGTTGTTGAAATGTATTGGAACGCCATAAACGTAATAGAAGTGAAACAAGTTCATGTTGTCGTGACCACCATAATTGATCGGTTCGTGCTAATATCGATAATGAACGTATTGTTATACATATGATTGAAGGAATATTTTGTGATGTTTCAATAAAAACAATATGATCACTAAGAATTTGACGAAAACGATCAAGCCAATTTGTGCGTACAAATGTTTGAATGTTCGATGATGATGAACTTTTTAATAAGTCAAGAAATAGACGACTCCACTGTAAATCTTGTAAACGATTTTCATCATTTATAAATTGATCAAGACTTAATTGTGGATGACGAATCAATAATTCAACTAAATATTTACGACAGGCACTACTTGACTAGAAAAAATAAAAATAAAAACTTTTATGAAATCTCTAACGTATTCTAAATGTAGTTTTTGTTCTGAAGAAATATATTTGATTTAATCCGTTCAGAGAATGAGTCAATTTTTACAGTAACAAGTTGGAGCTGTCCCTCCTCGAACGGTACAATTTTTTCTCTTTCATTCATAAGAACAAGTATCTGAAACTTATTCACAGTCGACTATGGTAAAGATAATCGCGACTCAAAAAACAATGTATTTGAGTTGGGACACGTTCTCGTATGAAATTGTTCTCTTGCATGAATTAAATATCTTACTTCTATCATAAGATGTTTATCAAATTTTAAAATAAGCATCGTTAAAGATTCAATGATTTTTTTCGATGAAGTTGGTAAAGTTGCTAATAAATCCAATAGAATCAAACACGATTTATAGTATTGATTTTGTGTATCAACAATCGAGCGAAATGTTTGTGCAATAGTCTGCATCAACCTTCGAATTAAATTAAGAATTTGCTCACAAAGACGTTCGTCAAATGAATTCGGTGATAATTTTGACAGACAAAATAATGTTTGTGCCATTTGTGGCGTTAAATTTAATTTTTCATAATCTTGAAATGGTAGTTTTTGAACATATAAATCAACGAAACGCGAGCGTAATTGATCATTTTGATGGCCTGTAAAGATTTTTTCTATCGTTTCATATGCAATCAATTGTAATTCATTGGATTGAATTGTTGTTAAAATTTTAAAGAATAATCTTAATACACGATCACGATATTCAATTTGTTCATGATATTCTCCTAATGTACGTACTGCTAATTTTTTTAATACAGTTAAATTTAATGTTAATTGTTGTTGTGTTAAGGAACGATAGGATGATGATTTAATTAAATCATTTTCATCAAATATAAATGTTGATAAATCTTTAAATAAATCATCGTCATATAATGTAATGTAGGAAATTTTTGGTTCTAAAGTACGAAAATAAATATAGACATCCAAATATGTTATTTGGTACATGAGTGATTGATTTTTAAACGGTAAAATATTTGAAGATGAAAATTTTTTTATTAAATCACTTTTAAATGGTTCAATTAAACGTAATATTGGTTGTTGAAATGAATAACTTAATTGACGTAAACAATCGTAGACTAGATTACGAATATAGATAATCGGTGAAAATATATAATTAAGTAATAATTCAATTAAATTTTCATTTAGATTTTCATTTGATTTTATTGAAGTATAATGTTCAAAGAATTCCTTAATCATATTTGAAATTATATCTAATGTACCCGATGAAATTTCGTCCGTTAGAGAGATAATAACATGAAAGAATTCATTTAGAATTTCACTGAAATTCTTCATAAACCACTCGGTTTCTTTTCGAAAATAATTTAAACATAATTGATGAAGAAAACGACATGAACCTTGTTTTGAATACCACATCCGATCATGGCAATGATTACGTAGAGTAGTAATTAAATAATTTAATATTGGCAGTTTAGTTATACGTTGATAATCGCTATTAAATATTGTAAGTAAAGTATTAAGCAATGTTTCGAATGATATGCGACCAATAGCATTTAATTCATCTTCAATATCAATATAGCAAGAAACAATACTGTCGATTAGAATTGTTGAACAATCAATATTATCAGTTGTATCGTAAGTTTCTGATGATGAAGGCCCTGAAATAAAAACAAAATTCTAGAAATCATTTATTCACAATATAGTAATATATTGATGATTGGCGGGGGGACCAAAAATATAGTTGATCAGAGGCTGCACTAGAAGATTTTCACTCACTTATCTCATATTATAGGACTGCTATTTGAAAACACTAGTCATTAAATCAAACTTTCTTTATCAAAAATGTCAAACAAATGATTCTAATTTTGTATTAAAAATTGAAGCGATGTGATCAACTGGTAGATAAAACTATGAAGATCGTTGGAGAAAGTTAGTGTGTTTTGCGTCAAATAGTAATCGGTGAGCAAAGTTTTATTGTGAAGATCAATATTTGGATTCTAAATTGTTTAATCCGGCAAACTCTATCGGTAACTTGCACTATCATGTTCTATGGAAAGTCATTGGTTGAAAACAAAGACTTGATTTTGTTTTTTGAAAAATATCATACAAGTGTGCTGCTGTAAATTCTCGTTTGATATAGAACTAGCGTTCATATGACATTATTCGTGAGCTGTATCTACTTAGAAATGATAGTTTTTTGACTGTCCTATCGAATTGGATAGCTTTCAAAATGTTAAATAAACATTTAGCATTATGAACAAATAAGTAATCCTTGTCGAGATGTTTTTCCCTGATAAACTAGTTGTGAAACATCAAAAGAATGTTCTATTACCTATTTGACGTGTTAATGAAACCAATGCATAATGTTGAATAGTAGATTTCAATATAGAAAGAACTTCATCAGCTAATGTTTTACATGTCGCAGCTTGATGAAGGCATTGAAGGAGTAAAATATGACCATAATGAGATTTTAATTCAATATTTGCATTCCATACTAATGGACACTCAGATATATTACCATTTAGAAAACTACATAGAATAATATATTTATCAATACAAAGAAAAATAATGATAATTTACCTCGAATGATTTAAAAGATGTGTAACAAGATCGTGATCATCATCATTCGAAATAAGAACCGAGAGAACACTTCGAACTATGAGCCATGCTTGACGTTTTATTTGATGCTGATCAGCAATAGAAGATTTTAATTGATCGGCACAAGTACGAAGAATCTAATAAAAATCAAATCAAGTTAAAATTGAACGTACATATTTAGTTTCCTTGACAATGATATTATTAAGAATCGAAAGTATTCTCTTACTGTAAACAACTCCTTAATTATTTAGGGTCTTTTCTTACTTTTAATAATGGTATACTAATTGATTTTGTTTCATGTTCAAAAGACATTTGTAGATAAATTTCAGCTTCTTGTTCTGAATCAAAGTCTTCAGTATCATATTTGATTTGTTGTGGTTCATTAAGTATTCTTCGATTATTTCCACCTAATTTTCCTAATATTCGAAATGTATTCTGTGCAATATCATTATTAGAATGACTCAATAAACGATACAATGATATCATTAAACTACTTCGTACAGGTAAAATATGATTATAAAGAAAATCTGGCTGTAAATTATCTACACACAATTCTAATGTACGTAAACCTTGTAAAATTAATGTTGATGAACCATTTAGTGCATTAACTAATGGCTCCATTAATAATGGTAAATATGGTAATAAAACACTTAGACGTACAGGTACAGTTAAACATAATTCAATAAATAGTTCTCTTAGATTTTGTCGATGTTTACACGATTGATATTCATTTAAGCGTTGTAAGAGAAAATGTAATAGAGTTAAAAATTCTTGATTCAGTAATTCATGATTACCAACACCAATACTACGAAAAAGTGCACGTAATAATATAAAATAATTATATGGATCTTGTGTTACTTGTGCACATTCAATTGAACGTAAAATAATTTGTTTTAAATATGGTTGAAGAATTTTTTCATTTTCATTCGCTAATGTTGTTGTAACAACACTATTGATAACTAATTTAAATAATTTCAAACAAGCATTATTCGTATTATTTGTTTCTCCGATTTCATTTATTCGCGGTAGAAGAAATTCAAGTAATAATTCAACAAGTATGGTTGACGATGGTGATTGTTGTAGTAATGTATTCATAATTAGCGTTATATTGGGATTTTTATTAGCACATTGATAAAAATATAATAGATTGTTTTCGAATATTTCACGATAATTTTGTTTATGCATAACAATAAATACACTTGCAATCATATCCATGATTTCTTTTTCTTCTTTATTACGTGTTATATTGGTTGTGTTATTAGTTGTTGACGAAGAACTTCCATTTGCATTTGTTGGTGGTGCAGATTCAAAAAACAGTATCAAACATTGAAGAATATATTTGAAAAATTTAATGTAAAGAATAGTTATTGATGGAGGAAATTGTTTTGGTTGTGTAACAAGATTATCAGATATTTTAACATCAGCTAAGATCCATGTGATATGACGTAAACTACTGACAAGAACTTTTAAGATTGTACGACAATCATTTGACGATAATGTATAGATTAATGGTGATGTTGCTTGAAAACGTATCAAAGATAACTAAATAGAGATTGTATATAAATTTTAAGTTTTTCACATTAAGAGAACCTTTATTTTACATCAAATATAGCCCGAGAAGAAGAACGAAAGTAATGCAAAGTCCTTTTTATTATAGAAATTTCAATGTATTTCAGAAATGAGAAATGTCGACGGTTGACATTATCTCATCTTATTTACGATTAATGTAATCAATCAACTCCGTCGCGAATATATCAAATTCCGAATGGAACAGTACATTGAGTGAAAAAAGAAGAGAACAGCAAATGTTTTCAGTTTTAACTAATGGTTCAATCTAGCCGTATAGATAATTCAAAAAAATGAATACCTGTTGACATTGAAGTTCTTTTTCTCTATTAGTTATATCATTCATATTTTGAACAAGTTCGTTCAATGTGCTTGTTGTTACATCAACTTCATTAACAGGCGGTATCGTTGGAGTATTTCTATAGAGTAAATCAATTTTAAAACTGAGACAAACAAGGCAAAAGTAAAACATACGATTTTTCATTGGAACTATTCAATGCATGAGTACATTGTTTAGCTAAACTTTTACATTTAAAAATAAGAGTTTCAACAACATGTATGAGCAGATCACGAGACTGAAATAAAAAATGTAATTCAATTGAATTTTTCTTTTTAAAATCTCTTACTTTTTCAGATGCTTTTTGACGTATTGATTCTGCAATATTAGTTAAAAATTTTAAACTCGTCACTTGTATTGTTGGTGGTAAACTCGAATCATGAATCATTTTAGAATACATATACAATACACTTTGAAGATCTTCAATAGATAAACTTGCACGAATATGATTAAAAAAATCTCCAAACGTATTATAAGCCAATGGCCTAAAAATATATAGAAGAAGAAAACATAGATTTTATTACTTTGAACAACAAACTTGAGTGTTTCACGTGCAGTATAACCAGTACTTAGTAATAGGTTTTCATCGAAAAATCGTTTTACATGTGGAATGAACACTAGAATTAAGAAATGAAGCAATAAAGGTTATTATTAGTAGTAGATATTGATTACTTACATGTTCGAAAATCTGACGAAACAAAATGTCGAGCAGCAACAATAATATCTTTTCGTAATTGTACATTCTCTGGTGGACAACCATCAAGTAATTGGAAAATTGCAATAACTAATAAATCACTATTTAATGCCAATTGTTCCTATTAAGATTTGATGAAAAATGCTTATGATTAGTTAATCTTTCCGTGGGTTCAATGGCGAAAAACTCGATAGTACAATTAATGATGCAAAGTTTTACCTGATATGTTTTACCAACAAAAGCAAGAAAAGATAACGTTTTTGCTTGTGTTGTAAGAAATTCAATATAAATTTCCATATTAAATTTCTGATCACTCCTAAACAAATAAAAATTCAAATAATTTTCGAAAATAAAATGAAAACGAACTTTTGTTCTTTGCTTGGCTGTAACGTAAGATATCTTAGAAAAAGCGGTACTAATTCCCCGAATTCAGTTTGTAATGATTGTCGACAAAGTTGATAGAGAAGAACAATAGCAACTGGAAATTCAGCTAATAATTTTACTGAATGTGATGCACGAGATAGAATCGTAAACTAAATAAATAATCATGAGAACAAGATTTCTTTTCAATCTAAAAATCACTATTACTGTATCGGTTACGACATGTGCTGGTGGATTGGTTGGTTCATCTGTTGTTAATGATGTTTGTACAGGAAAATTTTGAATCTTTTTAACAACCAATTTAACCGATGTACATATTTGTTCAAGAACGCTTGTTACATCAATTTCATTAATTGTTAATGTTGGATGTGAAAATATTTTCGTTAAAAATATTTGATCAAGCGCTGACGCTTTTTGTCGATAAACATTATGAACAAATTGAAGAAATTCGCGAACTTCCATAATCATTTGTGGACGAAATTGTTTCATATATTCAACAATAATGCGTAATAAAAGAGAAGCGTTTTCTTCATTTTCTTTTGTTAATAATTTAAACATTGGAGAAAGAATATCTTTTACAAATGGCCGAAGAGCTTCCGTTATTGGTAAACGATGAAAAATTTCAATCATCTGTTTTCTTATTGTCTATAGTAAAAAGATATATTTTCTTACGATACAACAGCAATACAAGCTGAAGATATTTCTATTTTTTCAAAGAACTACGATCCAAATAGAAGAAACTCTCGCAACACAGCTTACATTCGAACAAAAAGCTTTCTCCTTGTCTTTCTACATAGGACACAAGTGCAGCTATGATGGATTGGTATTCTCAGATTAAAATATTAATAGTAAATTAGTCATGAGATCAAACTCGATTATTAAAGAATGATAAACTTCTCTTTTCTATGGAAAACATTTTGAAATTTCATACATACTTGTGCATTGCTTGGAATGATAAATACTGTCTCTGCTTCAACCAATGATCTAAGAAAATTTTTAACTAATAAATCTATGTAAATTGCGTAATTGGGTAAAGTTGAAAGAATCTTTAAAAAAAAGCAGTAATTGTTACGTCTCTATATGAAAATTTTTTATTTCTTCTTACTTCGACGTTTTCCGATATATTATGAACATGTTTAAGTCGAATTTCATCAGCTAAAAGAAATTTTTATTTTTTTCTTTACTTTTCTTTATTCTTATTCGACATACTATTTAATGGATCAACAACAGAAAGAACAAGCATTTGAAATGTTTGATAATTGCATTGTTGATAAGTATCAGAATCGCCTGCTAATGAACGATTCATATTTTGTGTGTAATGTGTCTCAACTACAACATTATTTGTCATCATCTGAAACGAATAAATAATAAAAAGAACAATGTTTTATTTCGATTTTTTTTCTCATCATCGTTTCATATCTCTGTTCTTATATTTTAACTTTCTTGAAAAAAATCAAAATAAAAAAAAAATAAGAAATGTCAGACTATTTAAAACCTTGTTTAACAGTCCAGAGGCCATCATTTAAATAATGTAATGTTTCAATTCCAACACCTTTATTGATATGTTGTATATCTTGTGTCGACATTTTTAATAGACCAATAGCTAATGCATGTTCTTTACCTTCAGCCATAATAGCGCAAATGGCATCTTTAGGTGCATCGCATAGTTTTGCACCTGGCGATGTTAAACCTGGACACATTATGTTGGCTCCTGAAAGTACAAAACGAATGGCACCTTTGTCGACTTGTTGAGGACGTAAAATAAATGGATATTTATGCAGTAAACGTAATAATGGTATATATGATGTTGAATCTCGAAAACGAAAAAATAATGGTTGACCAGTGGAATCCGTTATTAATTCAATATGATCTTGACACTTGACTAATTTTGGCGTATCTTTTTTTGGTAAGATTTCATCTAATACCGATTCAATGTGAGGAAAATCTTGTTGTAAACGATGTTTAAGACGTTTAACATCTGTGTTACGAAGTTGAGTAACACTTGTTACACTATCTTTTTCATTAAATTTTTTAAACATGATCCTACGAAAATGAAGATTTGGTGTAAGTATTTGAAATCAAACAATGAAATGAAATGATTAAAAAAATTTATGGAAAAAACGAAGAGCAATTTTTTCATTGTTCCAATCAATCGTTGTATCAGCTATTGCACGATAGATGGTGCTAGAAATCGTGCTTAGTCCGAGAAATTTTTGATAGTAAGAAAAAAATTTCTTTTCTTGAAATTAAAAATACATATAAGCCTATTAAAATACGAATAAAAATGTTTTGGTGAGATGATAGCATCGAATTCTATGGGTGTGGCCATGAGTTTTTTTTGTGTCTATTTTCATTAAATTCATTATCGTAAAACAGTCTATCACATTTGAAAACAATGCCTCGTGTCTGTTCGTTTTCAAGTGATTATCTTCTTGGAGATTCATGGCGTACATTAGATTGTTTTGATCGTTATTATCAACGCTCGCCGTTGATTAGAGAAGTACCCACTCAAGAGCAATCATCAATATTATCACCGAATGAAATTGATGACATTCTTTCACGTAAACTACGTGATCAGTTAAAATCAACATCAGAATTAGAAAAGGGTGAATAAAGATTTTATACATTGAAACTTTGTTAGAAATAAAATTTTGTTATCATAGAACAAAATTTGAAGAAAAAATCAGAATTATCTGTTAGTCCGTTATTAGAACCGGCGATTCATTCATTACCGACACGTGCCATTGATTCAGAATTACTGGTATTGATTGATCGATTTTTTAATTTAACATACTCAAATACGATTCCTATGGTTAATCTATTAGCTACAGCAGTAATTATTTATTTGTTTCAATATTAGACAAGTTAGTATTGTTTTTTTTATTGTTAATATTCTAGGTAGCAACTAATTTTCTGAAAGAAAATATTCGAGCACTAGACAAGAAACTGAAGGAACAACAGCAAACACATGTTTCACTTGATATAAAACGTGGAACTTCATTACTTTGTGACTATGAAAATGATGATAACGATGATAGTATTTCATGGGTATCAGCACCAGCTTAAATTTAGTTTTATTTTATTTGATTCTTGGAAAGAAAAAAAACAATCAACAAACAAGATTTATTTTGCACGTATTATGTTTTTTTGCGTTTAAACTTTGAAAATAAGTTTGTATTATTTGTTTGCGCTTGTAGAATAATTTTATCTTAAATAAAGATCAGTCATTAAAATAATTCTAGTTGATCGATCTTTTGTTGCTGTCAATTGTTTAGGTTTTATTCGTTAAATAATAAAATAGAGTCAAAATGAATGTTACATTCACACCAAAAATATTAAAAACGATAATATAATACATTCGAATAATAGAAAATATTTTTGTTTTGGTAATTGCACGTATTAACCTGCCATCTTATTTTCGTTTCAAAAACAGCAAAGAAAAATCTATCCGAATAAAATATTTTGCCAAATACTGAAGAAATTAAATTTTAAAACGCAGATAGGATATTGTGAAAAATATAAACGAACATCGATCTGTCACCTGGCCTCCGATTACACTTTTTTAAAAATATAGGATTTTCTATAAAAAATGACAAAAAGAGAGGACATTTTATACACCTTTTCTGTTCAATTTTTTTCGCGTTTTTTAACTGTTCTGCTCGAAAGTCATTTTAATGAAGCTGTTATAAACAGTTCAACTGTAGCCAAGATCCTTATGCCATTTTTTCTACTGAAATAAGCCGCTAATTCGAGGATCATTATAAAAGTTTTTCACAAATCGATAAATAACAAATAAGTAGATCATAAACTTTGAAAAAAACAAATACTATTTCTCATAATTAAAGGAGACGTTTCAGATTACGGACATGACTTCCGAAAAAATCTCAATCTACTTTTATTGCCCTGATAATCAGCATTCATTGCTTATTATTTTCCACAAATTTATTTTGTATTCTATCATAACTCATCTTTTTCTGGTAAAAAAAAAGTGTAAATGAAAATGAATCTACACAGGATGGTGTAAAATTTCATGGGGTTTCAGAATATGTCGTTACTTTTAAAAAAATATGTTCTTTCGGATATATCTATATACAACTTTTATGTCTAACTAAAACTTCACAAAAATAGTCCAAAATTGGTACATGATCACTTTGTGAATGTTTTTTTCTTTTGAACGATTTTGTATTTTGTACTTAGTATTAAACAATTTCTCAGTCAGCCCACTAAATAGACGAAAGGAAAAATACTGTTTAAAACAAATGTCACTATAATACAACAATTTGTCCAAAACACATGATTATACACATTGAAAATTTTTTTCGTCTGAAGACAATAGCCAAATGGAGAAGTTTTCGAAAATTTTCTACTTTTTTCGATAAAATATAGGAAAGATAGGTCGAATCGCAGCCCAGGCTGAAAAATATTGATAATACGCTTTGTGATAGTGTGACGCAATAATTTATCTTCATTCGATAAAATTAAATCAATCAGAGAATCAGGTACCACACCATTCATTGACATTTTTTTTGTGTTCGTGATGCTTGGAAAAGAAACTAATTATTACTATAATGGCAAATTATATTTTACTCTATTTAGCAAGAAATATGTCCGTTTATCGATGAATTTAGTGGAGAAAAAAACGCAGAAAAATATTAATAATTTTTTTTATTTCAATTCTTCATCAGTTAGAATACTTGTCGTTGATGTATCATTATTTTCAGATGAACAACTGACTGCATCGTCAGAGATAGAATCTATCCAAGAAAAAAAGAAAATCATCAAAGCAAAACATATTATCTAAATATACCGTCAGTCATATTCAATTGATTGATAACATTCAAACCTAAATATCAAAAAATAAATAAAAGATGATTATATCGATCTGTTATTTTAGTTATATTTTCTAAAATCTTACATTTTCTAGCAGCTATCTCAAGTTTTTTATGTTTACGATTAATTTCATCAATTAATTTTTGATTTTCTTTATAATAATTTCTATATTTTACAGCATGATAAGAAAATGTTAAACAAGAGACGAAAAACCACAATTGACGAAACCGCCATAATGCATTATAAAGAATCGTCTAAAAATTCTTTTGTTTGAATAATACAAAAACAGAATAAAAATATTTTTTATTACTTGAGAATATGATGAAAAAATGAGCATGTAACGTTCGATAGCAATCAAGCCAGCCCATAAGAGTATTAACCAAAATCTAAGATAGACAAGATTCTTTTAAACAAAGCTTTATTAATTGTTTTTCGAACTACTTTGAATCATTTGTTCGTTCGGGTATTGTTAATAGATGAATACCAATAAGCGATATTGCATAGAAAAAATATGAACTTAAACCAAAAGCATCTGTAAATAATGATGTCTGTATATTAAATAGTGTTTCTAAAATCTAAACGAGTCATAGTAAAAGAGCTAAAGCGATTAATTGGATTACTTGTTGTAGAAGTTGAATCTGTGCTTTATCTTTAGTATACAAATGCCCTCGTAATTCATCTACATCGGATTGAGCTACTTGTAGAAATCGATCCACACTAAGTGCATCATCAACAGAATCTTGATTTACAACAAGTGCTTGATCAAGACTAATTTGCATTGTTTCCTGTTCAATCAATAGTTGTTTTGTTTCAATTTCAATTTGACTTGTATGTCTATTGATTTCAAGAACAGTATCGCGTGCATGACTATGCCATTGTTGTGTTTCAATTGCATAACAAATACTTTGTATATGTGGAACAAAATTTGTGTAAGTTAAATAAGCAAATGAATTTTTCGTAATATTTTTTAAACATTCATTTAGATTTCTATCGCATGAAGATAAAGAACATATGTTCTTAGGATTGATACCAGTTGAATTTAAATGACAGAACGTAAAATGTATAGCAAGTCTTATTTGAATCTGTGATGATAATGATGAACAGTCGAATTTTTCTTGTTGATATTCGAGGAAAATTCGTTCCATTGATCGAGATAAACATGGTTGAACATGATCCGATAATAGATTAGTATTAAGACTATTTATTGAAATAATCAATAAAATGAAAAATAATACTTGTGATAAGATATACATTGATTTCTATCTATCTGAGTGTTGAAACAAAAACATCTTTTTGGTAACAAAGAAAATTCTTCTAACACCTCCCTGGGAGTTTTTATCTTTTGACCAGATGTCACTTGTAGTCTATTAACTACCACGACGTCTAAATACTCGTAAAGCCGGTATCATAAATGAAAGGAGTAATTTGATTTGATTTAGTCTATATCAATCATTATCTGAAATTGTTAGTAGTGTGAACCACAAAAAATTGAGTTGATTGTGTGTAGCTGATAGTTCTTATGTGGCATTCAAACCTTATGCTCTCGCCGCTGTTGTTTTGAGCATAGTACTATATCTTAACATTGCCACTGCCAGTTTTGTGAAGCGTGTTGTGTCTATTATTGTGTAGGATTTTGGTGTGGGTGTGGGTGCTAGTGATGAGGACGCCCGCGTCGACACACCCTAGTTTCAGTCTCTAATTTTATTTTCATTGAAGATGCGCACACTAGATCTGAAAGTCGTGTTTAAATTCCCATCGAAAACCTTGTATCAACACCCGAAAACTTTCGTTCGTTAGATTCTATATATCCTCATATTTGAGACGCAGAAAGCAAAGACTTTAGCAGAAGAACAGAACGAATAATAATCCTTTTAATTTTACTTAATAAATGAAATCTATTTAGAAAATAAAAAACAACATTTTTCCTAGAACAACATTTTAGATCATAAGTTTATCGTAAATGATCAAAAATGGTCTTGACACGAACATTGACCATTTGGATAAAAGTGATGAATACGGTTAGCATCACGAACAACAATATCACATTGTTCAACTTTTGCTATCACTTTTGTAAATTCATCTTAAATATTAGAAAACAAATGTTGACGATTGATTGAAATGAAAATAATAGAATATCTACTTACGACAATGACCACAAACACGAAGATTTTTAACAACTAGAATAAATTTTGGAGCAGGTTCTTGAATCAAATTCAATGCGATTACCAATAGTTCACTATGACCACATAAAACAGATTCCATTGTTTCATTTTCGTTTAATGAACGAGTTATCCAAGATGAATCAAATATGAAACCATTTTCAATCGCTTTTGATTTTAAATGATCAATTTTAGCATAGATTTCAGTTGATTGTGGATGAGAATGATCATGAGCTTTAAGTTGCTAAAAATGAATCAACAAAGGACTTATACTTAAATATTAAATTTAAAAGAAACTACTTTACCACTATATGACCTTTTATTTCAGTCCATGATAATCCTACTTTTACTTTGACTCCCAATTCTTCTATTTGATTAGAGCGAAAATTTTTAGCTTTTTCATATCTGCCTAATGACGAATATATATTTGAAAGAAGAATCACACCGGATACAAGACGTTCTTTTGCATTAGGAAATAAAGTTTTCATTCGTTTATATATTTTTTCAGATAAATTACTATTTCGATTATTACGTGCACTGGATAACAAAGACACTAATATAAAAATAAAGAATTTGATAAAACAATATAATATTATTAAAGTAATACTAACTATACATGACAATACTTGGTGTATTTGTCTTTTCATAATCTTCAATCAACTTTTGTGCTTCATCAAACATAAATAAACGACTTAAGCAAT